TAATTGATCCAGCGTGAATTGCATCATCTACGGTTAAATTCTGAGGATTGATCTCTGGAACAATTGATTATGAGTAGCTAAAAGGCAATTGACTTCTCAGTACTGAAGTAATGTATATAGAACATCGTAGAGTGAATAATCTGGATCGCAAAATGTGGGGAGATGGGGAGATCAACAGGAAGAGCAAGGCTTGTTTTCACCAAACGCAATTGCCAATTGCATGGCGATATTTCCGATCCGCCACTGTTTCCGAGATGGGCACAATGTTTATGTGGAGAAACGCGACCAAAAAGAGCGGTTATTTGCACTGATTGGGCGCCACCTTGGAGTTTCAGATTGCTGCCCGGCGAAGAGTTGCGCGTTCCAGGCGCTGTTTCGTTTTTCTGACGTCAGAGTGCGGTGAAATTTCATCTGGGGCAAATCAACGTGTTCCCGACAGCTATAAGAGCGTGGGTTTCTTCTTTGGATGCAATTGATCTTGTATAATTCTTCTCTTAACTAAAATATCAAAAACTCAAATTCACAATGGGTATCTTCGATCAAGTTAAGGACAAGCTCTCCGACGAGCAATTCAGAGGTGATCTCACCGACAAGGCCAAGAGTGCCTACAACAGCTACAAGAACAAGAACAGTGGTAGCAATGACAATGACGATTCCTACGGATCTAACAACAACGATTCGTATGGTTCTTCTGGCAGAGACAACAACGACTCCTATGGCTCTAGCAACAAGAACGACTCTTATGGCTCTTCCAACAACGATTCGTATGGGTCTTCTGGCAGAGATAACCAGGACTCCTACGGTTCTTCTGGAAGAAACCAGGACTCATACGGTTCCGGTAACAACGACTCCTACGGTTCCTCCAACAACGACTCTTACGGCTCTTCCGGCAGAGGCAACCAGGATTCTTACGGTTCCTCCAACAATGACTCTTACGGTTCCTCCGGCAGAGGAAACCAGGATTCTTACGGTTCCGGTAACAACGACTCCTACGGTTCCTCCAACAACGACTCTTACGGCTCTTCCGGCAGAGGCAACCAGGATTCTTACGGTTCTAGCAATAATGATTCGTATGGCTCTTCTGGCAGAGACAACAACGACTCTTATGGTTCGTCTGGCAGAGATAACCAGGGATCGTACGGAGACTCCAACGATTCCTACGGCAACCAGGGCGGCCGTGGTGGCGACTACCAATCGAACGACTATTAGTTTGTAGCGTTTATTGATAATCAAATACGTGATTGTATATTTTAAAAGTCTGTAAAGATGTAGAAAAGTGGATCTTGAACAATCGAGCATGATGGGATCTCATCATGTGCCAAGCCGCATCATGCAAGCATGGACCTGCATAGAATTTATGTATGTCAACTATAGACTTCTAAGATTCGATTGTTTTCATTGGTGTATTGTTTAGGCTGAGAAGCGGTTCAGTTTTTACAGATTTCGCAAGCTTTTTATAAGTATATACTACATACATATGGTCATGAGCACGTTCCGTTTGTCCTCTAATCTGCTATGAGAAACTGACCAGACTATGGGTTCCGTTGGTCCTCTTCTTCACATCTCCTGAATGTTCAGCCGCTTCATTTTCAACAAAATATCCTGAATGGACTCATCAAGTTTCCCTTCAGCGTACTGCTGTCTCGACATTGCGTCCACTTGAACTTTCGGCTGGGCAGTGGGCAGGTGAATATCCTGTGGGTTGGGTGACAGCGTAGCCAATTTCTGGTAAACATCTGTAAAAAATTTCAACTGAACCTTTATGAAACTTTCAAATGTTGGATCCAACACTGCTAGTCTCATCGAGACGAATTGGGCCAGTTCCAGCTTTAAACGGTCGTTAAGGTCGAAATACGTTTTTTCTGCAACCCGGAAACCCTCAAGCGTGCGCTCGTGCTTGTCGGTTTCTTTCTCAGCAAATTCAGCTTGTTCTTCAATTTTGTCGGCCTTGAACCTCAACATATCATAATCCAGTTTCTTGCGATACCGCTTCTTGACGAGCCTACCTAGTTCATCGGTGTAGGCTTTGAATTCTGCAATCGGTGTAAGAACTGTAATTGAAAACGGATCCAACACTGATGGAAGGATTTCCCGTTTTATTGCATCAATTACCTTCAGATATTCCAGACTGATCCCGTCCCGGTTATTCACACCGGATTGGCCGTGGACTTTGCGGCGGTCCGACTCCTGGTCAAAGTCATATACTCCGTAGAAGGAGTCTAGTGTAACAGCAACATTCAATTGCACTTCCAGAAGGTCAGTGAAGTGGTCCAGCATCTTGGCCATTGACTCATGAAGTCTGTCTGTGAATTCAGCAAGGCGTTTGAAATTGGCCTCCTGTACATCAAACTCCCTATCCACAGACCCCTCCACTTTCCCACTCCTCATCATCATCTGGGTACCAGCCCTATTGACGGCCTTTTTAAATCCGGACCAAGACATGTTGAGCTATTAAGATAGTAAGATGAATAAAAGAAATGGAGAGACTAAAGATTGTCTACACATTAGATAGAGCATTGCTCGGCTCAGCCCGTAGGCCGTAGATCCCGCAGAGTTGTGTGAGAATTGAAAGAGATGATCGTGCGGCGCCCATCACGTGCATGCAGGCGACGACCCCGGATTCTTCACTTCATGCTTCTCAAACCCAACAGCAGCTGGAGAAACGGATCAAAGTGTTTTGGACTAATATAGAGTGGGGTTATATCTGGGATCCGTACGGGCACTTCCGATTCGTTCTCGTGCCCCAAAAGGGCTGTCGAAAGACCTATTTGGGGCGGCTGAGGATAGCCTATCTTGGACCCCCATAGACGGTATACGCCTACGCCTTTGTGAAGACTAGGCTTTGATAGGCTTTTTGTTATTGTTTGTTTAGATTTGCAAGCTTTGATTGGGGTTTTGTCTAGACCCATTCCCGTGGATCCACCGGCCGGGTCCCATCCCATTGGCCTAGTCGTCGGGGTAATGCCGACAGGGCTACCTTTGGAGCTAGCCTAGGGGTATCTCCGGCAAAATAGACGACATCTGAAAAATTTAAGTTTTTATATAAACCACAAGTACCTGTGCACAAATAACTTTTACGAATTGTTTGATTAGTGCAATTGTAACCAATATTTTTGAGTACAATTGCTATTGAAGGTCCTACCGTGTTCTACAACAAACCCAAGTACCAACTGCAAAATGAGAATTCCAAAAGCTCAGAACTTTAACGAAGATATCCACGACTTGGTGATTCGGTCTTTCCGCTGCTATGTCCTTGATCTGGTCGAGCAATATGGAGGTGGTCATCCTGGTTCTGCCATGGGAATGGTAGCCATAGGTATTGCTCTGTGGAAGTACACCATGAAGTACTCGCCAAACGACCCAACTTACTTCAACCGTGATCGTTTTGTCCTTTCTAACGGTCATACTTGTTTGTTTCAGTACCTGTTTCAGCACTTGACTGGTCTCAAGTCTATGACGGTCAAGCAATTGAAGTCGTACCATTCCTCGGACTACCACTCATTGACTCCAGGTCATCCCGAGATTGAGAACGATGCCGTTGAAGTAACCACCGGTCCTTTGGGTCAGGGAATTTCCAACTCGGTTGGACTTGCCATTGCCACAAAGAACTTGGCTGCTCTCTACAACAGGCCTGGTTTTGACGTTGTTAACAACAAGACATACGCCATCGTTGGTGATGCCTGTCTCCAGGAAGGTCCAGCCTTGGAGTCGATCTCTCTTGCAGGCCATCTCGGTCTCAGTAACCTAATCGTGATCTACGATAACAACCAGGTTTGTTGTGACGGATCTGTTGATATCGCCAACACTGAGGATATCAGTGCCAAGTTCAAGGCTTGCAACTGGAACGTGATTGACGTTTCTGATGCGGCTGAGGACGTTGCTACTCTGGTGCGTGCTCTGGAGTACGCCGGCCGCGAAACTTCTAGACCAACCTTGATCAATGCAAGAACTGTTATTGGTGCTGGTGCTGAGTTTGAGAACCATTGCAATGCTCACGGTAATGCATTGGGTGAGGCAGGTGTTCGTGCTGCCAAGGTTCGCTACGGATTCAACCCCAACCAAAAGTTCTATTTCCCCGAGGAAGTTTACGATTTCTTTAGTGAAATCCCTGCCAGAGGTGACAAGCTTGTTTCTGAGTGGAAACAACTTGTTTCTGCTTACTCCAAAGCCCATCCGGAAGTGGCTGCCGAGTTCCTCGGCCGTACTAGAGGTGAGCTGCCCAAGAACTGGAAGAGTCTTTTGCCCTCTGAAGCACCTACAGAGGCTACTGCCACTAGAACTACTGCCCGTGAATGTGTTCGTGCCTTTGGCAAAGGCGTTTCCAGTGTTATTGCTGGGTCTGCCGATTTGTCAGTTTCTGTCGATCTACCATGGGAGGGCGTGGAGTACTTCCTCAGTCCAGAGCTTGCTACAGAATGTGGCCTTAGTGGTTCTTTCAGAGGTCGTTACATTGAATTTGGTATTCGTGAGCATTCTATGTGTGCAATTGCTAGTGGATTGGCTGCTTTCAATCCTGGTACTTTTGTCCCAATCACATCCTCATTTTACATGTTCTATCTATACGCAGCCCCAGCATTGCGTATGGCTGCCCTTCAGGAATTGAAGGCCATTCACATTGCAACTCATGATTCCATTGGTGCTGGAGAAGATGGACCAACTCACCAGCCTATTGCACAGAGTGCTTTGTGGAGAGCCATGCCTAACTTCTATTACATGCGTCCAGCCGACGCTACTGAAGTTCGTGCATGTTTTGAGAAGGCCGTTGAGCTTCCTGTCTCGTCGTTATTGTCTCTGTCCAGACACGAAGTTCCACAGTATCCCGGAACATCTTCTCTTGCCAAAGCAAAGCGTGGTGGTTACGTCTTTAGAGATGTTGAACGTCCAGACTTCCAGTTCATTGGTGTTGGCTCCGAGATGGAGTGGGTTGTCAAGGCTGCAGACCTTTTGACCAAGACTAAGGGATACCGTATCAGGATTCTGTCTTTCCCATGTCAACGTTTGTTTGACGAGCAGAGTGTGAGCTATCGTCGCTCAGTTCTGCGCAGAGGTGAACTTCCAACCATCGTAGTCGAAGCATATGTGGCTTACGGATGGGAGAGATATGCCACGGCTGGCTACAATATGAACACCTTTGGAAAGTCTCTACCTGTGGATGATGTTTACCAATACTTTGGTTTCACTCCAGAGTCAATTGCCGACAGAGTTGACAGTTATGTCAAGCGTGTCAAGGCCGAGCCTCAATTGCTTTGGGAGTTCCAGGACTTAAAGACTCGTCCTAAGCACGACAAGTTGTAAGTTGATTCTTACAAGCACTGGCACTAATTTGCCTTTTTTTGTCTGTCTAATAATGAATTGAAAGCTACAGTTGAAAACTAAAATACTGAGGGTGTAGGGCAAAAGTTGACCAGTAAATCTTGAATGTCAGCCAGTGACAAATCATTTAGAGTGTGACATGAAAACAGTAGAAGATTCAGATAGGTTTAGAATTACACCCAACCAAGTCCCCTTGTTACGTTCAACAACCCTTGTGTTACATGCATTCCCGTCTGAGATATTCACCAGCCCATAGGCTCGGCTATTAGTTACACACTTGAATATTAGTATCTTTCTCGTAAAACTTTTCACCAAATGTTTCACAAGTCGTGCACACACCCATAATGCGGGGAAGGAAACCCGTGATCTCTTGGCAGAAGATGGGGTGCTTGAATTAGCATGCAGTGCATGCGGCATTGGAGGTTGGCGCGATATATGTTGATAGCAAAGATTGCTGAAGTTGTGCTATCCACAATTCGTTATCGCTTCCTGAAATATGATTTGGCAGTATGGGCGGATGATAGCAGTAAGCATAACACTTTAAACGGCAAGCGGAGGCACCCGTTTATGTTCACCTTGGTCCCCACAGGCCGCACCGTATAAAACCGGAACAAAGGGCCGTAGATGGCCAGAGATGACACGATGACACATCGATGACACATGTTGCTTCACACCCGGTATCATCTGCAACTGATTGACAGCCCTTACCTAACCGACCGGACCTGAGCGTCCTTGAGTCCCTCCCAAAGGGGACAAATGTGGGGTAGACTTAAGGCTGTGCTGGGCAGGAAGCTTATTGTTAGTAATGGGTGTGAAAATTTTTCAGCTGTAGAATAGGGAGCAGAGGTGTAATAATGATATTTTGATGGACCTATGGGCTTTTCTGTTACTGTATCGCTGTAGACCGTATGGTGAAAATACTCTATACTGCCTAGTTCCTATCCAGCCTTAGCCTATGTACGTGCTTTTATCAATCTTAGCGTCCTCTTGCCATCTATCACTCTCCACCTACCCCAGATTACATACATGACTTCCGGATCACTCTCGGATCGGACACATTCCTCCAATCAAATTCTACGGAACGCTGCCGATCCAAAGAGAGGGGACTCTCCGATGTCCAACTCCAGCACCTGTCAACAGTCTCGATGAATCAAAAGTCCCGGATCGACCCCCTCTCGGCACACTGGATATACCCGATTGGTCCTCCAAGTACTTCCGGCTTCTTTTCTTCTGCCACGCACACCCCTCCCCTCTCGAGAACGCCTAGTGTCCTTTAATCCAGAGATTGTTGTGTTAGAAAAACCCAACTGAAAAAGACAAAGTTCTAGTTTCAAATGATGGAGGCGCTGAGGGGGTCTGTTTAAGTGTCACTGTTAGACTATCCAGAAACTGTTTATTATAGCCTTTTGCTGCTGTTATGGAGTTGCTCTAAGTTCTCTTCACTTGGGTTTGGGCTGTTCTGTTTAACTTTTTGAGTTTACTCTGCGACGCTGTTTTAAATAAAAAAACAACTGTGCTGGAGACCCTTCTCGATTTGTTATATCAATTGTTACCGCATTACGTTTACTTACTGTTTTTTGATTGACTTATAATATTGGGCAAAATCGTGGCCAGTAAACAGTTGTCTTGTTTGTCAGTCATCGTCCACTTCCCAATCTTATTTTCATTTTACGACTTCACCTGTGTTGTGCTTTTGACCACTCCAATCAGATTGTCTGTCTCTACCTGTGTGCGGTATTGCTGACCTGGGTTTTCTCCTGTCTGGCTTCTGACAGTTTTTTTGACTCTGTGTGTCTTAATTTACTTTCTAGTTTAACATACTGGTTGCCTAGTTGGTTCTGTTTTCCTCTCTACCGATATCATCGAATTTCTCTGATCAACATGGCCAAAGAAAAGAATCAAGTACGCAAGCGCGTCCGTACTGGATGTCTCACATGCCGCAGGAAGCACAAGAAGTGTGATGAAAACCGCAACCCCAGGTGTGACTTCTGTACTTTAAAGGGATTAACGTGCATCTGGCCTGAGACCGTTAAGAAGATGGTTCACGTTCGCCATGCCAGCAAACCGGACCTGTCCAGCTTTGCTCTTCCTGAACTCCAACTTGATCCTTTTGCTTTTGATCCAGCTGCCGCATTCAACGGAATGGAACCTGTCGATTCGCGGGTTGGCTCTCTTGACTCGCTTGACCCATTGGACCCACTGGATCATTTACCAGGCATTGGCAGGGAACTGCAGGTGGAACCTGAACTTGATTATGGATCTTTTTTGAGTATGCCAGAACATCGGTATCCCCTGCCATCATTGCGTTCGTTGCTCCATGAGCCAGTGGCTGAGCCACTAGTCGATAAAACCACGGAGCTTTTGCTTCTGGGTAACTTTGTCGATTCTGTTGCCGCTTGGCTTGATATGTTTGGTGGAGACACATTTGCTTCCCAGGTACCTGTTCTTGCTAGAGAGAACATAGTTCTTTATAACGCCATGTTGGCTCTGAGTGCTCGCCACCTCGAGCGCAAGAGACCAAGCGTTTACAACGATCCAGCTTCGACGGTGGAGCTTTATCGCTTTGCAGTCCAGTCATTGGCCAATTCTGATAATACCACCTCTGTTAAGAAGGAGTTTGGCAATCATCTTTCGGAACTGGCAAACAGCTTGTCTGGTGCCCACAATGGTGAGAGCTCGGAAAATTTAGGTCTTGATGGACTTGCGACTGGTTTCGCTGAGTACTCATGCTCGTCGTATTCTGACTCCACTCGGTCTGAAACCTTTGCTTATGCTGACCACGCCCAAGATGATGCCTCTTTATGCGCCTGTCTTCTGCTTGTGTGTTTTGAAATGATCTCTGTGGAACCCGCGCGTTGGCGCCACCATCTTTCTGCTTTGGCACCAATATTTCGCACACAAAATGCTGTTGCAACGCCATTACGCCGTGCAATATTCTGGTGCTTTGCTCGCCTAGACGCTGCAAGTGTCGAGGTTGGCGAACAGGCCACACTGGTGGCTCCAGAGGACTATCCAACTCCGGAATCAAGCGTCGACGAGATGCAACATCTATCAGCTGTTGTATTTTGCCTCTTGGGAAACGAATGCTCTCCCTTCGAGTTTGACGAAAGATGGGCTGCTGCTTGGACCCAGCTCCAAAAATGGTTTACCGCGCGCCCCGCATCAATGCGTGAGATTGTATCACACCGCAGTGATGACAATCCGTTCCCACGCACTCTCTTCTCTACTCCAGCTGCTGTTACAGCCAACCAGATGTGGCACATGTGCCACATTCTGATGGTTCAAAACAAGCCGCGCCGTTTCCGTTTGGAGCCAAAAGAGCGCACCAACACCCGCCAGCGGGAACCTGACTCTGTTTCAAAGCCATCTTCTGTTTGCTCAGACTCTCTGGCCTCTCCCAGCTCGGTATTCTCGCTTTTCCAGGAATCGCCGCCCAGCCCACCAAGCGATGCCGATCCTGATGCTGATTCTAATACCCCAGGCTCATTCGAGAAGCCCACTTCGCACTCTCCTATCTGGCACGCAAAACAGATCTGTGGTATCTCGCTCACAAACGTCTTGGCCCGCCATCCCGATCCACACCGCAACGTTGCACAGTTGACGGCCCTTCAGCCACTCTGTATTGCGGCTAGGTTGGTGAGCTCTCGCCACGAACACAATGTTCTGTTGCGGTTATTCAGAGATATGGAAGCGTGTCCAGGTTTTGGGGGTTTGTTCTGGAGGGGAAGGGAGTTGTGTGAATATTGGCAGAACGAATGCTGAAGGAGTACCAGGCCATTCTTCCTTTCATCAGCTTGTTGAATAGGATGAAGATGAGCCTCTCATTTGTCTCATTTGTTATAAAACTTTCCAAGTTTGGCCGTTTAGTGATCCGGGATCCTAGCCATACAATCCCATCATTTGTCCACATCTACCGGCTTCTACTCCATTCAACTATGCCACCAAAAATGTTACTTTATTTCATGTTATTTTATTCCTTGTCTGTCATGTCTTACGCCTTATGAATTTATTTTCTTGTTTTAGTTAAAAAAATGCCGACAAAAGTTGTTTCATTCTGTAGGTTTGAGCCGTTTTCGAGCCGCACGAACGACCTACAGGACCCTAGGTCGTTCCCCGCTTAATTTACCTCTTTCGGCAACAGCAGCTCGCCCCTTATCGAGGCCCTTCTCAAGCATTTACCGGAAACATCAAGGTTCTCCAAGACCAATTGCTACGAAGCGCCCATGAGCGTCTCGCTAAAGTTCAGGAGGAATCAGGACAAGTCGACAACACTGTCAGATGAGTTTTGGTCCGAGTTCCTTGGCGTATTAAAGGACCGCAAACGACCTTCCGCCGCGTTGGAGAAGCAACTGCGATCCCAGATATCTAGCTTCGATCGGACAAAACGAAATGCTGACGAAGTGACAGTCGCATTGACGTCGCCGTTTTCAGATGGTTCTGTTAGCAAAGCGTTCAAGTTTGTGCGATTTTTCGATCTCGCAATCGCATCAAAACTGATGAGCGCAAGTGCCTTCTATCGCCAACTGCCACCGTTGGCTACATCTTGGGAAATCCCGCTGGTCGGAATGGATAATTGGAATAAGGTATTGTGCTATTTGGATTCGCTGCTCTTTGCCCTCTTTGCGCGCATGGAGTCGTTTGACCATTTGGTGGTGCCGAGGGCATTAGACGAGAGAATGACACCTGCTTTGGCTCACCAAGTCGCTGAACTCCGTACTTTGCTCCGTTTTGTTGTGAATTTGCTACGAGCTGGTGAGCAGGTCACTACTGACGTAATGCAGATGCTCTGCCTACAATTGTCCCGTCTGGGGTGCGATTTCTGCGTCAGTGGTAAGCAACAGGACTCTCTAGTAATGTTTGAGTCGTTGATGGAGTGTCTGGGATTGCCCCTTCTCACGTTAAAAATTGACATTATACATCGCGGAAAATTCAACTTGAATGATGACCTGCGGTTCATAAATGAGCGATGTCTTCTGATTAGTGTTCCTGAATCATCGAAAGAACCAGAGTCAGCCGATGACCCAGTCTCGCTCGAGGAATGTTTGAATTCGTACTTTAACAACAGCATCACAGTCAAGCGTCACATTGACAGACGAAGGACCATAGACTCGGTCCGCAGACCAGATTTGAGCGAGTATGCGGAACAAGCTGAACCAGAGGAAAAGGAAATGGCACATTACGAGGGATTGGTGGTGGAAAGGATTGCTTCTCATGATACGCTGAACGGGGTTTTCTCCAATGATTCCACTATTCGGTCTGAAGTATCGGCTGAAAGTTCGGCGCAGTCTCGACTGAAGACGCAAAGACCTGAAAATGGCTCCATTTCAAAGGTCTCGGACATTCTGGAACGGTCCAGAACACGTTCGTCTACCATTGTTTCTGTACTCAACTCGGCCAGCCATGGCCAACCCGCTTTGTCGCGGCGTGAGTCTAGCTTCTCGCATGAGGTGAATTTGCCAGCCTGGATGTTTCTTCAGCTCTTGCCGTATTATCCCAACCCGGATGTGGAGCTCAAGCCCAATAACGAAGAGGCTTCCTATGGCGGAACGGATGAGGATGTGGATCCACTAACTTCTCCATCCCCCATTCCCAGTCGATCCCGGCCTGTCGTCCCAATTTGCCTGAAACGCTATGTCTGGAGCACTGGTGGACACAAAATCAAGCGCAAGGTGGTGATACCACCGTTCATTAAACATCCCTACTTCATCTCGGAAGACAACTCCCAGGATGGGGTGGTCAACTTCAAGCGCGACGATTCACTCAACGCTCCTTGTGGCTCATTCATGCTCGTTCTAGAGAGTTGTGTATGTCACAGAGGCAGTTCCGTGAATTCGGGTCATTATGTGGCTCTTTCGCGAAAGCATCCGTTCCATCGTGACCAGCTGAGACAACCCCAGGACGACGAACCATGGTTACTTTTCAACGATATGGAAAAGGGCCGTGAAAAGGTTAAGGAGCTTTCTTTTAAAGATGCAATGGACTCGGAGTTTCCATATCTGCTATTCTATCGAATTGTGGATTTAGACCTGTCGGATGCGGATCTGTCGGATGATCGTCCAACCATCAAGGTGAGTGCTCCCAATGGCTCAAAGGAACGATTCTGGACTGAGTCTGATGATTCAGGCCGTACTCCTAGGAAGGGCTCGTATTTCAGTGAGATCTCGATAACCAGTGTCTCAACTGCTGCTGCGTCTGCGCCAGCATCTGCTGAACTGCCTTCGGTTGAAGACAGACTGAATTCTCATCGCCGACACCTCCATCCTCATTTTCTGAGCGGATCCCTCTCGAGATCGGTATCGCGGACTCGAAAACGTGAAGAAGAGAGAATTGAGAAGAAGGCAGATCCTCTTTTTGGAGATAAAGCGTATGTCGACCCCTCAGATATGTACTATTTCTATACGCTTGACAATGGTGAGTTGGCGAAGTCGGCAGATGATTTGAGACCACTGCAGTTGACCCAGTCAAGATCGAGCAAACCTCCTGTTTCGTCATCGGGAAGCACTGAGGAAACTAGTTTTACCGAGAAAGTTAACCAGGAGCTGGTACGCTTGGTTGAGGCGGAGAAGACTGGTAGTACTGTGGTGCCAACCCTTACGGGGGATGATGTGAACGAGCCGGAATCTGCTGCTTCTGAAACATCGACTACTGAAACATCGGCTACTGAAAACAAGCCTACTGACAATAAGCCTACTCCAGACCCAACCCCATTTTCACCTCCCCAGACCAAAAGTGCACCACTCCCTTTCCCTCAACCGCATTTGCATCATCTAACGCAACCCAAAAGACCCGGAACCATGTCGATTCCAATACTTTCGCCTGCCACTTCTGCATCCCCTTCAGATACACAGGCTGCTTCGATCGCCAGTTATAAAACAATTGGTGCTTTGCCATCCGCCGCCCGGCAGAGTAAAAATAGACTCGTGACGAAGAGCTCCAAAAAACACCGGAGGAAGCACGGTGATTGCATCATCGCATAATCGCATTACAGAGGCTGAAGGAGGTATCGTTCCATAGTATTTGTCAATGTTTTGTAGTTAATAAATTTATTCCCATGGGTATTGCTACAGTATTATAATAAGCTAGTTTATGCTGACGTTGAGTTTCACAGTGAGTTGCAAGGGCCGCAGCATCATGTGCATGAACTCCTGCATGATACGCCAAAACAATGCACTTCTGATACAGGGGAAACATTTAACCGACTCAATGCGTTGAAGCAATATCTTAGCTGTCAAGCTGTCATTTGTTGAACACTGTTCGAAGCAACTCTAAAAATGAAAATACAGCTATCTGGCCCATATGAATGCGGAAATTAGGTTAGCCAATCTCAAAAGTTTTGGATATCGTGAGAGTTTGACTTTGAGTACAACACACTCACTCAAATTGCCTTTGCTGCCCTCACACTTCAACAAATATGTCCCTTTGGCTTAGTGTTAAATGCACGGTGTTTTGTGGCAATGACCAGCCATTTTTAACCGGGCATCATCATTCCATTATCTTTCCATCAAGACACTTCTCGACCATCATAACCACGGCCTGCCTTTTGCAAGAACTCTTGCTCCAGCTGTTCCGTCCACCGATCCACAAAGTCCAAACCTTGATCATTATTCTCATTTTGTGTAAACCAGTTGAACACCGTATCGCTCGGATCCATGAAAGATTCAAAAGGAAAAGGCGAGGCCGTTTCCTGAAATGCTGGTGGAAATTCCTGATCAACCTGCGGTACAAACTTTTTCGCGCTTTCAGCATCAATATCACGCTCATAGTCACGAGGAACACGACCAGCAGTCTGTGACTTGGTCTTGAACTGAGAACACAGGTACATCAACACCGTGGAGTAGCGTGTGCAGAGATGTAGTTCATCCGGCGCCGCTTCCCTCAAAACAATAGCTGTTCTCTGGAGAATAGACAATATTTCTTCCAGAGGAATGGTAGATAGCGACAGAATGGCTGAGGTGGCCTCTGGTCGAGTTTCAGTCTCTTCTGAGGACGTGAGTGTGAGATAGCATTTCACTATGAAGGCCACCGACTTGACACTTCGGGTGAGCCAACGAATTGGCATGCACTTCAGTAATCGCAGTCTGTTGGTGCGATGCACAACGGCCAGTGTCTCTTTGGCAGCATTAAAGGCCATGTCAACATATCGAGACATGGAAAGAGCATCCAGTCGCGGATTTCTCCCATGAGATGTCTCACCAGCTTCACTGGAAAGGGCCAGTGAGTAGACATATAACTTGGCATAGTGATAATCAAATATCAATGACTCTCTATCAACCATTTCCGCCAACTTTTGGCAGTATTTGGAATCTGGCTGAAGGATCTTAGCCTCATGGACCTGGCTACTGGTGCTGGTTGCTGATGACGGTACTAGGAGTTGGTGATATCTGCGATACCAACTTTCCAACATGGGTGTCATCAAATCAAGTAGAGCCAAATTTTGGTGTTTTGTAAGCCCACCCAACTTCGGTTTGTTTCCATACAGAGACTCGTAGCACAGCGATGTGAACTGGAGCAGTTCCAGTCTCGCTCTTTGCATCGGAGTAAATTTCAATGAAGAATTCATAGGTGTATCACCAAGATCAACCTCTCCTAGCGACGGTGCCAACATCGATCTTCTTGTGATGTTCATCGCCGTGTGGGTCTCTGCAATGTGAGTAGCCAAAAACACGTTGGCATCGTTCTCCATGAACCCCATGTCTTGGGCCAGCCGTACTGCTGAACCAATCAACATCCAAGCCATTCTATCACTCCGTCTCATCGCTCCCAGACCGGCCATGCCGCTGGTATCACCCTCTGGCATCCCAGATCCATTGGGAGGCTTGAGATCGTCTTCTGGCATGTTTGCGTAATCGTTCCAACGCCAATGAATTGCCCTTGGATTCCACTCAGTGAATAGCAAAAATGCAAAAACTGTTCCCACAGATCTTGTCGAGGCCTCAGCCCAAACTGTCTGCGAGATTAGTCGCTGACAATAGACCCAGAGCCGTTCGTGGACCTCTACATGAAGTGGGTGTTTGGAGCCACGACTATCATCACTGTAAAACGGATGGTATCGCGCGCTTATAGTGAGAATAACACAAAGAAGCATCGGATACGCTGCCAGAACATCGGCATCGTGCAATTGTTTTGGGATGAATGGGAAGAATGGGTGCATCGTGGAGAAAAACAGGGCTACCAGTCTTCTGGCCTCCTCCTCCGACAAAATGGAATCCCTTCCGATATACTCAATCTCAGAAAGTCCTGAAGTTGGTGTGGGCCGCACACTATCTATTGACCTCATGGGCGGCATTCTATAGCGAGAACCTATCTGTGGCATCAGTTGCTCCTGGGCTGGGTCGCTGAGACTGTGTGAGCGTGCTCCGCTCTCAGCACCATCCGAGCTACTAGCTGTTTCGAAGACAGCCATTTTTGACCGGGCATCTATCCGGTCTCTATCATCAGCTTTTGCAATATCTCCGGCCACATGGGCCAGATATACCATCGTATTTCGTGAGGTACCCGTGTGTTCCCACGAAGAAGGGTGTGGGTGTGGACTCTCGTCCGACTGTCTGTTTGTGTTGTCGGATGGACTTATAGTCTTCGGAAGATCTTCCATGGTCGAACGTGTCTGAGAAGTTGCGAATCCCGAATCTTCGATTCGTCTAGCGTAAGTGCCGAGAGGACCTGCCATGAGGCCCTGGCTGGGCGTATTTATTCCGGGCTGAGGCCCAACAGAAGCAGAAGCGCGAGCAACTTTGTAATTTGTAGTTGCAGATGGTGATATTGACAGAACACGGCCTCTTTTGGCAGCTGCAAACACACACTCCTTCCTCTCACGTCTGCATCTGGCACACGGGGGATCATGAGGGTTGTTCATATCTCCAAGGTCACATTTTGTTTTGCGTAGACGGCAATTCAGACATGCCATATAATTGCGTTTGAATCCGGATGAATCCTCTGGGGCTTGCGCCATAATGAAGAAAGGCTTCGAGTGATGTGGCGATCTAGTGGTTTTGATAAGGCCTAGCAATCCTCGGGATGAAAATTAGCCTTGTATTCCCGCGAAAAACCGGCTTCGTGCGGCGCGTAATTTCGGCCGCCAAACCAACAATTTCCTATTCGTGCACCAACCAATATTTATTAATGCTAGAATCATCTGTGCCGAGCCATTTGATTGTGGTTATTTATCACGATTTATTGCATGGAATATGAGGTTCATGATATAGTCATTCATTGATGGTCTCTCTGGCTCAGTTTTTCTTATTCCGTTTTTGTGGTGACCCCATGGTGATCAAATCGGGCAAATACGGGTTGTGCAATGGATAGGCCCCCCACTTCTGGACAGCAAGATCGAGTCCCCAGTGCCAAAAGATGTTAAGTGTAATCAAGTGGCCTTTCTAAGGCTTTTCTACAGTTTGCAGCGTTAAATCATTCAACTCATCAAAAGCTCAGAACATGTATGTTTCAATTTATGTTTCAATTTTGGTTTCAATGTGAGTTATCTCTGATATATAGATATTCTCATAAATACGTATCATATGTAGTCCACGTATTTCATACACATTTGCGTGCTCTACTTCTGCTACACCGTTTTCGGAGATCTTATTAGTCTGTCTATCTATTTCGCCAGGGGCAGTTGTTAGCCGTGTATACACAAGGGAGATTCAAAACAGACAACTCTAGCCGAGTCTCCTCCGCTAGTCTCAGATAGCATACTTCCTCGTCCATTCCTTGGCCGTGGCTTCGTATTTGGATCTATCCGTCTTGTATATGTGTGCAATCTCTGGAACCAATGGATCGTCAGGATTAGCATCCGTCAGCAGCGAGCAGATAGACAAAAGCACCTTCGAGATGGTCAGCGCTGGGGACCACAGGTCTCCCAGAATGTCCAGGCAGATCGTGCCGTTTCCGTTGATGTTAGGGTGGTAGATCTTGGTAGTGAAGGTAACCTTTGGCGGCTTGAAAGGATAGTCTGTTGGAATATGGATATTCAGGAAGAAAACGCCGCCGGCATAAGGCGAATCTGGAGGACCCATTATCGAGGCTTGCCAGTGGTACAAATCGTCGCCCACTGGACCGGCCGAGCAGGACGAGGGCGGATCTCTGCCCAGATCTGCTAGTTCCTTATTAATACGCTTTGTAGACATGATGTGTTATTTCTGTGAGAATTCCAAATGAACCTTGGGGATCCTTGTGGAGATGTTCTTGTTGTTGCTGAAGAGAGGAGGACAAGGGGGCAAACGTCTCGTGGAGGAAAAGTGTTCGACAAGGGTCGGGTGCACGACCGCCCAGTCGTGTGCAGGATAATAGTGCGTATTTCTGGTCATGACGAAGTGTCCCTCCAAAATATTGAGGATTTGCACAGCTGAAAAATGGCAGAGCCCGGTCGACCGCCACGCCCAGAAACGCTGATTGCATCTTTGCCAGCTCTTCCTCCTTTCCCCTTCAATGTCCTCTAGGTTGTCATTGATATCCCGCCAACTAATCAGAAACATGTCCTACTCCACTCGTCAGATTGGTGCACCTAACACCCTCGATTTCAAGGTGTACATTGAAAAAGACGGCAAGCCCGTCTCGCCTTTCCATGACATCCCCCTCTACGCGGATGAGTCCAAGCAGGTGCTCAACATGATTGTCGAGGTCCCCAGATGGACCAACGCCAAGTTGGAGATCTCCAAGGAGATCACCCTCAACCCAATTATCCAAGACACGAAGAAGGGAAAGCTTCGTTTCGTGAGAAACTGTTTCCCTCACCACGGGTACATCCACAACTACGGTGCCTTCCCCCAAACCTGGGAAGACCCTAACGTCACCCACCCAGAGACCAAGGCCAAGGGTGACAACGATCCTTTGGATGTTTGTGAGATCGGTGAAGCCGTTGGTTACGTCGGTCAGGTCAAGCAGGTCAAGGTTCTTGGTGTCATGGCCTTGCTCGACGAAGGTGAGACCGACTGGAAGGTGATCGTCATCGACGTTAACGACGCCCTTGCCCCCAAGCTCAACAACATCGAGGATGTTGAGCAGCACATGCCCGGTTTGCTCAGAGCCACTAATGAATGGTTCCGTATCTACAAGATCCCTGATGGAAAGCCTGAGAACCAGTTCGCCTTCTCTGGTGAATGCAAAAACAAGAAGTACGCCGAGGAGGTTGTCACCGAGTGTGCCGAGGCCTGGAACCGTTTGATCAGCGGAAAGGTTGACCCTAACGGAATTGACCTCACCAGCACGACTTTGGCATCGGTCACTTCTTTCAGCCCATCTGTCCAGGTTCCACCTGCTTCTCCATTGCCAGCTGCTCCTATCGACAAGTCTGTTGACAAGTGGTTCTACATCTCTGGTGGTTCTGCCTAAGCCTGAGGGTTAGACTTGCGATTTCGATTGAGTCTTCATGGAAATCTCATAAGTTATTTGGGCTCTAGTTCATCTATTAAGCGGCACTACACAGTCCTCTGATTTATCTCTCCAAACCGTAGCGTCTTGCCTGCTCAGCTTGTCTCTCTTGTAATTGCTATTATATTTCCATTCGTACAATGGAAATGGCATATTTCTATCCTGATTTTGCGTTTTTCACAAACATGGCGATCTTATCGAAATCTTTCGTCCCATTCGTCTCAACACCACCAGAAACATCCACTCCCAACGTGCCCGAGTTCTTCAAAGCCTCTCCAACATTATCAGGAGTCAGCCCACCAGCCAATAAATACCGGCCTCCAGTCTCTCCAAGCAGATGCGCTCTTCCCCAGTCAACCGTTTTGCCTTCTCCACCAAGCTCGGAGTCCAGCAAGGCCAACAGATGCTTCTTAGAATTAACTTCCGCCAACAAAACTTCTATCGGCTGGTCAACCGTGATCCGCCGTATCACTGGGACCTTGATTCCTGGAATATATACTTCTGGGTCTTCGGAGCCGTGCAATTGGACAAAATCCAGTCCGATTTGGTCAACCATGGAGTTGATCTCGTCGAGGCTCTGGTTTCGAAACACTCCCACTAGAAAAGGACCATTCTGCTTCAGTGTTTCAGCAACATGCGCACTCCATGATTCTTCATTGAGATCAAGTGACTGGAGATGTTGCCAAAGCACGTTCGAGTTAGGAAACTCTCTTGAAAACGCGGCTCGTCTGGCTCTCACAACCCTGGATATCTCCGCAGCCTCCGCCACTTCCACGGTACGGGCTCTGTTCGGCACTAAGATGATCCCTGTGAGATCCGCTCCGGAGTCCAAAGCATGAGAAGCGGCTTTCGCGCTTTTTAGGCCGCAAATCTTTACCAAAGCCATGTTTGGATAGAAGAATTTAGTAGGTTAGAAGTAGAAAAGATTATGTGAGTAATGCGGTGTGACACTTGACCGACGAAAAATGACAGACACGCTTTGAAACTTACCCGTGTCCATATGACAGACTACAGCGTAGTATATTCAAGAGACCTACTAAATCGTCTTTAAAGCCAGCACTCTTTCCGCCAAGTACGTACCATGAGGATCCTGTTTTTGCTGTTGGCACTGGCCTCTTTTGGGTCGTGCTTTATAAGCAAAGATATGCTGAAACAGGCCCAGAGGATTTCGGAAAATGGAATACTGGAAGTCGATGACCCTCGCTTCGACATTCTGTTTGACGGGCCCAAAGACTACTATTTGATAGTTCTTTTCACAGCAACAAAAGTAAACGCTGGTTGTTCCGCATGTGATGCATTTGGGCCTATGTTTAAGACGGTGGCGCGTTCTTATGTCGCAAACTATCCGGACTCGAAACGCGTCTTCTTCGCAGAGGCTGACTTTGGTGATAACAGAGAACATTTCAAGCAGTTGCAAATGAACACGGTGCCGCATTTGTGGATTTATCCCCCCTCGGAGCTTACGGAGTCCGAGATCCAGGCAATTGAGCCGGCCGATTGGAAATCCATTGCCAACGTGACCTCTCCACACATGGTGTATAGACCACCAGATAAATTCATCACTGCTCGTGATACCGACGGTGGTGAACTACATTTTGCACAGTTTTTAAGCGAAGTCTTACACACCAACATTGTTCTTCAGAAACCGTTTGACGTTGCCGTTTTCCTTCAATATTTCTCGATCACATTTGCGGTTGTGTTTGCACTCAAGAAGAGAGGTCAAAGGATTTGGGGAAGACTTCAGAAGTACTATCTCTACTGTTTCCTCTCCATTCTTTCCATTTTGATCTCAGTTTCGGGGTTCAACTTTTCTACTCAAAGGCAGGTGCCCTTTCTAGCAAGAAACGATAAGGGCCAGATCATGTATTTATCGGGCGGGACCCACTACCAGTTTGGTTCTGAGATGCTGATCTCTGCAGGTTTCTATGTATTGCTGGGAGTAACCACTGTGCTTCTCATTACATGGGTTCCCAAACTAAAGGACCATACCAAGAGGGGTTTGGCCACGCTAGTGCTAACGGGAGTGCTGTTCGTGCTGTATTGTATGTTGGGAACGGTATTCCACTCTAAAGATTCGAGTTATCCATATGTGCCTTTGTCAATACCGGTGTTCTAAAAGCATTTCTCGAGATCTGAGGACTCGAACTATTCATGAATGTTGGGTTCAAGGTCTCAAGCATCTTCCTCCCTTTGCTCATCCACTTCCACCTTCTCCTCTTCACGGTTGATTATTATGAACGAAACCAAAATTAGCATCGCACTAAGAACATACAAAACCGATGTAGCTCTCTGTCTGAAAACCCAGTCCCCCACCATGGCTATGGGTATAGTCAAAGACAGTCCGACAGTCACCGTCAAAGGAGACGTCAGTAAAGTAGCATTGGCCCACAAAAAGTCTGCGATGAAGGAAATGAAGCAGTTGACAGCAAGCAATTTCCACGTAGTTGAACCATGGGGCATCTCCAAGGTCTCCAGTCCTGTAAGATGCAGCACCACTAGCAACGGCCACACAAAAAGCGTGTTATATATTCCCACGTAGCCAAAAAAAAGTCTCATGTTGATGTTACCAAAGTTAATCGCTTTGAGCTTCAACATGGCAGAATATACGCCGTAACAGACCGCACCGAGCAATGCCAGAACGTTACCCCAGAGAGGATGTGCTGATATGGCATCCGTCTTGTAATTGATCAGCAAAACACCTACAAAGCTCAGAACCAGCCCTGTCAGCTTTATTCTCGATATTGTATCAATACCCACTATCCAGCACACTAACAGAGTAAAGAAACTGCTCGTGGAGCTCAAAATCGTCTGGTTTGAGACAGAGGTATACAGCAGACTGGCGTTGTTGACTAGATTAGACAGAAACCACAACAGACAGAATTTGGCGGCTAGCACGGAAGTCTCGCGATGGGTCAATGCATCTGATGGTAATACCTGTTTGTAGAAGTGGTACGGTATCAAGTACAGAACAAATACCGAGGTGTTCAGATATGTTATCAGAAAGGGTTTGCTATAGAGGTCATCCTTGAATATTCCATCCACTAGAAACGAGGACAACACCCAAAGTATCACCACTCCAAGCAGCATAACAAGTCCTAGACTCCACTCATTTTGACGCAGCATTGTCTGCGATTCTATAGCTGATGTGTTGGGGAGTTGTCGATGGAAGTGATAGCTGATAAGACACATAGAACGGCTCTGGAAGTGTTAGATCTTGTCACGTGACTATATCTTTGGCCTTGAATTATAGGCTGGATGATGGTGTTGAGGTGGACACTTAGGCCGGGGAAGACTTATAAAATGAAGTTGGTTCAAGAATTGCATTGATATTGAGGTTGGTTATAGAGTAGGTTGAGTTTGGAATGAACAGATTGGGGATATAGTTACTATGTCGTTTTGGTATTTGTTCGAAATTATCAAAAATTTGAGAAACTCATCGAAAAGCAAAATAGAGGAAACCCCGAAACTAGAAGGAGATGCAATAGCAGATACACAGAGAAGTCATTTCCAACATTCGCCTCAAAATCAACCCAATACCTGTTTATGTACCAATAGATAATCCTTTTCAGATTCTCTGGACGGCTCAACCTTCAAGGCTGTGCGATGATATACCAGGTTTCTCAGATTCCTCAGGACCTACGGATAAAGCACTGAGAAAACGCCACTTTAAACCAGAAAAAAACAATCCCAATTATATACCATTATTTTTGCACAAATTGTGACAATAAATCAGTATACCAACATGTCTCGATGCCACTACTAGCATTCAGTCTCTCCAACCCCAGGTTCCTAGCCTTTATTTCACGGCTGTGCAACCGTTTCGAGCTAAATGATAATCTTGCCTAATTGGGCTAATTGTAAACATTCAATATATGCCTGAAGCGGTAAAACAAGATTGGTCTGTTCAACTTGTCTTGTGATTCTTTCTCTGTTCACACTCGTCAAGCGCAAAAAAAAAACCACAACTAGTTTCAGAATCTTGTCACGAGTAGTCATTAAATCCAGAGACACTCGAAGATGACGGCGTTTTACGGCACCAGCAACGCCTTTGGAACGATAGATCTACACTCGCCGCTGAAGATGTCGCCACAACATAGAAATCCAATATTTCAGGGAATGAGTCCAGTCGGGAAAATGGGCCAGCATCAGTCTATCTTCACAGGGAGCATGTCCCCCAACTTGAGGGTGGTTACTACTGATTGGTCGGGCAATAGACGCGGTGGTGAAACCGCTTCATCGGGCCAGGAAAGGAGTGCAGCAGGGTCACCTAATAAGAGAACTCTACGCAGAACCAATACTGCAGATAGGTTTATACCTGCAAGACACACTGTCTCGGGGAGACTCAACCAGGAAGAAAATGTTCCTCTTCCATACGCTTCACCGTCTGCTCACATAGAAAGCCAAAGCCAGAAGATTTACCAGAACACAGTTGCTGAGGCATGTGGTTTGGATGTCAGTGAGAGAATCCTGCAATTTCAACCAGCTCCCCCAGAAAGCAGAAAGCCAGCAGATCTCAAGTCTCAATACCGGAGCTCCGTTCCCATCCAACCGTCAGTTGCCCATGCAAGGGCCAAAAGAGTCCCCACAAACCCAGAAAAGGTCTTGGATGCTCCCGGGATTGTGGACGATTTTTATCTGAATCTCCTGGCATGGTCCTCGCTTAACGTTCTGGCGGTTGCACTGGAGGATGCGGTGTATGTTTGGAATGCTTCCACGGGCTCGGTGGAGAGTCTGGGAAGTTGCAACTGTCTCGTAACCTCAGTGAGATGGTCAGATGACGGGTATTATCTTTCGGTGGGAAAGAACGATGGCTCGGTGGAGCTGTACGATGTCGAGACTTTGGAGAGAGTGAGAACCATGAAGGGCCACGAGGCCCGCGTAGGGTCTCAATGCTGGAATCAACACATTCTTACTTCGGGCTCAAGATCAGGAAGAATATTCAATCACGACGTTAGGCAGCAGCAGCATATCGTGGCTACCCTTGACGGTCATTCAGCTGAGGTGTGTGGAATTGAATGGAGAAGTGATGGAGAACAACTGGCAACAGGCGGAAATGATAACGTGGTAAATGTATGGGATGCGAGATCGTCAATTCCAAAGTTTACCAAAACAGCACACAACGCTGCTGTAAAGGCGTTGTCATGGTGTCCTACTCAGCAGTCATTGTTGGCCACAGGAGGAGGAGCAGCAGATAAACAAATCCATTTCTGGAACACAACGGTAGGAGCACGTGTTAATACGATCGACGTTGGACACCAAGTTTCCTCCCTAAGATGGGGATATGCCAATGGCATCGGAAAGGAGATCTGTGCTACCCATGGCTCTTCATACGATAATGGAGTCAGCGTGTATGCATACCCTTCTCTCCAGAAAACAGGTGCAATTGCACAGGCTCATGAGTTGCGTATTCTAAACAGCGCATTGTCCCCAGATGGAATCACACTGGCAACGGTTTCAGCAGACGAGAACCTCAAGTTCTGGAAGCTGTTTGACTGTCCCAAAAAGTCAGATATGGTCAGCTCTCTGACTACAGGAAAGGCTATGGGAAAAGTAATGACTATCAGATGATTACGGCAAAGTGCAGAAACACAACGAAACCTGCCAAATGTATAGATAATGTACCAATACAATACCAAAGGAAAAAACGCCGCACCATGTAAGTGCACCACACAATATGTACTCTGCGCGGGAAGAGGCATCCCAATCGGGAAGGTCTATTCGGGCGCTGTAGCAGGCGCCAAAGAGAAGCTTCTTTCAGTGTCAATTCAGTGACAGTTTCAAGAGATGGGGGTATGGAATCAGACAAATATCTGAGGTTGTACTGCGTAATTTTCTTAGAAGCCCCGATTATGGGGTATAGGTCCAGATATAGCTCCAATTTTAGACTCAAATCACGCTTTTTTAAGTGCCTTTTTCCACTTCTCCACGGATCCTCCGCGTTTGCAACCGGCTTCGGCGAGGCTTCAGTTTTCCGCGGTGTAGATCAAGCGGTATCGGGGTTACTTAATAGGAGTGATTCGCGCGGTCCTCCCTCACATGGGACTCTTGTGAATATTTTTTGATTAATTTTGAATACTTCTGAATACTTGTTCGCCGTCTAGTCTTTAACCGTTTGAAAATTTAACGGTGATTCGAGACTTTTCTATACTGTTCGTTCCAATTCGTTGAGACACTCTTTACCCCAGACATCATCATGTCCAAGGTTGAACTCCTCACCCTGGCCGACTACAAAAAGGCGGCTGCCACGCTGTACGAGTCTTTTGATGACGATGATGTTGCCAGATACGTTTCCAACCATTTGGAATCGGATCCAGAACGCCGCAAGCTTGCTGATATTGCTCTCTATGAAATGTACGTCTACTCCCACATCCTCCGTGGACAGGTAGTGGCCGTGAAAGGCGAGGACCACGAGAGTTCAGATACATTCGAAACTGTTTCTGTGTGGGTGCAACCAGGCGCTTTACCAGTGGATAGTTGGTGGACTTTGCTGAGATCTGGCTACTTGAAGCTGTCCTGGTACACCGGCCTCAAGGGAAGGAAACGTGTTTTTCAGGAAATGTTCCCCCTCCTTCACGACAGTGCCCATGAGATCCTGGGGGATGATGCTGAAAAAGCTTACTTCCTGGTGTATCTGGGTTCTACCCCAAAAGCCCGTGGAAAGGGCAATGTCAGGGCCATCTTCGAATACATGTTCTCCAACTACATAGATAAGAACGGATTCGTGTCGTATCTCGAAAGTTCCAGTCTGAAAAACCTGCCCATATACGAAAAGTTTGGTTTCAGATGCGTCAGTGATATCTGGTTGGGCGACAAGACGAATCCAAAAGACAGTGCGAGGATGGATGTCATGGTGAGAGGTGTGAAGGGCGAAAAGTGGGAACAGCACGATCATGTGCGCAAAACGCGATCATACGAGCCACCAAAAGAGTGTGCTCTTCACTGAAACGAATTTCAGTTTTTCTACGTTTCCCTTTCAGTATTTCATCGCTAAACGCAATCAAATTCATACATAGAGCCATACTAATTCCTGAAGATCGCGTAGTGCGAGTCTCAACCAAATTTACTGAGTGTGACACTACCAACACCCGACTTCGAAACGGATCTCAAGGTATGGGCGAGCAAAGGACCAATACTTTACCTTTTCCTCTTTAACGATTCAACAATTCTATCAGTTGAACAGAAAAAAACTGTCACCCAATCACAACGTCTTTTCGATCTAAGTAATTGCCCATCATGTATTCCCGGCAGTTGTATGGGGATTCACAGCTCCACGCGCAGCTAGCCCAACAAAGACAGTTCACATTTCAACAACAGCAACAACAACAACAACAGCAGCAGCAGCAGCAGCAGCAACAACAACAGCCACAGCAGGTCAACTCATCGTATCCAATCAACTCTACAGCTGCCAATACGGCGTTGCTTATGCAACAACTACAACACACCATTCCCAACGTTGTTCAGGTTCAACCTAACAACAATCCACAGACAGCCTCCATCAACCAGTCTCTTGGCCAGACACTCCCTTCCCAAACCCAGGCAAAGACGAACCAGCTGCTTTCGGCAGGACCGGGTGCGAATGGTGCTAAAGCCTTTAATGACGAGAAGGTTTATACTTGGATCATTGAGCTGGTGTATGGACCAGGTCGCGAACAGGCTCTTTTGGAGCTCGGAAAGAAGAGAGAATTATACGATGATCTTGCACTTGTTCTGTGGCACTCTTTTGGAGTGATGACCGCTCTTTTGGAAGAGATTGTTGCAGTGTATCCTCTACTATCGCCACCTCAGTTAACATCAGCTGCTTCTAATAGGGTCTGTAATGCGCTGGCTTTGCTGCAGTGCGTTGCATCGCATCCAGAGACTAGAACCCCCTTCTTGAATGCACATATACCGCTGTTCCTCTATCCGTTTTTGAACACCAACTCGAAACAACGTCCATTCGAGTACCTCAGACTGACCTCCTTAGGTGTTATTGGTGCCTTGGTTAAGAACGACACTCCTGAGGTGATATCCTTCTTGCTGACAACCGAAATCATCCCTTTGTGCCTCAGGATAATGGAGTCGTCTTCTGAATTGTCCAAGACCGTGGCCATCTTTGTGGTGCAAAAGATTCTGGTGGACGATTCTGGACTGAGCTACGTGTGCCAGACCTTCGAGAGATTCTCCGCAGTGGCTAACGTGCTGAAGCTGATGATCGACCAGCTGGTGACAAACCCCACAGTAAGACTCCTGAAACACGTTGTGAGGTGCTATCTCAGACTCTCCGACAACGCTGATGCAAAGAAGGCCTTGAAGGAATGTCTTCCAGAACCACTCCGAGACGGAACCTTTAGCGTTGTTCTTAGAGACGATGCTGCAACAAAAAGGTGTTTAACACAATTGTTATCGGTGATTTCTCAGGAATAGAAGGGTCGATCCCTCGGTAAGCAGAGCTTGCAGGGGTTGGTACCGACATCACCTCGGACCTGTTCGACGAATTAACCAAAATGACACTCTTATAAGGCATCATCCAGCATTTTTCAAAAATTTCCGTTTTTCTACGACCACGAAACGATTATATCTGTTGCTTTCAGTTTAATACATATATTCAGGCTACTCCGACCGTAGAGAAATGGCAGAAAGTAACTAGAGTTTCACCCATAGCAAAATGGCAGATTCTCGACAGGATTTCCATAAGTGTTACCCGGCACAACACCAAACCAGGATCGCCAAATCAGACTCGTGAATCAGAACTCATTGACACAACAACCTACAGCAGGATCGAATCCCGGCTGACTTTTCTCATTTAAATTCGAGCAATCCCGTTCCGGCAAGTCAATCACACTGGAAACGTTTGTTTTGAATTTCGCTGCAAGAATTGTCGCCGTCACTTACTGACGTTACCTACCCGTTCGTGATACGTGTACACAAGCCAACAAGGCCGTTTATTTTTGAAAAGGACGACCAATGTCTACGCATACATACAAGAAGTTCGAGGATTTGGATTCCGGGGCCCTCCCGGACAAGATGACCGTTTACCAGGAGTGCTTGCAGGCGTTTAATGCCAGTCCTGTGCAGGCCAAACGTTGTCGGTTGTTGTTGTCGAGACTCTTGAGGTTGCTTTATTGCGGCGAAAGCTTTCCAACGGCTGAAAGCACTACGTTGTTTTTCTCCATTTCCAAGTTGTTTCAGCATAACGATTATTCCCTGCGTCAATTGGTCTACGTGGCGATCAAGGAGCTTTCTGCTGTTTCCGATGATGTATTGATGGTGACCTCTTCCATCATGAAGGATATTCAAAACGGCGAGATAATCTACAAGCCCAATGCTATTCGTGCGCTGGCCAGAGTCTTGGATGGGACCACTATCCATGCCGCAGAAAGAATCATGAAGAATTCCATTGTTGACAAGAACCAGAGTGTTTCGTCTGCTGCATTGGTATCTTCTTATCACCTTTTGCCTGTGGCCAAGGATGTGGTTAGACGCTGGACCAACGAGACTCAGGAGTCCATTTCCGACTCAAAATCATTCCCATCGCAACAGTTTTTGACCCATGAGTATTATGGCGCTAACAAACTCCCATTGTCCACTTACACCTACCAGTACCACGCCCTTGGTCTTCTCTACCATTTGAGAAACCATGACAAGATGGCTCTGATGAAGATGATCCAGCAACTTAGCACGAATTCTCCCTTGAAGAATTCGCTTGCAATCGTTCAATTGATCCGTTACATTGGAAGAATCATTGAGGAAGACTCTGGGTTGACTCAGACCCTGTTCCCTCTTTTGGCCAGTTGGTTGAGACACAAGTCTGACATGGTAGAGCTTGAGGCTGCTAAGACCATACTGTCCTTGCCAGGATTGACTGGTGAGCAACACCTTCAGGCAATCAATACCTTGCAGGTGCTCTTGTCGGTACCAAGAACCGTGACAAGATTCGCTGCTGTTAGAATTTTGAACAGAACAGCCATGAAGAACCCAGAAAAGATCGTGGTATGCAACGTGGAACTTGAGAGTTTGATTAATGATTCGAACAGATCGATCTCAACATATGCCATTACTACTCTGCTCAAGACTGGAAACTCTGACAATGTCGATAGACTGATCAAAACAATTTCGGGTTTTATGGACGATATTTCGGACGAGTTCAAGATCATCGTCATCGAAGCAGTTCGCACTTTATCACTCAAGTTTCCAGAGAAGCACCAATCCATGCTTTCATTCCTGAATGACGTTTTGAGAGATGAGGGGGGATTCAGCTTCAAGAACGCGATCATCGAGGCTATCTTTGACATCATTAAATTTGTTCCTGAATCTAGAGAAAGTGCCTTAGAGACTCTGTGTGAGTTTATCGAAGATTGTGAATTTACTGAGTTGGCAGTCAGAGTTCTCCATCTTCTAGGAACAGAAGGTCCAAAAACTCCAAACCCAACCCTTTACATCAGACACATATACAACCGTGTTGTGCTCGAGAACTCGATTGTCCGTTCTTCCGCTGTCATTGCACTGTCCAAGTTCGCACTTTTGGGAGACGAGTCTATTTCAAAAAGTATCAAGATTCTGTTGACAAGATGTTTGAGCGACGTCGATGACGAAGTCAGAGACAGAGCGGCTTTGTCGCTCAAGTTGCTGTCTTCAAAGGACATAGAAGAGGCCAAGGTTTACCTTGCTCCATCCGTCAAGTATTCGTTACCTATTTTGGAGCAAAAATTAGCCCTCTACGTTTCTGGTGACAAGGATACTTTCAGCACGCCATTTGACATTTCATCGATCCCAACGATCACTGAGGAGGAGGCGAAAGCATACGAATACAAGGAGAAGACTGCTGCTGATACTGAGGAGATTGCATCTCCTGGTAAAGAAGACAAAGAGGACGATTCCCAGAACGAAGTTTTCAAGCAGAACTTGTTGCACCAACAATACTCGCAAGAATTGGCTTCGATTCCAGAAATTGCCGCGTACGGTACTCTTCTTCACTCGTCTGCTGTGGTGGATCTAACCGAGAAGGAGACAGAATTCGTTGTTACTGCTGTTAAGCACATCTTTGAAGATCATCTCGTGATCCAATACAATGTGAACAACACACTCACAGACATCCAATTGGATGACGTGACAATTGTGTCGCAACCAGATGCCGAAGATGTTTTCGTGGAGGAGTTCATTATTCCGATTGAAGTGTTGAAACCTCAGGCTGAGGCCGCTATCTATGTGTCTTTCAGCAGAGCGGAAGGCATTGAGCCAGGTGTGTTTGTCAACACCTTGTCGTACACCTCCAAGGATGTGGACCCTGCTACGCTGGAGCCTGCTGAAGGTGATGTGGGATTCCCAGATGAATACCAAATTGAAGAGCTACAGGTTTCTCCTGGTGACTACATCACACCTGCTTTCGTTGGCAACTTCACTCACGTATGGGATGAATTGCCAAACGAGCAGAGTGCTGTTTACAACCTCAAGGACGTTACCAGTATTGAAGAATCTGTTTCGGGTCTCATCAAGTCCTTGAGCATGATGCCAATGGAATCTTCCGAGATCGTGTCGTCGTCATCTCATCACACTTTGAAATTGTACGGAAAGTCGCTTGGTGGAGCCAGAGTGGCTACTGTGATTAGACTGGCATCCACCGCTAAGGGCTTCATGATGAAGGTTCAGGTGAAGTCTGACGATGAGATTGTAAGCGAATCTGTTGCAAACAATGTCGTTTGAGCAAACATGAGCAACATTATGTATATCTCCGATCTAGACAATAATTGACACAGTAGGAATCTGAATTTTAGTGACCCGTAGAGATGGCAGTACTGGTGAGGCGGGGCCGATGAGATATTGTTAAGTCTAATGGTGCCTTGGTGTAGGTGATGGAATATGTTTTGAATTCTATTTTTCATTATAACTACTAGATTAGCTATATCAAACATCTTACACAGTATCAGTATGGAAAAAGACTCAATCGAACAGCAGGTACAGGGAAAGAGGCCCAGTGAACTGAGCCAGGAGCTACAGGACTTACTCTCATATGATAAGACCACAGGACGCTGGATTCTAGAGCTCGCCGAGAAAAACGTGTATCTCGTGTTCAGTCAGAATCTGCTTAGGTGGATCCCCGAAGAGGAAGATGCTGCCAATGCAAAGAGTGCGACAGATGTGCCCGATGCCACTGCCGAGTTTCACAGGCTGAAAAAGGAAGAGTTGCTGCGACAGAAGTTAGAGAAGCAGAAACAGAAGGAACAGAGTAAGCGCGAGAGAAAGAACACTGCTGTGTATGTCACTGGATTACCGTTGAATATCGGAGCAGAGGAGCTCCGAGGTGCTTTTTCTAAGTACGGAGTGATAGCAGAGGATCTCAAAACTGGCGAAAAGAAGGTCAAAATATACAAGGATGCAAATGGGAAGGTGAAGGGGGATGCCTTGATAGTATATGCGCGAGAAGAAAGTGTGGCAATGGCAATTGAGTTTCTAGATGGTACCAGCATCGGCGCAGACTCTGGCAAGATACATGTTTCTGCTGCTGACTTTTCTCACAAAGCAGCAGACGAGCCGAAACTAGACACCAAGCCGTTGGGATTCAAGGAGAAGGCTCAATTGAAGCGAAAAATCGAAAAGTTGAAGAACAAAGTTGAAGGTTGGGAGGATGACGACGAGATTGCAGAGCGTAAGCGGGCAAAGGCTGCCAAATTCGACAAGGTGGTGGTGCTGAAACATTGTTTTACACAGGAGGAGCTCAAAGAGGATGCTACAGCTATATTGGATATCAAAGAAGATATCAGGGAGGGATGCGAGCAGATTGGAGAGGTTACAAACGTGGTGCTCTATGACTTGGAACCCGAAGGAATCGTGAGTGTGCGATTTGCTTCTAGTGTGGCAGCCGATATTTGCATTAAGAAGATGAACGGACGGTTTTTTTCTGGCCAAAAGCTGGAAGCGTTCAAGCCGGACGGTCTTCTTAGGTATAAGAAGAGTGGTAAGGATGACGATAATGAGGCGGAACGTCTCAAGAATTTTGGCGAATGGTTGGATAAGGAGTGAATATTAATTATTTTTCTTTGAAAATAAAAGAAAACAGAATAGTTTCAACTACAAATCCTCCCAGATATACATACTTACATATACCAAAGGCCTGTGTCAAAGGACTAAGGTCTACCCCACCATGACTTCCTGTAGGCACAGACCATGCCCCCCCACTTCTTTAAAGATACTGAAATCTCCGAACTTGGCCTGGCTTTATTATTGCCAACTAGTAAGTTGAGCCCCATAAATTTAAAACATATATTCTGATATCCTCTCTATCTCGTCTGCAAGCAAATACCCGAGCGTTGCATTAATCACCCGTCAATTTGTGACAGATTACTTTTTTTTCGTCGACAGGCCAAAATCTCACAGCTTGGCCTGGAGTTCCCAACCAGTCTCATAACTAGCCTTTGACCAGCTTACAAAATCTACGAAAATGGCACCAAAGAAACAAGTTGAAGAAAAGAAGCTCCTTCTGGGACGTCCAGGTAATAACCTTAAGTCGGGAATTGTGGGTCTTGCCAACGTTGGTAAGTCCACCTTCTTCCAGGCCATTACCAGATGTCCTCTGGGTAACCCTGCCAACTACCCCTTCGCCACAATCGAGCCAGAAGAGGCTAGAGTCATTGTGCCTTCTCCAAGACTTGACATCTTGTACGACCTGTACCACTCCAAGGCCAAGATCCCTGCTTACATCACCATCTATGACATTGCTGGTTTGACAAAGGGAGCCTCGAAAGGTGAGGGTTTGGGAAACGCCTTCTTGGCCAATATCAGAGCTGTTGACGCCATCTACCAGGTGGTGAGATGCTTTGACGATGCCGAGATTATCCATATCGAGGGTGACGTCAACCCTGTGAGAGATTTGGAGATCATCTCTGAGGAGCTGAGACTGAAGGACATCGAATTTGCTCAGAAGCATCTCGAGGCCGTTGAAAAGATTACCAGAAGAGGAGGCCAGTCTCTTGAGGTCAAACAGAAGAAGGAGGAGGCAATTTTGGTCCAGAAGATCATTGATCTGTTGGAGTCTGGCCAGAGAGTGGCCAACCAGACCTGGACTCCTAAGGAAATCGAGGTCATCAACACCATGTACCTTTTGACAGCAAAGCCTTCCATTTACTTGATCAACCTTTCCGAGAGGGATTTTGTCCGCAAGAAGAACAAGCACTTGTTGGGAATCAAGGAGTGGGTCGACAAGTACTCCCCAGGTGATATCATCATCCCATTGTCTGTTTCTTACGAGGAGAGACTTTCGCAGCTCGAGACCGATGAGGAGAGAGCAGAGGAGGAAAAGAGAGTTGGAACTCCATCGATTCTACCAAAGATCATCACCACGATGAGAAAGAAGCTGGATCTGATTTCGTTCTTCACCTGTGGTCCTATGGAGGCCAGAGAATGGACCATCAGAGACGGAACCAAAGCTCCAGCTGCCGCAGGTGTTATTCATAATGATTTGATGAACACTTTCATTCTGGCCCAGGTTACCAAGTACCAGGACATGATTGAGCTTAAGGATGAGGGTTCGGTTAAAGCTGCCGGTAAGCTGCAAATGAAGGGTAAAGATTACACCGTTGAAGATGGTGACATTATCTACTTCAGAGCCGGTGCTGGTAAGAACTAGTGTAATTAAGTTTTATTTTGAAGAGAAAGTAGAATAAAAGCGTAGGTTGGGGTCTGAAACTTTCTGAGCATAATTCAATTTTGAGCCGTGCACAATTGTTCCCGGTGCTCATACCTTTTAAATGGCCACCAGAGCCCGAAACCACCTGACACTTCAAACCCACCGATTTTTAATAGCTGCTCCTCTTGATATACAGCGAACATTCATGATTAGGACAACTAATTTACTTAGACTTCCCCAGTTGGGTAGGTTATTTGCCCCGACTGTTCTCAGAAATTCCAGGTGTCTGTCGCACACGTTCCCTAGGGCCAACGAGTTGAATGAGCAAGTTATGAAACCAAAGAAGCCTCTTTCCAGGATACCCGTGGGGGGTTCCGAATCAGTGAGAGAGCAGACTGTGAAGACTGGCTCAACTGTTGAGTTTTCCACGGGAAGGGCGTTGGTTCTGTTTCTGGTGGTGGGAGCTGGATTGACGTATTTCTTCAAACAGGAGAAGAAAAGGCTGGAAATCCAAAGAGAAGCTGAGACAAACAGGGGTATGGGAAAGCCGCTTATTGGGGGAGACTTCAACCTTGTGGACCATAACGGAAACCCTTTCACTCAGGAAAAGCTCAAGGGCAAGTTCTCAGTGCTGTACTTTGGCTTCAGCCACTGCCCCGACATCTGTCCCGATGAGCTTGACAAGCTAGGATTGATCTTGGAAAACATGAAGAAGAATCATGGGGTCACTTTGCAGCCAATATTTATTACGTGTGATCCAGCTCGTGACTCGCCCGAGGTGCTGAAGGAGTATCTCAGTGAATTCCACCCTGATATTATAGGCTTGACTGGTGACTACGACGAGATTAAGAAGTGCTGCAAAAACTTTCGTGTCTACTTTTCCACGCCCAGGGACCTCAAACCTGGACAGGATTACCTGGTGGACCACTCCATCTTCTTCTACCTCATGGACCCAGAGGGTGAGTTTATTGATGTACTGGGTAGACAATACGATGCTGAGGGTGCTGCTGAGAAGATCAAACAGCACATTTCAGTTTACGTTCCCAAGGACGCCAGAGAGAAGCAGAAACAAGGCTGGTTGGGGTTTCTCTTTAAATGAAAAATAATACTGCCATCTGAACTGCGTGTCAGCAATTGATCTGTTTCCTGCACTACCTATTGGTCACGTGGTGAGATCGAGACCGTTGACGCGTGTTTTCTGTACATAGTCCTATTATAGGCACAATTCGGCAATACAAGCAGTATGGTGTCTTCACTTATTAAACCTGACTGTGGATATATAAAATGATAGGCGAATTCAGCTTAGTGTAAAACAACAATATATTCAATTTTTGGCGTGCATTCCAACCGAAATTACCCATCGAGATGTTAAATCAGCCCCACTAACCCCATCGCGAGCCAGCGAGCCTTTTCCTGCCAAAGATGCCCAAGTTTTTCCTTTCCCCCTTGTTCTCGACATTTTGTAGAATTCCTTCTTTCCTCCGTTTCTTCCCTGTACAATACATCCTGAACGGATACATCACATTTGCTGGTTATATATATGGTGAGTTTGATTTAACCGGTCTTTCGTGTTGGTTTGGCATTCTGTGAATCCTGGTATTGGTGATATTTTGGTATGACTTGTTTGTCGCAATTTGGTGAAACTGGTTATTACTTGGTTCACACCTGTTCAACTTGTTCGTACTTGTCAAAATGAATGTTATTACTACTCTTCAGCTTGTTTCAACATGTTATAACATGTTATCACTCGGACCGACCTGGCCTATGCTAGTTGCTTTAGTTACCCGTTTTCATGACAGGTTATAACAGGCTACAACATACAACACATCGCTGCTCACTGCCCGTCTCACACGCCAACCACAATCTTTCCATCTATCAAGTTTACTAACTCTCGAGTTTAGGTGTTGTTCAAGCGAAAGCCGGTGGATTTTCCGGCGCCCAAAGAACTACCAGAAAACCTGGATGTCGAGGTCTGGCACATCCCCGAAACGGGCGAATGGTTCACCGAATATGACGATTACTTGAGCCGCATGGATCACTATAACACCCGCAAATTTGTGTGTGAGATCACTGGAAATTCCAATTTCACCTACTTTGAGGCTTTGCAATACGAGAAAGCCGAGATGCTGGAGGTTGAGAAGCGCTTTCCAGAGCCGGTAAGAGAGCCCATTTTACGCTATGTACAATTCTCAACGACTCCACGGATTGACCAGCTGGTTGATGAAGTTTACAACCAATTCAAGCGGGACTTTTTTCCCGGCGATTTTGTTATCGTGAAACTTTTGGGTGTTATTGGATCCGAGAAGGCCCGGGGCTACGTCCGCGAGAAGGCGCGATTCAATGCAATTACTCTTCCGGATGGCGAAGTCCGCAAGGGTTACTGCTCTTACCGTGTCACTCTGCTCGATGAAAATGAAATTACTGTTAACGAGAACCAGCTTTCCAGAGAGAGAAATAGTTTCACCAAATGGCATGTCAAGACGTTTCTCAAGCTTACGCTTACCCGTGGGAACCGTGTAGGTGCGCCATGGATTGTTCGTGATAAGTATGCAGAGCAGTATAGGATTCCAACGGAATATCCTGAAAATCTTCTGGAGTATTCTGTGCCTGACCAGGCTGTTGTCAGAGGCAAGAAAAGAACTCCTGCTGTTCCTAAGAGGCTCAAGATCAAGCGCGAGGATGTGATAAACATTCCAGACATCTTTAGTCAAATGAAGGAGACTCCTCCGCTAAATACTTCAGAGGACAGAGCCGTTTTACAGTCTTGGAAGGATAGTTGGTATGATATTCTCAAGAGGTGTCACGTCTATTTTGATTTCGACAACGACGACACTTCTGATCTGTCAGTGAGAAACAAGGTCTATCAGCTGTTTGCTTACGCTGGTGTCACAGCCTTGCCGCAATTCGACCCTGAACGCACCAACTTCATCATTTCACTGAGACCTTACAATTCGAAGGAACTCTACGCAAATGATGATATCTACAGACATGTTCACACGCGGAACATCAAAGTGTGGCACTACGAGAAGGTTTTCCGTTTCTTCAAGAGCTTAAGCATTACAATGCGTAAGATTTCACAGATGGAGAGAGCCAAGACAGAAGACCTCAAATCCAAGTCCAAGTTTGTGGACATACTGCCCGCACCACAGCTTGGGCAGGATTCTCCTAGACCTGGAACTAACGGCTATGGCGACCATTCGCATGCTGTTGTTCGCAAAGGTGCTGTTGATGACCTTGCTCTAACTTTCCAGGTCACCAACTGGAAACCAGCATACCACAGGTTTGAAAACTCAAAATACGTGTCTGAGTTGCTCGAGACTTGGTGTTTTCTGAACATCTATGGTACACCATTGGTGATTGACTCATTCACATTCGACGACTTTGTCGCCGCTTTGAGCTGGGATGATTCCACCACCAGGTGCGACCTTCTAGAGGAGATCTTCTGTTCCACCCTAAAGGCTATTTTGGATGAGAAATATAAACCAGGCTCTGGTAGGGATGATGGTTTATTGGTCACTTTGCCACGTGCTCTCCATGATGATGAGGATGACGAAGAGGTAGAAGAAGAGAAGGAAGCCAAAGCTGATGCAGACGCCGAGGTCAAAGCTTCTGCTGATCCTGACGAAGAAAAGACCGAAGGGTCAAATGGCAAACCCCCGGTCGAGGCTGAGCCCGAAGAGTCTGACCCTGAAGATTCTGAAGAAGAGGAGGAAATCAACCACAATGCCTACGCTGTTCTGGAATACAAAAATTTGACATGGCAAGAAAGGCTCAAGAGACGCTCATTCAAGGATGGTGGCTGGCAAGTTATTCTCATTGGTGTCCTATCACTGGTGGACTTTGTCCCTCAGTTCAAGGACACTATCAACGATATCCTTGAGAATATTGCACCTGTTGACGAAATAACCACTCCCATGACTGTTCAGGTCAACTTCTATGAGAGATTAGGACTCGATCTCAAGGTCAAAGCGCTCAGTATTGTGTGCTCGCTTTTGGTGAATGGCTCGGTCATTAGAAACCACATAGACAAGTGTCTGGAAGAGGCCACTCAGTTAAGACGTATCAGACTTGAACATATCAGAGACTATAAAGCCAACCTCGAAGAAGCCAGATCCGTTCAGATTCTCATCACTGAGGCACTTGGAGTACCTGTTGCGAGTTCAGATATAAACAGTCCGAACTCCACACCGGCTCCGCAGGCTGCAGATGAACAAACTTCCAAAAAAAGACGCCGGGGTAGGTTTGCCAATCTTCCGCCAGTTGAGCCAACCGATGAAGAGGTGGCATTTGGAAGTGCAAATCCCGAATTTCTGGGTCTTCTCAAGCAACGAGGTGAGCTCATGAAGAAGGTAGAGGAGAGCAAGGCTTTGAGGAAACAGTACGAGCGGAGATTGAATGAGATCGATGTTCAAAGAGTTCGCTACGTTGGTAGAGATCGTGAGTACAACAGATATTGGTGGTTCGAGAGCAATGGGCTTCCAACGCTCAAGTCTGTTCGTAACAAGGACGACGACGAAGATGAGGAAGAGGAAGAGGATGACGATGTGGACAATCCCGTGGAGGACGAAAGTTTCCTGATGGGCCGTCTTTGGATACAAGGACCAAGCGATGAAGACCGCAAGAGCTTCTTAAAGTTTCCAGACGAAGAGTTGCAAGAATGGAGAGATATAGTTGAGAGTACTATGGACACTGATGAAGTTCAAAAGCGCTCAGAGAGCAAGGCAGAATCGAATAATGGAGCAGAAACAACCCAAGTTCAAACCTCTGACCAGCTTGATAACTACACAAAAGTTCCAGCTGGTTTTGCGCGCGCTGCAAAAGAGAAATTTGGACTGGTGTTTGAGAATGGTATCGTCAAGGATGTGAACGATTTCACTATTGTGGATCAATACGGTGCAACCACCAGCAAGGAGTACCACCCAATGGAACGCAAGATTCTTGAGGAAGGACCAGAATGCTTGCTTAATTCAGAAGATTGGAGATACATAGACTCTGCTGACGATATCAACAGTCTTCTCAAATGGCTGAATCCAGCAGGGAAGAGGGAGTTACAGCTTCGCAAGGAACTTCTTCTCCTTCAAGACAACATCAAGTCCAGCATGGTTGCACGCAAAAAGGCACTGGGGCTCGGACAGAAGAGCGACCAAGAAGAAGAGCTCGAGCGCATTCTAAAAGAGACGGTGATTTCGGATACCGAGGAGTCGGAAGAAGAGGATCTTGGGTCTGAGACTCCAGATGCTGAAAGCGAGCCAGAAACTCCTTCAGCCAAGCCACGCACTCGTCGTTCAATTGCTGCCTTGGAGATAGAGGAGCAGAAGGAAAAGGCTGTTAAGGAAAAGGCTGCAAAGAAAGCACTCGGTCCGAGTGCAAGAATCGCAAATAGAGAGGCAAAGAGAAGAAAGATTAAGGAGCACAGTGACAAGAGAAGAACTCTTGAGAATGCTGCAAAAGAACTTGATGCCATTCGTTCTGATAAGAGCAGAAACAGCGTTCTTCAATGGGTCAACTCCATTGCCCTTGAAACCCTAGGACACTTGCATTCGGAGCCTCCGGTGAAACGGGGCAGACCTCCCACTAAGAAAGGCAGAAAGTAGCGCAAAAGTCAAAGTTTGAATATGAATAAATTTGTATAAATTTCAAGTTAAGTGTTGTATCACTAAAACCAATTGGAGAAGCTCGTGAGTTTATACGCATACCAAGTGTGTACCTACCAATAATATTTTGCTCTTCCAATAGGTAGTGTACTCCCGTCAGCTTACATCTCTGAAGACAACCACTGGGCGAGAGTCAAACTTTTCGGTGAAGCTTCTCTGATTCAAACTGTTAGCATTTTAGCAGTATGAAGATGATTTCCGGTATGAGGAGCAGTATCTTGCGATCGGCCGTCAGTAGACCATCGCTGAGCCTGGTTGCCAGGTTCAACTCAACCAAGGTTGGAGCTGAAAAGTCAGAGCTGTTTGAGGCACCAGCAACGATGGCTAAGGCGTCTGGATTACCAAATATGGCAGAGGATTTGCCTCCAAACAAAGATATTCCACTTAGTAGAAAGCTTGCGGTTGATCCTAGAGAATCTAAGCAGTATTCCCAGCCTCAGTGGAAGGAGTCCCTTGGAGAGACGTTTATCTCTCTGTTCAGGGTGAACATGGATAATGTCAGATCCGGTTCGATCGGTGGATCCAAGTATTACTACATGACCAGAGACCAGGGTTTGCAATACGCCGACGAAGAACTAAGCGATACAGCCCGTTATTGGTACGATACCCTTGGTTTGCCCAGGACGTTTTCGCAGTGGTTTCAGATAACTTCGTTACACATATGGATTTTATTTGTGAGGATGAGGGCTATGCCGTTTAAGGAGGGCAAGAACTACCAGCAAAAGCTGGTGGACCGTTTTTTCAAGGATATGGAGCTCAGACTCTCGGAGGAGATGAACGTGATGTCTGGTAGAATTATCGACACGTATCTTAGAGATTTCCATTCACAGCTTCTTGGTATAATTATGTCGTACGATGAGGGTATAGCTACAAATGATGCAGTTTTGGCTGCTGCTCTGTGGAGAAACCTGTTCAATGGTGATAAGAGTGATTTGGTGCATGTTGAGTCAGCTCTGAGATACGTGAGGATGCAACTGTATGTTCTCTCCAAGATGTCCGACAGGGAGTTTGGTTTTGGGGATTTCGTGTTTGTGAAGCCAGATCAATTTGTCAAGCCTCTCACACCAGAAGAGGAGGCTGCCCTGAAGATCAAAGTGAAACAGGTGTATGAATCGTCTGACAAACTTCTTCCCAGTCAGAGGTCCAACCTTTCATTGGAAGAATAGTTACCTGTATATATCGTATCGTAGTCGAAGTCACAACCGCAAAAAGTCCAGATTGTGTAGATCCCCGTTAATCTACGGTGCCATAAAGTTATATATCGAGTGTTCAGAGTTCACTATCTAAGTCTCTCATCTGCCAGGGCACGACCACCGATGAGGTGATCCGATAAGCTTAACGTGCCTCTCTCCCCACCCTTCCAAGCTTAAAACTTCTTCAGATCCTCGGAAGTTTTTTTGATGTTTCCAATATGAGTCGCTCGTACATAGATGCCCCGATTGGATATGCCGGTGCGCCATTAATACCTCGAGGGAGACACAAGGCAGTGGTGAAACCGCAGCTTCGAGACCACGCCACCAGTGGAGAAGGTGTGACTTCGCAGAGGGGTTTCTCTTTGCTTTCTCTTCCAGATGAACTACTTCTTTCGACGTTTTCATTATTATCGCAGTATGATGTGATTAAACTGATAAGCATGAACGAAAAACTTCGGGAGTTGTCGAGGAAAAAGCTATATGAAAGCATCGTCATCGACAGTAACTTTAGTCAGTTTGAGGAGGAGTACAACATCAGAAGCCACTCGTATATCAAATCAAGATACGCACTACGGAAGTTCTTCGATCACATACAGGAGAATCCGGATTTGGCCGCCTCGGTAAAATCTTTGGTCTATGCAGATAGTGCGGGTGAAGATGGTATGCTGGAGGTCCAAACGGTTACTGGTTACCTTAAACAGGTACTTCCTCTGTGTACCAGTCTGGAAACGCTTGATTGGTTTCAGTCACATGCCGTTGACTTCAAGGTGCTCAAATGTCTTGGTGCCCCGGAGAAATTGCGCAAACTGGCTCTCAGCATGTCATTTGGTGCCCTTCAAAGAGGCATTCTGGAGTTCATGACTGCCCATTTTAACCTGGCCAATCTAGAAAGTCTTTCGATCAAACCATTTCACTCATCTGGTCTTCTGGCCAATATCATTCAAATTTTACTTCGAGACACGAATATCTCGAACCTGAAAAGTCTGAGGTGTGTGAAACATGATACTTTGACAGATCTGCTCAAGTCTCCAGCAGCAACTTTACCCGTTTCCCATGAAAGTGAGAGCCGGTCACTGGACCTAGACACCATTCTGGTTCTTTGCTCGTCTCTTAGACATTTGCATAGAAAAAAGGCAAAACTGGACTTGGAACAATTTTGTCTGAAGAGCTGCATCGTTCGTCCTACAGATTTCGACACTTTGAACAGTACTATCAACTTGGGTGCTCTGGAGGGCCTGTTTTTGGAGGAGATGACTGTTATGGACAGTACCAATCCCAATCCAATATTGGTTTCGGGTAATCAGCTAGAGAGAAAAAGTTTCTTAGACTCTTTGGGATATTCGTTGGCTTCCATTCAGCGACTAACCATTGATATCAGACAGATTAACATAGATAGCGTGCCTGCTCTCATCAGGCAGTTGACTGGGCTGCAGGAGCTGGATGTGGCCATTCGCTGGAATGAGTCCAAACTGTCCTCATACCCATCGCGAGTGGCTCTTTGTCTTGAATATGCAGATGCAATCTTAGGACACCGCAAAACCCTCAAAAAATTGGCAATTGAGTCTTCGCACGAGGTGACCAGATACAAAAGAGCTCTTTTGGGTCTTCCGGACGAGATGTTTGAGAGTCTCTTCCTCGGACCCGAATCGGAATTTCCTGAACTACAATCTCTAAGATTAAATGTTCCTTTCAATATAATTGCCTTGAGTCGTGAAATTCTGTTTAGCGAACGTCTCCCGAAATTGGCGCGTTTGTGGATATTTGGCCAGGAGGCTGGAGGAAGACCCCACATGGGCCTGGGCAACCCTTTCCCAGGTGTCTTTGACGAATGGATACTTGACCAACACGTGGTTTACAATATTTGCAACTACGTTGCGCGCAAAAAGGTGTTGAAATACCTCAAGATCGAAAAATGTCTGTTTGAGATAGACTATGCTGAAGACGGCCGAATTGAAGATGTTCATTTCAAAAACAACCTGGACTCATGGTTTGACGAAAAGACTAGGGTCTTATTCAAGGTGTAAAATGACTACAATAATGTATACAATAAGCAGCATGATAATATGATAATATTTTTAGAACAACCCCAATATAAACCGTATAAAAATTCAAAAGAATTGGTGAAAAATAGAAGAAAAAGCGAAAATTAACAAAATCGAAAAACAGCCATAAACGTCATAAACCTAATATACAGAGCAGTAGTACTAAAGTGAATCACCACTGCATAGCACTAACAGCTCACTAAGTCTACAATGTTCAAGTAGACTGCTTCGCACTGTTCGGCCACATACTCGTCGTACAAGTTGTAGAAAGTACCGGACAAACACTGGTAGAAAATGGTTTGGTTACCAAGAGCCAGTTTACCATCGATGGTCACGGACCAACCTGCAGCAAAGATTGCTCCAGCCTGAGGTGGTGGACCGTCAAATTGAAACTGTCTGTTAGCAACGATCGAACCGATTCTCCCCTGCTTGTCGGTCAAGACAGAACTAGCCAAGGTCAATGCCAAAGAACTGTCAGTAAGACAGGCATCTGCCAAAGCCCTTGACTCTTCCTCTCTCTTTTCCACAGCTGCCGTGGAGGTTGGCTCATCATCACCATCGGTCACTGTCACGTAAACCAACGTGGTTGGGGTAACGGTGACAAAGGTGATGGGATCATCATCAGAACTGGATACCGCCGAAGTCACCACGGAAGACGACAAAGACGAGGACAAAGACGAAGCAGTGGCTTGAATTTGTCCGTCACCAATCTGAGAGATGATAGGAGCCGACGAAGTAGCGGTCGCAACAGCCTGGATCTGGCCATCACCAATCTGTGTCACCACTGCGTAGGACGAAGTGGTGGTAGCAGCCTGGATCTGTCCATCTCCAATTTGTGTAATCACTTGAGCCGTTCCGTCCACGGTAGTACTAATAGCAACACCAGAACTGGCACTGGTTAATACTACCGAAGAAGTCACAGGCTCAATCGCAATTCCAAAAGTCTGTGTGTAGTCAGTAGTCGCGTCAGTATAGGCGGAGGCATCTGGTGTTAAAGTCGACCAGACATCCCCCACAACGTAACCTGCCGAGGCAGATGAAAGCAAGTAGTATCCGAGGATACTCGTCTTGACCATGTTTGTTAATTGCATCTTGAAAATCTGTTGTTTGTGGTGAAACCTTAAACTGAAAAAAACTTTGAGATTACCAGCAACGGGTGCCAAAAGAAACCACCCCGAGTTATCTCTCTTATATATGAGACTTCGGCGTTATTGTTTCCAGAATCCCATCTTGCAGATGGGGCAACTCGTTATTTTTAGATTTTATTAGTACCGGGGATTATTACTGCAATAGGAGAATTGTAAACTCCAAGTTTCCTTAGCACTGGAATCCGGCTTAGGATAATTGCCTGTTTTGGAAAAACCCAAACACTCACAATTAAGCCTCTTCGGGGGTCCACACGTCAACGGTCGGGATCTGATGGAATACGGTCTGCGAAGCCTTTTTAGACTGCTTTTATAACATGTGTTTTGTGCTTAGCATAAATTAATCTGAAATTGGGAGCTTGGCTGCAATTAAGATTGCTTCTTACATTTTTTCAATCCAACTTTCGCCTAATATACATGGGTATCCTATTACATGAATCAACGAATGATCCTGGAGTCTGGGGTTTGGTAGCTCGATCGCCTGGGTTGTGGCATTGGAGTCCTTGTCCGAAATGCTGGAGTCGATAAGTTGATCTCAGGAATCGACCCGTTGAAACTTTCGTCCAAGCCACTGTGCAAGATCCCCTGTGCTTCAGCAGAGCGTTCCAAGCCTTGTAATACCCTATTCCGCATCAAATCGTTTTCCCGAGCAGCATCCAATTCGGCAGCCTCAGCAGGCAGAAACTTCGGCTCTTCCGAATCTGTAGTAGCAAGATGTGTCAATATCGTTCGGTCAAACGTGTAATCTGGCCCGCCTCCGTTTGCAAAGTCTCCTAATCCAAGATCTTTCCACAACAGTTTCTTAGACCGCTTGTTGTTCCTGTTTAGACCTGGATTCAATCCATTGCCCACTTCCTGCAGCATATCATCATCTTCAGTTTCTGTATTAATCAGATGTTGGAGTATATTATCACTCGTGGCCCATTGCGTTTTGGGCAGCTCTATAACATCAAATGGCAGCGGGTCATTCACCCATTTTTCCATGAGTAGTACGTGAGAAGGATCACTCATGTGAATATGGCTAAACTGGAAATCCATGGGCATTCTTGTGAGCAGAGAAAGTGTCAGGTTTGTGTTGTCTCATATATTAAAAGTTGGAGATCTCAGATCACGCGCTTCACATAGGAAATAGTCGTGTACCACTCCACTCTCACAATCCGCAATTTTAAATTCTTAGGTTCCCTACAACAGCAGCTCCTTCTTCCATTTATTCGATCTTCAGCCTGAATATATCAATTGTTACAGCAAGAAATATCACTTCGATGAGAGTTTCTACCCTGCTTACCACAATCACAGTTTTGTTGAGTGTTGAAGCACGCAACGTTATTGACCTTGATCTGGCCGGATTTGCCGCTCATGATGTGGGAGTCGACAAAAGAGACGCTGAACCAAAAAATGTGATGGATATTGACTTGAGTCAGTTTCAATCCAAGAGGAACGTGGTTGACTTGCCGAAATTAAAGAAGAGGGGAGAACAAATTCTCAAGATGGAGCAACTTGTGGTTCCCAACAATGAAGAGGAGTTCACGATTCTGCCAGAACAAGATTTGGCTTTATCGACCGCGCTTTCGCAGATTCCTGGCATATCTATTTTTGCCCAGTATATTCGTGACAGTGTTGATCTGTACAAAAAATGCGACATGGCAACAACCGAGGACTCTGAAAAGGCTGGTCAGTTGATCATTTTTGCTCCATCCGACATTGCCATTGAAGCTTTGGACTCTAAACCATGGTCCTGGCCTCAAAAAGTGACTGAGTACAACAACAAGAAGGACGAGATAACAAATGCCAACATTCAGCATTTTGTGGAGTCTCATGTTGTCCTTACCGAGTCCATGAGCTCCTTTGAGAACGGTGCTGCTGGAGTGGTGTTCTCTTCTTTGAATGGAAACAAAATCCAGCTCGCACTCGACTCGGAAGGTTTCAAGGTGTCCCTTCCCAGCATCGATGAGTGGACACCTGTCAAGAGGATTGAGCTGGTGAAGAATGGTGCGTTGATCATCATCGATAAGACTCTGGACTGGCCCGACCGAGCTTAGATTGCAATATAGGACTTCCGCAGCCTGGTATGGTGTTTTTATGTTTTTACGGTATTATTTTCTATGTTATTTCGGTGATTCATTGCTTGGTTTATCATTCAATTGTAAGGAACGAACGGCTGGCTAGTAGCCTGGCCTAGTAATGGGGCGTGCACACTCTAATTCTCAGAGCGTAAATGTAAACAACGCGCACTTCCGTGCTTGACATATAGATTGAGTATCACCAAGTCTGTAATCAAAGTCAAGTCGGGCTATGTCAATGCCAATAGACGCCGAAGCATTGTATGCTGCTGTCTCCGGATATGGTGAGTATTTTTTGAGGATGACTTGAGCCTGCGAGTCCCAAACACCGAGATCTGGACTAACGAACTAACCTTCTATCAAGATACCTCTCACTGTCTGCAGCTCTTGAGTGATCTTAAAGCTCACATAAAACGGGATTTTGTAAATCTAGAGTTTGTGCCAAGATACTTTGAGGCGCTTTCGTTGGCCAGCAATTCTCCAGATGCAAACATCAACAGCACCGCCTTCACATGTACTAGCCATTTGATCAAACGAGTCACTATGCAAGACCCTTCCATACTAAAAATTGTGGATTATCTGGTGATACCAACATTATTATCGAAACTGGATGATTCCAAGCAAATCATGGCAAGGAAGTCTCTGCTGACTTACTGGGAATTCTGTCCTCATGAAACTGAACTGATTCTGAAAGACTCTGGCCTGACCCACGAGAACCATACAATACGCAAGGAATGCTTGTCGTTACTTTCTGAGATTATCAGGTCAGGAAAGACGATTCAGTTCAAACCGCTTTTGCGTGTGGTTGTTGGGATGCTTGATATTCCCGGCCTTGGGATACCTAGTGCTGATCTGCTTACCGCCTTCTATTTGAAGGGAACGTCTTCAAGAATAGCAAGACAGGACCTTCTGAAGGAATTGAATAGTCAGAGCATCTCCGAGCGAACGGCGATAAACGTTTTATTTCAGATAGATGCTCGTTTGGTGGAGGAGTACAAATTCTCGAAGGAGATCAAGCATGAAGCTCCAGCAGAACAGAGTCAGTTTGTCAATGCTGGTGCAGTCAGAGTTAGTGCCAGAGCCACCGGCGAACGCCATGCACAAGAACGAACAAAAGCGAAGCCTGTACTGGCCAGTGTGCGCAAAGCAGCTGCTACCGCCATCCACGCCCCGAGAACTGCACCCACCAAAGAGACTCCTATTGTGCATTCAGTACCAAAAACCAGAATTTCCAACTCGCAGGCCCTAAACGAGTTGCTGGACTCAGTTAGTGGCTATGAGATGGAGAACATCGAACCTGTTCACCTTTACTCTACGGATGCTCTTCGTGACGAAATCGAAGGCATGTACAAGGTATTCGAGGGCAAAGAAAGTGAGCATAACTGGGAAGCTAGAGAGAAAAATATCATCCGGCTACGAAGGGTGGTTCGTGGTCAATTGATAGAAACGGATCCTCGAGGTGTTGCTATGTGTTTCAGAAGTCTGTGCGAACAGATCGGAAAAGCCGTTGGATCTTTGAGGACAACTCTTTCAAGCCACGGCTGCCAGCTGGTGAAAGAGGCCTGCATTTTCATAGGCGAGTATTTCGACAGCACTACTGTGGAGTTTCTGGCCATGCCATTGGTAAAACTTTCGTCGGCAAGGAAGAGCATCTCCCATCACAATGCGCACGTTGGGATGTGCGGATTACTGGTCCACACTCATTTCAACATGAGGGTAGTGACTCAAGTTCACAACGCTTCTTTGGACAAGAATATGCAGCCCAGAGCGTACGCAGCAACCTGGTTTCAAATTTTGCTACTGAAAAATATGGATGATAAGGCCTTACTGGTATCCTCAGGAACTCTGGATTTCATTGAGAAGTCTGTTGCTAAGGGAGTTTCGGATCCAGCACCAGCTGTTAGAGAGAGTATGAGAATAACATTTTGGACTCTTCACTCTGGATGGCCACATCTGGCGGAAAAGATCATGTCGAAGTGTGATAATAATTCCAAGAAGGCTTTGGAGAGAGCAAGAAACACTAGTATTGCCATGAGAAGTACATCTGATTCCAGGGCAGGATCTCGTCCTTCAAGCAGTTTGTTAATCAAAAGGTCCACTAGTGGAACGGCACCGGTGACGGGTGCAACAAGAACTTTCAGTAATGGTCTTGCTTCTGCATCTCTGACTGCTCGCCGTACAATGTCCGGAAACAGAATGGCGTCCAACCCCAAGAAACCAGCAGAGGGTGGTACGGTCAGATGTGCTTCGCAAGAGAAGCCAAAGCCAACTCTAGTCGCTCCGGTAGCCCAAAGTGCGACACTGATGCCTGATATTGTCGCGAAAGTGCCCACGTCTTCAGCTGGAGCGGAGTCAACCCAAGAACGCCCATCCTCACATCAGGAAGATCTTCCACGAGATGATGCCTCTGTGATATTCGACTATTTCACAGACAAAGATAAAGCCAAGCAGAGTGAAGGAATTGACATGCTAATTTCTTTGATTCGAAACAAGGAAGACCTTGATGACAAATTCATGCAAAGCTTTAAAGAGACCTTGAGTGATATTTCGCTGGCTAGCCCTGAGTTGTTATCATCTCTAATATCGTTGGAGCTGCTTCCAAAGACCTGCAGACTTTTTTTTGCCAACGATCTTATACGTATAGCTGCTTTGAAATATGGAAATGATACCCAAGATGAATCTGCAGCAGCAGATATTTTGGTCGATTCGATTCCTACAGAGGACTTATGCTTTGCTTTGATCGAAACATTGTCATGTGCCGCAGATGTATCGAAAGTTCAAAATCCTCATATCTCCTTGCAGTTTTTCAAGCATCGTCAGCTGTTTGCACTGTTCTCAATCCAAACCTTGAGCATCCTATTTGGAAAGCTTCCCGTCTTGGAGTACTTGATGACGGACACCATCGAAGCGTTATTGAGCTGTTGGTATCTACTCGCGGACACCAAGATTGATCTTTTATCGCTTTTAAGCTTAATAAAGTTTAAAAACGAGGTGGTATTCAACCGGGGCTTGAATAGCTGTGACCCTGCTGTTAAATCATCGGTGTGTGCTGAACTTGGTTTGATCGCTAACGAGCAAGAAGAGGAACCTGAAGCCTTATACCAGGATACCACTCAAGGGTTTGGCCGTATAGAGATGACCATGATCAGACCTGGCAAAAGCATACTCGGGTTGGACCCCGGCCAAGTCACAAACTCAGATATGACCATGATTCTTCCAAATTTGAAGAACAGGACCAAGCCTTTCTCTGCTCGACCATCTTTCCTAGAAGAAACTGCAGAAAATCCGCCTCGTGATTCAAGCGATGTCGAGGGTGTCAATGATCATGGTGTTGATGACGCTTTTCATCAGGTTGCTAATACTGGGTACGATGAGGATGTAGAGATGCCTACGAAAGAACAGCTTGAACATCCGTCGACTCCACAACGGTCACATGCTATTGACACAGAAAACCTCATCAACACAATGGAGAAGGTGAGACTGTCTCCGAAGGTCGAAAGGCTTCAGGACTTCAAAAACGTGAAGCTGTTTCCATCGCCTGAAGCAGCGAAAGACGTTGAACACATAATAAACCAAAGTGACCCGTTTTCGCTGGTGACAAGTTCTAGGGGCTCGGATGCTATTCAAGTTTACGAAGACAAAGCAGAAGAACTTGACTCATGGTCTGGGTTACAGGGCCAGATTTCAGGTTACCTGAACAAACGCAGTCCTCATATCCACCACATCATCACAGAGGGCAACTATATGGATGTTTCCGATCTGAACGTGGAGGAGAAGCTTGAAGCAGTGTTGACTATCAGGCAAACCTTGGGGAATGATCACGCCGAGAGGATTTGGTTGTTGCTCTTAGCCCTTTCGTCAAACAACTCTTCAGACGAGCTTTCGCTTGCAATTGAGGAGACAGTCGAGTCTTTGGTTGAAACGAGCAGCACGTTGGTTTTCCAAAAGTCCATCGAGGTTGTATCCAATGTCCACGATGTGGCTTCCCTCAACTTTGTTTTGAACTCTTTGATGCTTACTCTTGAAAAGGCTTCAAACGTTACTGTTGACCAAGCCAACATGGTCGACGCAAAGGTTTTCGACTATCTCAGTCACCCAGGGGCTCGTGTAAGAAGAGTGACGATCGGGATATACGCCCATTTAATGGCAGTCTTCACAGGCTATACTCGCCGCACTGGAAAATCCGTTGCAAATCACCCGCATACCGACCTGGACATCTTCAAGAAGTTCTCACCACCTCAACTGAAACTTGTGGAGTTTTACTCGGAGAAGGTGTAATTAAAATTCGTCGAATAGCTCCATAATGTCGTTTGGCTTCAGAGCATCGTTACCAGTCGCATGAAAGATCGTTATTGTTGTTTTGTTTTGAAAGAAATATTCTATATACAGTAACATGCATTCTTCCCTAAAAGTAAACCTCACCCTCGTCCACATACAATGGCTCCTTTCTCTCTGGATCGCTGGGCACTCTCTCGTTCAATGGCCTGTAAAGATAGTGGGCTTTCAAAGCGTTCACGGCACCTCTCATGGTGGCCTCTCTGATCGAAGAGCCCTGGCCTTCACCCAGCAGAGAATCTCCACTGAAAACACCAACCACGTAAACGGGGGCCACAGAGTGTCTTCCGGTTTCTGCCATCAATTTGGAGACGGGAGCAGGAAGGTTGTTCCTTCTCAACAGTCTGAGCAACATTCTTTGGGGCTGCTCAAACTTCAGCATGCTCTCCACATCAACCTTGCGCGACAGAATGTATTCATCTATGAACTTTTTGGCGGCAGATTCTCCCTTGTGAAGGTACACACCTCCGATAATGGACCTGACTGCAAATTTGTAGGCAACGTCCTCGGTTATGCCTTCTTTGCCGTAATGTTTCACCCCACTTTCTGGCTTCGAAATGGCGCTGTCAAATCTCAGCTTACCGAAAGAGGTCTCTAACGTTTCGCCAGAAAGATACTTGTCTATGGGACTCTTCGACTCCACCTCAATACCAAACAACCTACCAACACTGCTCAGAGACTCGGTACCGACGTACGCGTTCACGGCTTTCGAGAACACAGCAATGGGTAGTCTTGGATATTTCGTTATCATATTTTCTGTGACATGGTACTTCACCAGCCTCTTTCCTACCTGGGAGAGACTGCTGTTGGATGCGTGCTGGCCATCTTTCGTATCGCAGGTGAGGGCTCTGGCCAGAGTAGCCAGTGGAAAGTCTTGGCCCAGATTCAATCTTGCGTGCAGGGCAATTAAAGAGGGCGACAGCTTAGCCTCCTCCTCTGTTATCGTTTTCAGGCGCGAATCGTTCTGGAACAGAGAAATAAACCGGGGCTCCTTCTCCTGAGTGTACAGGTCTGTCGAGATCGTTGGAGAGTAGGGCTCCGTCAAGGTTTTGAAAAACCTGACCGAAGTACGCGGGATCACCCTAACCATACCTCTATGCGACGCCATTGTAAATCCAGCAAAAATATCACACGGAACGGTACAATATTCTCGATAAAAATTGGTGTTAGCTAAAATCTTCTGTGATCAGGTATAGCACACACCGAAAAAATTGATGTTGAAGAAATATGCCCGGGCCAGATGGATGGGGTTACCCGGCCCAGACAGTCTCATCTTCTCTGGAGTACTTCGTTGCCAATCAGAATCAAGTCTTTACAGCTTACACAGGCTATTGCTATCATCACAGACAACGGATAATATTACAAAATGGTAAGTCACAGTAACACAAAGGGCGTTTGATAATACTACGGAATAATTTTTACTAACGGAATTGTCAACTAGGCTGGTCATCACAATCCTTGGACCCCAGACGTAAGCGATACAACATACACATCCCAAGCTTTGGAAATACTAACTTAGAATCTTTTCAGTGGGTGAAACCACCATCAGGAGGATGGAACCACACTCCTAAGAACTGGAAGAGAAATACCGCGTTTGTTCTGGCGGGATATGCTCTCTCCATCGTTGCCCTCTACCGTATTGGTGAAGCTGGAACTTTCAACCCAAAGGAGAAGTACGGTGCTGACACTGTGAAAAGATGGAACGAGGCTGCAACGAAGGGAAATGCTGCCAGGAAAGCTGCTGAAGAAAAATAAGCATTGTTCTATTTATACACCATTATGAAAAACACGAAGAATTCTATGTGGGCACAATAGTAGAGGCCACCTCAACAGGTGTGGAGTCAAGAAGGTGATAAAATCACTAGTAAGGACATAAGACATATGAAGGTACACCGATAAGCGCTCTTACCGTAAAAGCATACAATTGGCCTTCGTAGACGTAAGGTACATATTGGCGTACAGGCACCTAGTACAAATACACTTTCGCATTTGGGTTCTCTCCCGTCACCTTTCTCAAGAACTCGATTGTCTCTGGAATCTCCCAAACCGTTTGCTTCTTTGAATCCAGATACGAGGAGTCACAAACTATGCATGCGATCTCAGTGCTCGATATGGGCGGGTCTTCATGCGAGAGAACCTTGAGCATTCTGCCTGGAGTTCCGGCAAGAATTCTGGAGTCTGTCTTGCGTAAAATATCCAAATCAGCCTGAAGCTTGTTCTTGTTGATTATTTTCAGCGAAGAATTGGGCAGAGCTTTTGTGGCTCTGTATATGTCGCAGGCCCGTAAGGCAGACATCGAGACTACCACTATGTATTTCTTGGTCTCTTCCTTCGATGTCTTTGATTTCTTTGCCTTCTTCTTTTTCTCCACTGGAATAAACCTTTCCAAAAATTCGTTGAGGAAAGAACTCAAATTTTCTGGTGTCCGTGGCTTGTCAAAATCTCCGGTGCCTTTAAACACGGTCTTGCTAAGATAGAGCTCACCTAGCTCTAAAGCAGAAAGATCTTTGTTCTGCTTTCTGATCCGAGATGCCAGAAAATCTGCAATGATCTCAGGAGTGGCCGTGGCAAGCTTCTGCTTCTCCTCGACATCTTGCTCCATCTTCATCTTCTTCTTGTTCACGAGTTTTTCGTTGGTTCTCTTCCTTTTCTTTGGCTGTTCTTCAGTATCCTCCTTCACCTTTGTTTCCTCAATCTCCACCGGCACAGTCTCGCCCCCATCAGAACTGTAGTCCACTTGGTAATCAAGACCATCGTCTAACTCGTCCACAGCAGTCGTCATTGTATATTGCAGATGCAGATGCTACAGGAACACAATCAGATTATTGTGGAGATATTGAAATTTGATATTGAAAAAAAATTGCACCAGCCGAGATGGGCGGCGGTGCAGAAGGCGGTGCAGATGGGCAGTGTTGTTTTTGTAGGGATGCTTGAATCTTTTGGTGTACTTGTTCCATATCAAGCCAGGGAATACTGGCAAAAGCGCGTCGTTTCAATGGAAGACCCCAAATCTGATGGCTCTTTGGGATCTATATCAGGTGTAAGTGATTTTTACGTGAAAGTTTGATGGAAGTTAAACCAGGGGACTAACATGCTTACTCTCTTCATAGCTTGAAGATGCCCTTAGTGATGATCAATTCAACCCGTCAACTCCAAAAGTTTCTTCGAAGAGGCCATCGTTAACAGCGACGCCCGTCAGAACTACACCAGCGAGAACATACAAAAAGACACCGGTGCGAACACCGAGATCGGCCAGCAGACTACCTGCAACACCATATGCAAGACATGCGATGCACGAGGCCAAACCCAGACAAAGGACCGAGAGGCGAGACCTCAGAGGCGATATCGTCAATCCGTTGATACAACTGCGAGCTTTGAGCAGGACAATGAGGCAGGAGCGGTTGGACGAAAAACGACAGAAACAGTTAAACGAAGAGAAGGCCCTGACCCATTTGAACGAGCAAGTTGTTTCGCAAACGGTGACACCTCAACAGCCTGAGCATCAGACCATTATCACATCTCGAAGGAATGCAGAACTTGAGCCTTCCTTACCGGAGTTGGAAGCACAGGAAGAGATCATTAATGAGTTCGATAGCTTTGCAGATGTTGGTCCACCCGAGTTTTCTGATTTGGAGGACCAAAGAGAGCGCGGACCTCGAATGAGTATTACAGGTGAGGAGTTCAACAGTGATGGAAACATTGCCATTCCAGAGGGAATAATACGACAAGAGGGCGATTTTTCAATGCTGGAGATGGATTTTGAGTATGACAATAGGCTCTCCAATGCGTTCAGCGAGGGCTCCAGAATGAGCATTTCCAGAGACTTCTCCAAAAGAATGATACCCAGCTCGAATCTCAAACGAAAATCTTCCAAGCCAGCCGAATTTGAGATACCGCTTTCCTCTTTGCGCGCATTAGCCAAACAGACACTCCAGAAGAAGCACCTGTCTGCTGAGGCCCTCCGTCACCTTTCTGAGATCGGAATGGAGTTTTTCGAACAACAGGTAGAGGATTTGCAGGCGTACGCCCAACATGCTGGTCATAAGGCGATCGACCACAACGATGCTCTTCTGCTCATGAAAAGAGCCAAGTTGAGGGATGACGATGTTTCGGATCCGTTCTGCATAGCCACGCAGTTTTTGAGCATGGACGAGATCACCACTCTGGAAAACTTTGTTTACAAAGACAGAATAACCAAAGTAGCCAAGGATAAGAAGAAGAAATCATCCATTGACTACGACAGCTCTGTGAGTGGTGCCACCATGAATGACGATAATGATGATGAATAACAGCCATGTGATGGCGATGACGAATAACTTTATTCCTATGTACAAATTATCCTTATATTTATGCTATTATTTATAACGCATTTTTGTGCTCTATATCGTAATGTCATGCATGTGCTGCTGCATAATCTTCTCCTCTATGAGCGATGAAGAGGATGTTTGCTTCTGCGCAAGCTTGGAAAGACGATACAGTTCGAAAACTGACGAAGGAGTAATCCCCTGAATTCTTCTGGCCTGGCCTATAGTACGTGGCTGAATGGTGTTGAGCAAGCTTTGAGCCTCGCTACTGAAGCATGAGAGACCGGTGTAATCCATAGGAGGAAGAATGATGTTTTCGTCTGCCTGAAAAGCTGCCACATAAGCTCTCTCTCTTTTGAGAAATCCCTCATACTTGCCATCAACAGTTAGCTTGAACAAAACTCTTCTGGAAAGACCAGTCAGATCATACGGAATTTTCGTAGCTAATGACTCTGCATCGATGTTATCGAATCGCAGGATTTCAAACGCAGATTTCTTTTTGCCGTCTTGGGCTACTTTGAAGCCCAATTTTCTCCAGTCATAACTTCCAAGATTGAAATCTTTCAAAAACTTGAGACTTTCTTCATATTGCTTTTTTTCTTTCGAGAAAAGTTCCCAACGTGAGTCGCTAACACACCCGGCTCTTCTTCCCATTTCGGTGAGTCTTAAATCAGCGTTATCTGGCCTCAAACTGACTCTAAATTCGGACCTGGAGGTGAACATACGATATGGTTCCTCAACTCCCTTGGTAATTAGATCGTCTATCAAAACACCCGTGAGACCGTCAGCTCTTGTCAGAATTAGAGGATCCTTCTGCAGCTTAGAAAGACCTGCATTGATTCCTGCAATGCAGCCCTGCGCGGCCGCTTCTTCATAGCCAGTAGTGCCATTAATTTGTCCGGCCAAGAATAATCCGTCTATTAGTTTGGTCTCGAGAGTTTGTTTTAATTCCTTCGGATCCACATAATCGTACTCAACACCGTAGCCTGGCTGCAGCATCTCCACATTCTCCAGCCCACGAATCAGCTTGAGCATCTGCAGCTGGATGTCTGCTGGCATAGTACACGAAATGCCATTTGGATAAACGATATCAGTATCAAGTCCCTCTGGCTCGAGCCACACTTGATGTTCTTCCTTATCATGGAAACGGATCATCTTGGACTCAATTGACGGACAGTAACGGGGTCCCTTTACCGTTTCTCTTATGTGAATGGACTTATCGAGATTGGCAAGAATCAAATCACGCATCTCCTTCGTCGTTCTTGTTAAATGGCACAGCACTTGGTCTTTAATAGTGACATCATCGTTCATGAACGACATTGGGTGTGGGGGATCGTCACCCTTCTGAGGGGAAAGATTCGTGTAATCTATGCTCTTAGAACTGATTCTGGGAGGTGTTCCTGTTTTCAATCTGCCCAGCCTGAATCCAGCATCGGCTAGAGTTTTGCTGAGTCCGAAAGTTGCGTCTTCACCTATCCTTCCAGCAGGATATGCGGTCAGTCCTATGTGGATTTCACCTCCCAGAAATGTCCCAGTCGTGATAACCACCTTTTCAGCCTTGAGAACGTTGCCGTCATCAAGAATGACGCCGCAAACTCTACCGTACTTCCTCCCATCGAAGTCTTCTGAATTGGATGGTTCTATGATCAGATCTTCAACTTTCCCCTTCAGCACGTTTAAATTTGGGTAGTCGAAAATCTCTTTTTGCATAGCGTTCAGATACAACTCTCTGTCTATCTGAGCTCTATGGCCCCACACCGCAGGTCCTTTTGACGAGTTCAGCACCTTGAATTGGATCCCGGCCTGGTCAGTAATCCTACCTGACACTCCATCCAAAGCGTCCACCTCTTTCAACAAGGTACCCTTGCCAATACCTCCCATAGATGGGTTGCATGAACAGGTACCAATTTTCGTGAGATCAGGTGTCACCAAGGTAGTCTTCACACCGGTCCTTGCAGATCCAGAAGCGGCTTCTATTCCTGCATGCCCGGCTCCGATGACTATGACATTGTGACTGGGACTGTCCTTTAGGGCGGCTGACAAATCTGCCGTAATATATATCGACCGCTTGAAAACGCTCGGGCTCCGCCGTATGTACCTGAAATTCCTAAACATGGGGTAGGTGGGAGATTTGGAAAGTCGGCTTGTGGTAGAAACTGAAAAGTTTAGTCAAGCTTGATAAAGTATGGAGATATATATTGCGTAAGGGCTACTAACCTAAGACGAATTAGAATAACTAGACTACGGTTACAGAGCTAAACCACAACTACAACGCACTGAAGGCGTAAATAATGTGATTATTTGTCATTATTCAATTCTGAATTATTGAAATGTATCCTCCAATCAAAAAAAGAGTATAAATAAGTTCTGGTCGGTTGAAACACTGTTCAAACTGCATCCAAACTGCGTTGGTTACTCTGTCTGTTCATCTTGCTGAATAACTATGTTTGTTCATTTGGCTTATGCGCTGTTTCTCTTCTGAGCATCGATCTGCTTGAAAGTCTCCCATTTGGAATCCTGCGTTGGCATCTTGAGTAGCCCTTGCTTGAAGTCTCTGATTCCGTCTCTGATTCCCCATCCGTAAGCACGGTCCGCTTGCCAGAAAGCAAAACCACCATAAATAATACTGGCAGCTATTGGCTGCGATACCAGGAAGAAGACCAGGTATGCAGGTCTGAATGTGACTAAATATGCCATGGCTGAGGTTGTATCGTTAAAAGTAACAGAGAATCACACAAATGTTAGTGCTTACGTCTGAGATTGAAGCGAGGCAATTGGCTCGAGAAGAAGGGGTTACCCGGATAACACCCCTTGCTGGGGTCGTGCACCCAACTCTGGAATACACACGACCATCCGGACGTTTACAACAATTTGTTTCACTGCTTCAGGAAACATCGGGGAAGAACAATAATACTCCAGTATCTCCCACAGTTTCAATGATGTCTGCGACGATACCCCAGCACGATCAACAGTTCTCGGAGCAATTTTATCCGCCGCCACTTGAGCATTCGCAGTATGCTTCGCTGGATTCTCAGAACTCTACACTTTCACAGGCTCTAGCACTCAACAAGGATGTCAATTCACAGGATCCTTCTCATTCTGCAGTGCAAAGTCAGGTCACTTCACAGCATCAGCAGGCTGCGCCGGCAGCTGACCAGCCCTACTACGTGAATGCAAAACAATACCACCGTATATTAAAGAGGAGGATTGCTCGGGCCAAGCTCGAGGAATCGCTCAAGATCGCCAGAGGACGCAAACCATATCTCCACGAATCGAGGCACAAACATGCCATGAGGCGGCCAAGAGGCCAGGGTGGAAGATTCTTGACTGCTGCTGAAATTGCAGAGCTGGAAAGGAAGAAAAAACTGGAGGAGTTGGGAGGCCCTCAAGAAGAGGACGATTCAGACGTCAAGTCAACCAAGCTTGAGATTGAACAGTAGGACCCGTGAGCCCACTGACGACCTCAATGAAGTCTTGATTGATGAAGAGTGAATAAAAAAAACAATTTTCAACCCACTAGGTTTTGACTTATAAACCTCGAGTCCTCTCAATCGACTCATCACCCATCACGACTTATAATAGAGCACAAAAGATGAAATGACCAACATGTTTGATTATAATGTCACTGTTTCCACTTATTTGAGTATTTTTTTTGTCTTTTTTGGCCCATGCCTTTGTTGCTTTTCCGATTCCACGTTTCAATGTCTTCGTCTGTATTCTCGTTTCTGTTTCCTTCATTTCTGTCCGTTTGTCAAACTTATATAAGTGTTTCCAATAACGATCTGTTACGTCAATACATTACATTTTATTTTGGCTATTTGAAAACGTCAATCACTAGTTGCGTGTTCACGTCTTCTAGACGGAAAGATCCAGGAACGCAGACTGGGCTTCTGGACTCATTTGGGCAACCGCAGAGTTCAAAGCTCCGGTTTCGGCATTGAACTTGGCCAACTTGGACTTGAAGGCATGCACCATCAACTCTTTGGTGGTGATCTTTGGAGCTGGATCGTACGGTCTTGGGGATATGATGTTCAGCTTGCTGAAACTGGAGCCAAACGAGACCTCCTCTAAATCGGCTTCCAAAAGCACAGTGTCGTCATTGTCGTATCCCTTGATGGAGTCACTAACTATTAGCTTGAGAAGGTTTTCAAGAATTGGGGCAAACTTGCCAAAGTATTTGCCCTGTGGTGTGAACTGGGCAGATTCACAGATCATGTTCACTAAACCCAGGATCAAAATTTTTCTGTCCAACAGGTTGTTGAACTTGGTTGACGACGGGATCACAAAGTTGTTCAGTATTTGCTCGAAAATACCGTTCTGAACCTGGTCAATCAGATCAATGGCAAATACAGAGTTGATGGGGTTGACACAGATAGAGCTGTCTGTATTGCTGTTCATGGAACTCAATAGCGATAGGAAGATGGTAAATCTCTTCACGTACTTCTCGGTTCTAGAAACTTGCAAACGTTGTAGCAATATCATGGCAATCTCACCAATGTACGGTTTGAGCTGGTCCAATGGAACGTGGAACAAAATGGTTTCCAAAAACTCAAACCCATAATTGTCATAAACCTTTGAAGAAATGAGCTTCTGGAAAACTCCCAGAATTGGAGTCAGGTTTCCAGCAAAACTGGATGGAGATTGCACTAAAATAGCCTGCAGCAATCTGGTAATGGCCGGGATGTTACCGCGGAATTCCCAAACCGTTGGAGAAACTAACGGTTTGATCAACTGGACGTAAGTATCAGGTATAGCGTTTGATCTGGGGTAGATTTCCAGCAGATATGCCAGTATTTGGAAAGAATATGGGATGAACTCATTGACCTCTTGCGACAAGATGGCCAATGAGTATGGGAGAGTGATCTCAATGAACTCCTTGACATGGCCTGCAGAGTTGAACTTGATCAGTCCGGCAATGGACTCGAATGTGTAATGACTGAAACGAGGGTTCGATGGGTTCTTGGAGATCACCTCAACGATTTGAAGCAACTGGCTGATCAACTGCAGCGAAAACTCGGCAATGGTTTCCTCGGCTGTAAGTATGACCCTCATCACACACTTCATCAGGAACTCGTTCTCAGCAAGCTTCTCAGGCGTATCGCTCTTCTTGAAGATGAGTCTAAAAAGACTGGTTAGCAAGTCGTGCGAAATGGCTGGGTTGATATCTGTCTTGGTGAAAAGATAGGTCTTATTGTTTCGCAAGCTCAGAATCTTCTCGATCGTGATGGCAGTGTATGTGTATACAACGTAATCGTTGCTTTGAAAGTGAGCAGATAGTAGAGGGAAAGCCTCAATCAACTGGGCCTTGGTCAGCTGGTTTCTGAAGGTGTAGACGAACTTGATGGCATCGACCTTGAGAATCGGATGAACAACGTTGCTCACAAGATCGGGAGCTACGTTATGCGTGAAGAACTGAACAACGTCAACCAACAAGTTGACAGAAGAGACTCCTGATGTTGTCACCAGACCCTTGGTAGCCACCGCACCAAACAGATACAGTGAAATGTCCTTGGCCCTCCAGTTTGAAGGATCGGCACGGAAAGCCTCAAGATAGTGATCAATGTACCCCATCATGACCGAGGTAACCGTTTTCTCGTTAGTTTCTTTCAGAGCCCTCAGGAAATCAACAGCAGCCCTTCTACGGGTATCGGAGTCAGATCCATCTAGATCACGTCTAGTGTACTCAATTGGATCATCTTCAAAAAGCTCTTCATCAGACTCCCTCAGCGTAATGTTTGGGAGGATGATATTCTCTGTGATCTCCTTCAAAGCCTCAGGAGAGTGGAACACAGTGGCTCTTGTCTCCACAGAGGCTATAGCAGTCATGAAGGTGAGGGCTTTGGAAACCAGTGTGTCGTATTTTTGCTCCAAACCAGTGCCTGTAAGGAGATTCCAGATCGTCTGCGTGAATTGAGGAACCAGCGGATCAAACACTTCGCCATATCTCGTGGAGTACAGCTGAACCAACTCACAGATGGTGGTCTTCACCAACGTGATGATGTCCACTTCGGTCTCATCCGTATCCTGCAAAGCGGAATTGCTGTATTCCAGATACTTGTGCATTATGGCCATACCTTCTTCCATGTGGTCTTCGAAAAACTCGGGAATATCCTGACAATTCAAGTCGTAGTAGATCTTGACCAGAAGCAACATGTTGTCAAACAGCACCTTGAGGGCCTTCTGATCTCCAGAATGAGTGGATATCATGTGATCCACTTGCTTGAGCAAAGCCAGGAATGAATCCGAAAACTTGTCCAGCACAAACTTGATTTCGGTGAAAAGTTCATCCGAACGAAACAACGGTCTCCATCTCTTAAAGATGGAATGGGCAACCTTTAGAACACCCTTGTTAGTAACCATATCCTCGGGACTAAGCTTAGCCAAAAGCTCGTCAATGAGCTCAGGCCACAAGTTGGGGAACTCAGACTCGGCAATGAGCGAAACGGCCTCTCCTATTTGCACCTGCAAAGAGTCCGGGAGTTGGATCATGAGTCCAACAATCTCAGCCTTGATTAGCCTGACATCATCACCACTTATAAGATAGTTTCCGTTTTCGTCAATCCACTTGTTCTTAATAAAATTTTTGAAGAAAAGAGATCCTGCGAGTCGCGTGCTCTTGTCTGCCGACGGATCAGCCACTATCTTCAGTAGCGTGAGGGCAAACCCAGGCTGCGATTCCAGCTGACGCAACTGTTGCTCGGCGTGTTTGGCAGTGGCACCTTGAATAGAAAGCCCCAGAAGCTGGGAAACTGCTGTGACCTCTGACATGGATGTGAGTCTTGGGAATAGTACTTTTGTGCAGCTATTATGATTGTCCAGTGAGACGTGGTGGTTCAACTGGCGATGGTGGTGAAACTCAGGTACGCAAATTGAATCTCGACTGATATCCGTCTATTAATATGTGCAAGCGCTTCAAATTCAACCACGGCTGATATTAGTCAACCAGATGACAAACACTGGATTATAATCTCGGAATCAAAGGACAGCCTCGTGGAGTTGGTAAGCTGAAAAGTTAAGAGTGATCTGTCGTTCGTCCACCAAATCATTTTTTTCAGCTTCCGGATTCGGAAATGACCAAAACATTGGAGATGAAATATTCACTGGAAGAGAGTCGTAGCTCCACCGAAATCAATGCTTAAATTTGGGTTTAGAAGACTATGGGTAAAATGCCTATGTATCGAATGAGCTAGCTAATATATATAGAGATCGCTTCCGAAGAGTGTTACCTCAAAACACTCTCACTTATTAAGCTGCTACTGGTGAACGAGACCCCCAGATCAGCAGCATTATTGCTCATGGAGGTCTTGGAAACCGGAGCCAAAACCTTCAAACACCTCACGTGGGTATCTTTTCCATTTTGGTGATTGGACAGAAACACAATTTTGAGATAAAAACATTTCAGTAAATTATCGTGACGAATCCCCTCGAAGACAATGTGTTCCCAGCCAGAAGGTTCCACGAACTCGGAGGTTTTGACCTCCGCCAAATCATGTTCGCCGCTACCGGCAAAAACCGTGATTTGCAAGGGGGTATAACTTTCATCAGACTTGTAGTCCATGAACAAAGAAAGCCTTTCTATGCTGATCTTCTTGGTAAAGTGAATCTCAATGAAATGCGGCTGCAGCGCGTCGCTTTGCCAATACGAAAATGGATTATCCTCTCGTAGCTCTTTGATTCCACAACCCTGTTTGAACGAGGAAACCGACCAATGTGCCAGGTTTCCAATGTCGACCAATCCCCATGATTCAATTGTGTTCAGGCCTGGATAGTTAGCAATGTACTGTTGGATTGAAAGTCAGGAACCCAGGAAGCAAAAGCTTTAAATACTTACCGTTTTCAAATGCAACATTAATTCGGTCATCAGCATCAGCATCATATTCCACCTCGACATCGTCTCCGTCAATCTCGTCGTCTTCGTAGTCCTCCTCACTGTTGATGTGCTCAGATGACCCAAGATAGCTCGCATCTAACCTAGACGCGTCTAGGCGGGTATCGCCCTCGGTGCTTTCAATATCGTCTCTGGAGTCCATTTCGGAATCCTGCCACGATTCAGACATCTGAGAAGATTAACTAATGGAATTGGGCGGTTGATTAGCCGCCAGAAAGTCAATCTTATCCACTTAAACTGCGATGGATGTGAAAAGAGCTCAGCGCTTGGGGCCCATCGCGTTCTTAGCGCGCGGCTTTCGGACCCTATATAGATTGATCTATGACGTTCACTATGGTGTGTAAATCTACGCTTCGTTTATGCTTATTGTACAGTTATGACGATGAATATATAAGTCGTAATATCTGAGTCACTATATTTCAACTTCGGTGAGTTTGGTTGGCTCTTCCTCAGGTGCTTCCTCAGATTCTTGCTGACTTTGAGTTGCCTCCTGCGAGGATTCTGAAGCCTCAGATTCGGCTGGCACTTCAGCTGGCACCTCGGCTGGTACTTCGACACTTGCCTCAGTTGGTTCCTCGGTATGAGATGGCTCTGATATCTGATCATCAGTTGGCTCTTCAACGGGAATTTCAACAGATTGTTCCTCTTCCTTTGGTGCCACCTCAGCAGGCTGCACCGTCTCAGACTCCTCTTCCGACTTCCCCTTTTCAGCTTGCGGTTCCTGATTAATCTTTGGTTCCGTCTCTGCCACCTTAGTATCCTCCTCAACATAATGATTATCCGTCTCATCCTCCAAAACCACGTCGGTGGCTGCAACAGTATCCTTAGACATGGCATGGGGATTGGATCTCCTTGCCAAGTTGGGAGACGATGAAGATGGTGTGATAATTGTCTCTCTTGGGAGAGAAACCTTTGAATCAGACATGCTGCTTCTGTAAGGGGTATTCACAGGCTGTTTGCTCTTCTTTCTTGCAGCGGCCCTCAGAGGAGCCAGAGTTCTGTGAACCAGAACGTCAAAGTAGTTCACTGTCCGGTTGTTCTCAACGTAGGAAAGATCCTCATCTTCAGAGTCGATGTTGAACTTGCCCTCTTCCAGATCTTCCACCAAGTTCAGCAGAAACTCTGTCCAACAGGATGCGACAACGTATTTGGTGTCGAAGTCTCTGCCAAATAAAATAATCTGACCCCATCTACCACTAGGACCCGGGGCGAGATCAACGGCAATATTGTTACCCACAAAATCCTTCACCAATGTAATCCAACTTTTGTTAACGTAAGTCTCTTGTATGCATCCATGTGGCACCGATTTCTGGTGTCCCAGAAAGCCAGACCGAGCACTGTTTCTGCCAGTTCTGGCCTTATTCAAAGTGCTGCTACTTCCATTTTCTTGCAGAGTGAAACCCTTAGCCTCCTGAGCTTCGAGCTTGGTGGCCACCTTTCTCCAGGTTTTCACCTCTTCCACGACTTCCTCAAGATTGAGCAAAGGCATGCCATACACAATACCTCTGTTCTTTCCGACACGCATTTGACCATCGTGTATCTGATAACTTTCACGAACGTCCAGAGGCAGGGATAATCCAAGATCGCTTTCGACCTCGTTCAAATCGTCGGAAGTCGCTGGGCCTTCCAGATCATCACCGAGTTCCGGAAATTCACGGTCAAGCCACGCATCGAGTCTGTCCCAAATGGTGGCTAGAGAAGGCATGGGTGGTCTTCCATTGATATACTCTTGGAGCTGGACATCGCCGCTTGCGTTGTTGTGTAGTTGGGATCTCAAACCCGGTCTGTATTGGACTGGAGCAACGGAAATGGATGAACGAGCAGATAAAGAGGTATTTGAGGTGTTGTCCATCATAGTTAGGCCCAAACTAGATCCATTTGGTAATCCACCGGTGGGACCCGTAGGACTCGAGCCTTGTTCAATGGAAGCATGCTTTGCCGCCGAGTCGTATGACGCGTAGTGGTCGTTGGTTGTCACAGAGTATATAAAGCTCTGGACTGACTTTTGGATATTCCCAAATATGCCGCCCACCATTCTGAGAATACTTGTTCAAGTAGGCTACTGGAAACGAGTGCACAGGTTTAGGTTTTACTCAGGAGAACGGTCAACATAAACTTGGATCAGGACGAGATCTGGCGATTCAGTTGCAATGCATACACTGGGAGTGTGGTAACCATAAACAAGCTAATTGATTGACGCACATCCTTATCTTGATTGCCGCCTGGGTTGGCTGTGGGGCCCTTGAAGCTTTGTTCTCAAGAGATTTCAACCTTTAAAGTTGGGGGTAGAAAATACCAATGAGCGAGTACGATCTTCCCATTCCGGGAAAGTACAAGCATCGTCTTCCACAGTGGTCTGATGCTACGAGGGAGCTAGTAAGTGAAAATTTGGGGTTTAGAAGGCTTCTGGGTACTAACAGAGGTAGGATGTTGAGGTAAGTCTAGCCTTGGATGACAAAAAAACCAGTTGAATTTTGTTGTACAATTGAGCATTTACTGATTACAATAGTCCAACCTTTTAACGGCAATTTTAGCCGGAGGTGCCGCAGCAGTGGTACAGACCACGGCCACCTGTAAGTTGCTCCGGGTGCAAGAAATCATTAAGTTTAGCACTAACATTACCAGATCCGTTCGAGTACTTCAAGACTCTTTCACAGATACGAAGAGCTCCTCATGGTATATCTACGTTCCGGTTAATCCCCAGTGCACGCACATATTTCACGGGATGCTACGGACTATGCTTGGGCAATTCTATCAAAGCCTTTTCGCGGTTTCTAGTTTTCAACTCATTTTCAAAGATCATGGCAAACGACCATGGGAAGACGACAGCTCCTCGTGTGGTTATTGCCGGAATTATGACCGGGTTGATTGAGACGTTTTGGGTGATTCCGTTCGAGAATATCAAAGTGACCATGGTGCAGAACTCATTGATAAAGATGCGAGACGGGCTCGTACCGGCCCCAGAGAGCACACGGACTCGCAGAGATCTTCAGATTGTGAGAAATGTGGTAGCAAAAACTTCCGCCGGAGTGAGTGCTGATTCACCTGTCAAGAACAAGACCAGAGTGCCTGCTACCACATTTGCTGCTGCCTTCCGTGAGATCTACGAAATCAGAGGATATCGTGGGTTTTTCCAGGGAAGCTTTGTCACATGTTTGCGTCAAGGATTAAACGGGGCTGTTTGGTTTTCTACATTTGCTTCTTTGAGACAGGCAATCAACCCAGCTGGATCTATTGAAGAGATGACGCCTCTGTACACGACATGGATGGGATTGGTTTCTTCAGCTGCCGTGATTGTGTTCACACAGCCCGTAGATGTTGCTAAAACTCGAATGCAATCGCACGACTATGGTGTTCTGTATAAGAACACTGTTCAATGCATTCTAAAAACGGCAGTCGAGGAAGGGTTCTTCAAGCTGTGGACTGGATGGTTTCCTCGGTTCATTAAAGTCTCCGCGAGCGGGACCATCACAATATGGGTTTACGATTATGTAGAGCCGGAAGTTCGCAAAGCGATGACAGAGAATCCGTTTTCAGCCCAATAAGGAGGGAACGTATAAGAGAGGCTGATGAAGGTGAGTGGCTCCTCAGGTCATTACTCCAAACACGAGTTTACGCACACAGATACACTAGTTGATAATTATTTTTTTTCACTAAAACCATAACAGATTCAATAAAAAGACACTATTATTAAGCACATTCAAAATAGGGGGAAAAATTCGCTGAAAGGTGGACAGAGCATCAAATGATAGCTTCTGGGGTAGAAATATAGCTTTGATGAACAAAAATACTCCTAAGACTCCCAAAGACAGTCTATTTGTTGGAAAGCTCCTTGACAATCTCTGGAGTGACTCCCTCGGCAATGGAACTGCTCCAGTTACGAGATCTCTCGAAACCATTGGAACCGGTCTGGTAATCCACGAAAGCCTGATAGATCTTCTCTTTCGAGCACTCCACAAAAGGTCCGTGTTGGACAATTGGCTGGTCCATAATTTGGCCTCCAATCAGCACAAAATCAGCTGGTTCGGTGGAATCAGCAGGAACCTCACCGACAACAGCGTTTCCATCACGCTTGAAAAATACAGAATGATATTGGGGATAAACCTTACCGTTAATCTTGATGTTACCGCTCATCAGGTACAAGAAGGTGGCATGATCAGAGGAGACTGGCTGTTCAAACGTTCCACCTGGGAGAACGGTGTAGTGGTAGTAATCCACTGGTGTATAGGCAAGGTCCTGAACAGACTTGACTCCATAGGATTCACCTGAAATGACCTTGACAGTGACCTTGTCATCTGGCTTAGCAATTGGAATCTCAGCAGCCTTCAGGTCGCGATATCTTGGTTCACACGACTTGAGGTTTCTGGGCAAATCAACCCACAGTTGCATTCCCACATTGGAAGACCCGTCGGGCTGCGGAACAGGCATCTCTGAATGAACGATTCCACGACCAGCAGTCATGAACTGGAGGTCACCAGGGTTGAGGATTCCCTTGGATCCGGTAAAGTCCTCGTGGGCCATCTGACCATTAATCATATAGGTAATGGTCTCTTGGCCTCTGTGAGGATGGTCTGGAAATCCGTTCAACCCAGAGGAGTTGAAGTGGTCAAGCATCAGGAAGGGAGTAAAGTGACGCATTTCGTAGGTTCCAATGGAACGACGAACACGAGCACCAGCTCCCTCACTTTGCTCCTGGGCATAAACAGCCTTGAGGGTCGATCTGGGTGTTAGGCCGGTAGACATCGATGAGTATAGACGCTTAACTATTGAAGACTTTATCTTGGGATAGAGGTGAGCCACGAGGACGACAACGATGAGTGTGAACAGGAATCTCTTTGAGAAAAAAAATGTTTGCATAACACAGGCAGAAACAAGCAGCCTATTTATGGTTTTTGAAGAAGCAACAAAATCTTAGTAATGTCGGAAGAGAAGGAACTGGAAAAATTGGATGTCGTCTATCCTATAAATCGCGGGCGCAGTGCGGCGTGGTTTAGAGCCCAAACAACGAATCAGCGATTACTTAGAGGTGATTAAGCAATGACTAATGGGCTGTGCACGCCCCGTTCATATGAAATGCGGCTCGTACGGATGAAAAAAAATGTATTCCAAGGATCCGGCTGACTCCGGATGTGGTTTAAAAAAAGTATTTCTTTTGAACCTATTATGAGAAAAAAGCCGGGGTCAGGAAAGCTTGGAATTTTACGAAGTGACCGGAAACTATTTTGAGATAGGAAATGTCTAATAATGTTGTTAGAGATGAAGGCAAGAGGACTTACGGCTGTGACAAATCGGAGACCCTCGGAGCTTGAAAAATGTGTTTTTATAGGAGATTTGAACCACCTGAAGGGCACCCGCATACTGTGTGTTTCCTTGGAAATATCATATTCCATTCTCGTGTGACTCTTTTGGGAGACTATCGAAACATCGTCTCATGATCGTGCGTCTAGCAAACGCAGCGCATGACGTGCATGGAAGTCATGCGGCTGGGAAAGATCCTAATGCATTCTAAAGTTTCTTTTTATTTCTCTGTATTATGTCACGAATATACTGCTGGTTTATTCGTATTCAGCATTTAGTAAAGACCCTCGGTGTTGGTAACCACGCACCCCGGCTGAGCCTCGCCCCTCGCAACCAGCTCACCAATGGTGAAAACGGTCTCGCCCTCTTTCTCAAGATTGGCGATAACCTGAGCAACGTTCTCTCTCTTCACAATAGCCACCATTCCGACACCCAAATTCAAAGTCTTCAAAATGTCCGGAATTGGTACATTTCCAGTCTTTCCGAGCCATTTGAATACCTCAGGAACCTCCCAGGTGTTAATGTCGATAACAGCGCTCAGGTGCTTGGGCAAAGCACGAGGAACATTCTCAACAAGTCCTCCGCCTGTGATATGAGAAAGACCAAGGATCAATTTTTGCTTTATGGAAGGCAACAATTGTTTCACGTATATCCTCGTTGGAATCAAAAATTCTTCACCAATGGTAGATTCTGGGTTCCATGGCGCAGAGTCGGTGTATTCGAACTCGGTGCTTTCGATGATCTTACGCACCAACGAAAACCCGTTAGAGTGCGTTCCGTTGGACTTGAGACCCAGAAGAACATCGCCAACAGCCATTTCATCCAATTTTGGTAGCATTTCCGATTTGAGAACGGCTCCAACAGCAGTTCCATTGGTGTCGTAATGACCTGGAGCATACATACCAGGCATCTCGGATGTTTCACCTCCAACGAGAGCGCATCCGGCGATTCTGCAACCAGCAGCAACTCCCTCAACAAACTTGGCTGCTACTTCGATGTCAAGTTTTCCACTGGCGAAATAATCCAAGAACATGAGCGATTCCGCTCCTTGCACAATTAGGTCGTTCACGTTCATTGCCACAAGATCAATACCAACTGTGTTGTGAATATCGAGAATTTGGGCGATACGAAGTTTGGTACCTACTCCGTCAGTGGCAGCCACCAAAAGTGTTTCGTCAATGTCTGCATAGCCAGCAGCCTTGAGGTCGAAAAGACCACCAAACCCACCGATCTCGGAATCGGCTCCAGAACGGGCAGTGGACTTCACCAATTTCTTGATGTTGTCAACGAGTTGATTCCCGTTGTCGACAGATACCCCAGCATCTGCATAGGTGATAGAAACCTGGTTTGCCGCCTTGCTACGGAAAGCGCGGTGTGCGATATCGGTACGGTTGTACTTGCCCTTGAACGAAACATGATCCACACCCGAGTAGGCCTTGGAAACAGCCTCTTCTAGACTCGAAGCAATGGCAGTGGCAGCTATCACACGGCCTCCAGAAGTCACGACTTGTCCGTCGGCATTCTTGGAGGTTCCTGCGTGGAACACGAAGGTCTCTTCTGGAAGTGGCTCAGTAACAGTGATGATATCGCCCTTAGCGTAATCACCCGGATATCCTCCGGCTGCCATTACAACCGTCGTGGAAAATTTGGATAAATCCACGTCGAACTCAACTGAGTCTAGTCTGTGCTCGGCGGCAGCAAGCAAGATCTCAAACAGATCGGACTTAAGCAGCGGCAAAACGGTCTGTGTTTCTGGATCTCCAAAACGAACATTATACTCCAGAACCTTTGGTTCACCAGATGGTGCCACCATAATTCCAACAAAGAGGCATCCAACCATTGGATATCCCTCTTTACGCATACCATCCACCGTGGGCTGGAGGATTGTCTCTCTGATCTGCTGCAACAGCTTGGGCGTTCCAATAGGAGCTGGCGCGTAGGCGCCCATTCCTCCTGTATTTAAGCCGGTATCACCATTACCAATGCGCTTGTGATCTTGAGCTGGGGGTAAATCCAAAATGGTATATCCATCCGAGATACAGAGGATCGAGAGCTCGTCTCCCTCGAGGAACTCTTCGATAACCACCTCGTCTCCGGCGGAACCAAAATGGCGATCCACCATAATCTCTTTTATGGCTTCAAAAGCCTCTTCCTTGTTTGCTGGGATCAAGACACCCTTTCCAGCAGCAATTCCCGAAGCTTTGATGACCAGATTGTGGTTGGACTTTTCAATGTAACTCTTGGCAGCCTCGTAGTCCGTGAAGTTCTGAAAATCCGCAGTTGGGATGTCATATTTCTTCATGAAATCCTTTGAGAAGGTTTTGGATCCTTCCATGCGGGCTGCCTTCGCAGAGGGGCCGAAAACTGGAATTCCCACCTTACTGAAGAAGGTGGAGATGCCGTCCACTAGAGGCTGCTCTGGACCGGGCACAACCAGACCAATTTCGTGGGCAACAGCAAACTTGACAAGCTCAGGAAAGTCAGATGGGCTCGAGCCGATAGCGACATTTTGGACACGCTCTCCACGAGAAGTTCCACCATTTCCAGGAGCGACATAAATCGTCCCAACACGGCTTGATTGTGAGAGCTTCCACGCCAGGGCGTGTTCTCTGCCACCATTGCCGACGATAAGCACATTTATTGGTTGAGACATCTTTGGGATCAACTTTGAACAGCTGAGAGGCTAATCTGGAAAACTGTGAGAAGTTGAGTTCAACCGATTAACATTTAAAGTGCACACATTTGTGATCAAATTTTTTGTAAAGGTCATTATCATCAGCAATTTGACAAATTTGCCGGCACACACCAATTGACTCTGTTATCTTGCACAGCCAGATGTGCACCGCCACATCTTCTCGCCAAAACGATATTCCTTCCCTCTAAAACTGGAACCACTTCTATAACCGGGAGCTAGGTTTTTTCTCCTTGGCTCTTTCACTGTGGCCAACGTATCCCTCGTTGACTTTTGCTACTTTACCTCTCTCACATCAACAATTATAAACAACAAGTTAAAAAGAGTTTCCGGAATTCTGTTTCCTATTTGAATCCGAAGGCCTGCGTTTTCAGCAATTTTAAGCCGCTCCTACTTCGTCAAACGAGTGCCCATACTAGACTTTGCAGAACAGTGAGCAAAGACCCGAAACATTAGACGCTACAGAAGCAATTTGAGAGTTCCCACAGCCACTTTTGAGCCACGAACCAGCGAACGCCATCTAGCAAGAATTATCGCAAATAGCCATGTCGGACTGGAAGAACGACCTTAATTTGCCCGCAAGGGATCTCCGTCCGCAGACCGACGACGTGCTCAACACGAAAGGTAATACCTTTGAGTCTTTCCAGCTTAAAAGAGAACTCTTGATGGGTATTTTTGAAGCCGGTTTTGAGAAGCCTTCGCCAATTCAGGAAGAATCGATTCCGGTTGCGCTGATGGGAAGAGACATTTTGGCCAGAGCCAAGAACGGAACTGGAAAGACGGCGTCTTTTGTGATTCCAGTGTTGGAAAAGTTGAAGCCCAAGGTGAACAAGATTCAGGCATTGATATTGGTTCCTACAAGAGAGCTGGCATTGCAGACATCCCAGGTTGTAAAGACACTGGGTGCACATCTCGGTTTGCAGGTCATGGTGACCACTGGAGGTACCAGTTTGCGTGACGATATTCTCCGTCTGAATGAGCCTGTTCACATTTTAGTGGGAACCCCTGGTAGGGTTCTTGATCTTGCAAGTAGACAGCTTGCAAATTTGGGTGAGTGCAGCATGTTCGTGATGGACGAGGCCGATAAGATGCTGAGTCGCGAGTTTCGCAGAATCATCGACCAGATCCTCAAGTTTTTTCCACAGTCATCTGGACCCGGTAATGCATACCAATCGCTGCTTTTTTCAGCCACTTTCCCGCTGTCAGTAAAGTCTTTCATGGACGAGCACCTCTACAAGCCCTACGAGATCAACCTAATGGATGAGCTTACCCTTAAAGGTATAACTCAATACTATGCTTTTGTCGAGGAAAAGCAGAAACTTCACTGTCTCAACACACTCTTCTCAAAACTTCAGATCAATCAATCGATCATCTTCTGCAATTCCACCAACAGAGTCGAGCTTTTGGCCAAGAAGATCACGGAGCTGGATTACTCGTGCTACTACTCGCACGCAAAGATGCCACAGGCTTCCAGAAACAAAGTTTTCCATGAGTTCCGCCAGGGTAAAGTCCGCAACTTAGTGTGTTCCGATCTGCTCACGAGAGGTATCGATATCCAGGCCGTAAACGTGGTTATCAACTTTGATTTCCCAAAAAACGCTGAGACTTATCTTCATCGTATTGGTCGTTCGGGTAGATTTGGCCACTTCGGTATAGCAATCAACTTGATCAACTGGAGTGACAGAATGAACCTTTACAAGATCGAGAAGGAACTAGGCACCGAGATCCAGCCCATTCCAGCCGAGATCGACAAGTCTTTGTACGTTGTGGGAGAGCCAAACTCCGTCCCAAGGCCATTCAAGCTTGACCATGTTCCAGAAGGAAACACCGTTGCTCCAAGACAGCAGAGAAGACCTCAGCACAATGGATACCATGCCCAAAATGGTGAGCAACCGGTTCAGCCCGTGCCATCGCAGGTCCTGCCGGAATACTGAAAGTGGCCTCCAACAACAAGCAAACAAGCCTCCCAAAAACTATCAAAACCATAAAAAAACATCAGAAAACACAAAATCACAAAAATATTGCATCACATCCGAATGCCGAATCAAAACTGTTGTGGTATGCTCAGCCCTTTCTCTACAACCAACTGATCATTAAACTTTCCTAATTCAAATGGTTTTGGGTTAGGATCAAGTGTACACTATCTGGAGTTTTGTTCTGTTGCTTTTGGTGAATTCGTTTTTATATTCCAATGAGTCCATGAAGCTGTTTTTGTGCGGTGTTTCTCTTTTTGCTGCTTTTTCCTGCTTTTTCTGCTTTAAGCTGAGTTCTGCTGCTTTCTGCTATTTTACTGCTATGATTTTCCCTTTTCATTTTCACCTTTGGTCGATATTCAACACTTTTTCAGAGTGTTCTTATCCCAAGGGAAGATAGATCTGGAGTGTTGCAGCTAGGTTTTTCCTTTGGTTTTACCCTAATTGCAACTTCACCGCTCCACCCTTTTTTTTTGGCTTTTTCTTTTTTTTTTTGGTTTCTTTTCCGTGCAGTCCAACTATGTCAACTACGTAAATATCTAGGCAATTGAATCATGGAAATGAAAATACAGCGTAGAGTCTGAGTTGATGATGAATCAGATATTTCGATAAGCCTCAGGGCTCATAGTCCAGTGCTGCATTTTATCCCACGCACGACGTATCCCGCAATCTTAAAACACGATTGCCTCTATTTGGAACAAGTCGTATACTCCACTCCCTAGTTCTTCCGCTGGCTGGCGATGAATTTCAGCGATGAGGATGACAACAACCCGTTTAGTGAGTCGCACTATTTTTACTCCTCCGGGATTGAAGCGGAGTTCGAAGGCTATAGTGATGGCAGAGACGGGGACCTGTACTCGCGGCACACATCCTCTAGTGGCCAAGCGCCATGTTTGGACTCTGAGGACGAGCCTGACTGGGTGGCTGCGTCACATCCAGATAGGTCAGAATCGGATGATGAGTCGATTGTGAACGGAACAGCATTTTTGGGTGAACATACGATGCATACACCTGCAGGAATAGCAGGAAAGGATGGTTTGCGGGTTGAGATTGTGGGGGCAGAGGCTTCTAGAGACTATAAAGCAAGTCTGACGATATTCTACAACATTCAGATTGATGGTGATTTCACTAAAATTGTCAAAAGACGATATTCAGACTTCTGCTCGTTTCGATTCTGTCTTCTTCGGCTATTCCCTACCAAGGTCATTCCACCGATTCCTGAAAAACACTCCCTTGGAAAATTGATAAAGCACCCATTGAGCTATAAAACGGACTCCAAAGTGATCAGCTCGCGGATAAGGCTGTTACACAATTTTCTGGATACCCTGTTGCGTGATGAGCAGATGGGTGACTCCTCTGCGCTGAAGAAGTTTCTCGATCCTGAAGAGAAGAATTGGACTCAAACTCTCAAATCACCACCCTTCACGTTGGTGCCGAATCATCCGTTACTTTTCTCACCCCAGACACCAACACAGCCCAATCCGTACCATTCCTATTTGCCAATACCACCAATCTCGTCTCTAAAGGGATTTGATTCAAGACTGAACTCGTCTGTGTTCCGACCAATGGAACTTCGATTTCAGGACCTGGCAAGGTGTTTGCTGGGCTTAGAGAAATGTGCGAAAAGAATTGAAAACGATATGACTAGCTATTGCAAAAAGATGACTGATCTGGGTGGTCATTACAACGTTGTCTCTCTTCTAGAGCCAAATGTTCACCCAAACCCGCTGGAGGTGTTTGGACAGGGAATTGACTCCAATTTCATCAATCTCGAGATTTTGATCAAAAATTTCAGAGTGAACTTCAAGGAACCCATTAAGGAGCTCAGAGCAACGTGTACAATCGTTCTTCATCTGCTTGGTTTCCGCAAATGGAAGGATCTGCAGTTAAACTACCTCCGCACCGTCATCGTCAAGAAGCAATTTCGAACAAAGAAGCTACTAGAAATGGAGACTTTAGATATACGGTTAGATCTTGCTCTATCACAGCGTGTGTTGGACTCTCCTACAATCACGGAGGCATTACGCAGATTCGAAGAACATCGAGTCACACCGGGTGAAACTCCAAGATCGGAACCGGGTTCTCGCGATTCAAACTGGAAAAGCCTTTTTAGCGGTTCGAAACGAGAAATCAACTCTCTTACCTCTCAAGAGAGACAGCGTGAAATCAATGGCAACAGGCTAGACCTGGCCAAGCTCACCAAGTGTTTCGAACTGCTCAACGATGACGTAAGGTACATATCCATCGAGGTGGAAAAGAACGTACTTTTGGAAGAACGACGCATCAAAAAGAAGATCTTCTACATGCTCGCTGACTTTCAGAAAATGCTTCTAATTTACAGCTCGGAGAATATGAATGTGTGGAAAGATAAAGCTGCAATCGGTCACGTGGTTTAAGTTTTTTTTTTTAAGATTAATACATGATTGTGCGTACACGACCTCTCTTATCGCAGCTCCCTCTATCTATCGGAAGCAGGCGTGAAGGCTTCCGTTGTTGCCACTGCTCATTCATTAGAGACTTTTGCACATTCTCCGGAATTTGTTTCAGGTTAACCTATTCTCAGCTACCTAAGGTACTGTTTATTTTGTTGGCTAAATAATTCTTGCCTCAATGACCGCCGAGACAGACCCCCTGGTTGGCCAGGACAGCTTTCAGGTGCGGATTGTCCGCAGGCAACGCAGGCACTACGACAGGTCTCGCTGCTTCAGATTTTTGCTTATTTCTCTGTTCGGGATGTCACTGTTAGCCATTCCAGCCACTTTGGTGCCTCGCTACGTTCATCAAAAGTTTTTAGCCGTTACCAAATGGCACTCTCTAGAAGACGTGACGAATGCTTTCCAAGAGACACTCTTCTCGGAGAACCATGCCGGTGAGTTCTTGAGAAGATATACGAACGAATCGCATCTTGCCGGTGATGGCCCAGAGCTGGTCCAGTTTACTTTCGATAAGTTCGAGGAATATGGGCTGAAGGCCTCCGTCAACGATTACGAGGTGTATTTGAACACCCCATTGGATCACTCGTTGAAGATGTTTGACACAATAACTGGCCAAACTCTCCATAAGCCCATGTTGGAAGAAGATATTCTTGCCGAAGACCCAACGTCGACTCACCTGGATGCGATACCTGTTTTCCATGGTTATTCAGCCAGTGGAAACGTGACTGCAGGTTTCGTGTATGCCAATTTCGGTTCCAAGGCGGATCTCGCCAAATTGGTAGAATTGGGTGTGGAAACAAAGGGAAAGATTGCAATAGTTCGTAATGGTGGGGGATACCGTGGATTGAAGGTGAAATTTGCCGAGGATCTTGGATTCGTGGGGATGTTGATGTACCCAGATCCAGCTCAAGACCACGGAATCACAGAGGAAAACGGATATCTGGCATATCCAAATGGTCCTGCCAGAAACCCTAGTTCTGTGGAGAGAGGTTCCTTGAAATCGTCGAATTTGGCTCCGGGAGACCCAACCACTCCTGGATACCCTTCCAAGCCTGGCTGCAAGAGACGTGAGCCCAAGGGTATCCCCACGATTCCGACCCTGCCAATAAGCTATAGGGAGGTGAAACCAATTCTGGAGTCCCTTAATGGTCATGGATTAAAAATTCCAGGTTTCGGGGGCGCAATTCCGGATGTGGAGTATTTCACAGGTCCCAATCCAAACCTGCAGCTCAACCTGTACAATCTTCAAAACTACACTATCAAGCCTATTCACAATGTCATTGGCAAGCTTGATGGCTGGTTGCAAGATGAAGTGATTGTTATTGGAAACCACAGAGATTCGTGGATTAAAGGTGGGGCTGGCGACCCCAATAGTGGGTCTGCCGTCTTGCTGGAGACCATTCGTGCAATAGCTGGAATCAAGTCCAAATATCCTAATTGGAAACCGCTTAGATCTTTGGTATTTATCTCATGGGATGGTGAGGAATACGGTCTGTTGGGTTCTAGTGAGTTTGGGGAGGAGTTTTCTCACGAGATCAGTGGAAAGGTGGTAGCATACTTCAACACTGATGTTGGTGTCTCGGGATCTCAACTTGGCCTAGCTGCCTCTCCAATGTTGAACGAACTACTACTTGAAAGTGCTAAACTCGTGGATTATCCAATGCTTCCTAACACGACTCTTTATGAACACTTGATCAACACAACCAATGCCGAAATCGAGGTTCTTGGGTCGGGTTCTGACTTCACGGTGTTTTTGGAACATCTTGGCATCCCAAGTCTTGATATTGGTTTTGATTCGGGAAAGAACGATGCCGTATATCATTATCACTCGAACTACGATTCATACCATTGGATGCATACTTTTGTTGATCCGAATTTTGAACTACACAGAGCTCTGGCGGCGTATTTGGGCCATCTCGTTCTTGGTATGAGTGAGAATGAGGTGATCAGATTCAACGTGTTGGAGTACGCTCGTGCGATTGCCAGTTACTACGAGTCCACAATCAAGGACGTTCCATTGGAATGGACTAACAAGAATTCTGAGTATAAGCGTGGTCATCACACTCACAGACTCCATAAACTCATTGGAATTATGTCTGGTCACATACATGCAATGGTTGGACTGAGTGAAGGCTACCAATACCATCTTGCTGAGCTCAGAGAACAGTACCAAACTTCTACGGCATTTCAGAAGTTCAAGCTATTGATCAAGATAAAATTGGCCAATGAGAATTTGAAGCATTTGGAAAAACAGTTCCTTGGTCCTGGTCTTAAAGACAGGCCATGGTTCAGACATGTTGTTTTTGCGAGTGGTCGTTATGATGGCTATTCGGGCCAGAACCTTCCTGGACTGCGTGAGTCCCTTGAAGATGATGACATTGTGAGATTCTTGGGAGAACTTGAGATTTTGAACCATTCAATTGTGAAGTTCAATAAGCTGTTGAAGCTGAGGTGAAAAAGCCGTGAAGGGTTGCAAAGCAGAGTCCTGATGCTTGTATAATTTTACTGAAGTTCGCCGAATTTTTATCACCACCCAGTATCATTGCAGCAGTATGCCTGATTCCAACGGCTCCGCATCGAGGTACTCCTCAACCGGAATCTCCCCAATATAAGCTCGATCCCCAAACCCTCCAATGAAGTAAACACCCTCAACAACAAAACGATACCAATTAGTGGAATGAATGGCATTTCCAGGAAACCAAACAGTGGAATCTGGGTGTTTCCTGGCAAACCGTAACGGGCATATCGGGTCTGGATGGTATGGCTCAAGATGGCCGCGTAAACTAACCCTTGGAGATCCAGCAATAGAGCCAGCAACGCGCCCAGGATATTTGTCGTCCACTTTATCATGAGGATCGTGATCACCCACCTTGATACTAAGAGAAACTGATGAGTTTTTTCTGATATTCACCATGCTAGTTGACATCTCCACCATTAGCAGTATAGGTTCACCCGTATGATCACAATCGACATAATACTCTGCAAATGACACCGGATACCCTTTTCGAAGCTCATCTTCATACACCGTGTTGACCATTGCAAGAGACTCGCGTTGAATTAGTGTCCTGGAAACGGAAGCTGCAGTCTTGGAGTCATGGTATTTGTCCGTTGCGATAGACGAGGGAAGCGCTAAAAGCGCGAAGATGAGTGGGAGAATCTTCATAAAAACCATTCAATCGAAGATCAAAGAGATTCTGATTCAATTTGGGAGGAATATTGCTGAAGCCGACTGCCAGCCAATTTATAGACCCATCATCAACCCCGTAAAGAGATAAGCACACCACTACGTCGTGTGCCTGCTCTGATTATTTGCCGCACCGGGACGGCTTCGTGTCCCCGCTAATACGCCAAAGCGGACCAAACTTGGGGGAGGGGTAGGCGTGCGGTGGTTGCCCCGCTTTCTGTCATGATCGCGGACCCATGGCAAATCCCATTCTGTACATAAACTTAACCGGGTATCCCCGCTTAAAGGTACCCCCAGTATTGGATCTGGTAAAGCTCCATACAGATCCATAAAGCTATAACAACGCTTTTACTCCAGGAGGCAGTACCAACCACATCCAGTGGTCCAAACGAGTCGCGGAGCCGGAGCCGCGGAGCTGGATTCTCGGAGTCTTGGTGCCGTTCGGACTTTCGCCGAGGATCTTTCTTCCGTCCACCTCCCCCCCAACCACTGCAACCAGAATTTTCCAAAGGATTAAGACAATAAATATTACTAAACCTAAATCAAGCATTGGCTCTGCAGGTGGTCCCTTTATCCGGGCGTTTCTACGGGTGCCACATCGCTTCTGTCGACTCTGGGCGTTTCAAAAAAGGTAGAAAGTCCGGTTCCAAGCCTCCGGGAGAGGGGCATTTGGGTCACCCATTGCAGAGTAGTGCCCCTCCCCCGTCATTGAGTGCATTAAAAACGGGTAGTTAACCAGTTTTACATAGCTACTTGTGGAAAGATCGAACTGTTTGGCGTCGCCGATTGCGTGAGGAGGCCGATACTTCCCCACTCGGCTGTCTATTGTTCTGCTCCTGCGTCTAAGTATAAGAAGGGTTCAGCTCCCTCATCGGTGCTTTTCTGTAATTCATATGCTGTAAATTGATTTTCAATCTGAGTCTCTGACTGGTCTTTTTTGATTTTTTGATTCGTTCATCGATTGGCTCCATTACATTGCCTACTTGACGATTCGACTATTTGTCTCTTTTACCAGTTAATTTTGACCATCTGATTTTTAATTCTGGACTGCTCAATTTTTTGACTAGTTGACTCTCGAACTGCGATCTCTTGACTGCTTGAAAATTTTGGATTTGGATCCTTGATTATTAAAACTTACTGCAGCTTCTTTCCACAATGCCTGACGATATCGAAAAACAACTCCAGAACGACGACCACTCGTCGGACACAAACTTCGGCGAGCACGTCGTCGCGAAGATACACACCTCCGACGACGGCGAGTTTGTTCATTTTGGAAACCAAAAGTTCTACAGAAGAGACCTGTTGCAGGCCTTCGGTGGTACTTTGAACCCCGGTCTTTCTGCACCTTCTACCCACAAATTTGGTAACCCAGCTCCACTGGGGTTGTCCGCTTTTGCCCTCACGACCTTCGTGCTATCGCTGATAAATGCGAAGGCAATGGGAGTGTCTACTCCCAACGTTGTGATTGGACTTTCCATGTTCTACGGTGGTCTGGTTCAACTGCTGGCTGGTATGTGGGAGCTCGCACTTGAAAACACCTTTGGTGCTTTAGCACTGGGTTCCTTCGGAGGCTTCTGGATGTCCTTTGGTGCTATTTTCATCCCTTGGTTCAACATAGCAAGTGCCTATGAAGACCCTACAGAGCTTGACAATGCGCTTGGTTTCTACCTCCTGGGTTGGACCATCTTCACCTTCATGCTTTGTCTAGTGACAGTGAAATCCACGGTGCCCTTCTTCGGCCTCTTTGTTTTCCTGGATATCACATTCTTGCTGCTTTCTCTGGGCTATCTTGCACCATCTGTGGGATGCACCCGTGCTGGTGGTGTCTTTGGCGTGATTACGGCGTTTATCGCTTGGTACAACGCCTACGCCGGTGTGGCCAATCCACAGAACGCCTACCTCACCATCAAACCATTCAACTTGCCCAAGTTTGGCAAAGATTCTTGAATTATTACGCTCCCAAAATCATCTTCCGAGACTGGTTCTCAGAGAGACTGTCTCTTGTCTCACCTCTATCGCCTCCGCCTTCAATGATCTCTCCGCATTCTTGCAGTTTCACGATTTATCAACGATGCTCTTTTATTAGTCCCCCCGGTATTCGCCTTACATAGCGTATCCAAGGATCACAAAAAATCAGTGTAAAGGGAACCGAGTAGCAAAGTTTGTAGATTTGGTCGGGATAAGCTCTTCCACGCAGCTTGCTGCGCACTTCCTCGCGTTGCTATACGACTCGTGCGAACATTAAATCTACTACGGTTCTGCAATCCTGTGCCGTTTTTGTCAGCTTCTTTTACCAGTAGGCTAAACTACTCCATTATGTTTCGTTAGATTATCACTATCTTCTTGGTTACGAGCTCTGTCTTCCGTCTTTGTCAAGCCACATTTTGCCAAGACACTACCAAACCGCGCCTGTTTCCACTGAAAATGCATGATGCTCACCCACCAGTCATGAAAAGAACCTTGTATCATTCCTGCAATTGACTGTTGGGTCGTGTCTGTGAACTGGTTTTCTCAGATCAGCCCTGGTCGGGCCGGAACCTCGTCTGAAGTCATGGACAGTGCAAATTAAGCCTTGGCAGAGCTACCCATGCGCGCTGGACTAAGTGGACGGTGTAAATCAGAGTTTCTTCGTAAACGTCGTACTGGATACAATTGTCCATCGATGGGCCAATAGAAAGCTTATTTCTGAAGCCATTTGTTATTCAAAGCAACACCGATGCCAGACATCTGTGCACGCGGTTCCTTTGTATTCCGACCGGTCGCATTCTCAGATGCCGGTGCAACGTTCGAGAACTTTCTTGCACTCAGGCCATCATGATACAAGGACCATATTCAAACAAGCTGTAACTTTATGCTTAGAATTCACTCTCAAATATCTACATTCTTCTCCTTTTTCTTGAAAAAAAGCCCTTCCAAGCCCACTAAGCATAGAGCCCCCAATTCAATTCCGGAAACAATAGCTGGCATTCACGGTCGGAAAGAACCTCGAATATCCCCCGGAATTGGACCGCATTAATGCGCCTCGAGGAACGCGCATGATGCATCTCCGTGAACCGCGTCGCGAAACCAAAACAAACACGGTGAAAAACTCCTTTACTGAGAGGCGTTGCGCCGGAAGTCTGTTGTCTTTTTTTAGGTAGTACCAAACCACACAGAATGCGTATATATATCGGGTGATCCCCCTCAATACAACCTTTCCTGGCTCTTTTTGTTTTCATAACTCCAACTACTACACTCACTTACCAAAATGCAAATCAAGTCTCTCGTCGCTGGCTCTGCCTTGGCCGCCGTTGCCGCTGCTTACGCTAACACCACTGTTGTCGTTGACAACCAGTCCACCACCGTTGTGACCATCACCTCTTGTTCCGACAATGCTTGTGCCACCACCACCTCTGCCGCTTTGGTGTCTACCTTGACCACCACCGAGAACGGTGTCGTCACTGAGTACACCACCTACTGCCCATTGACCGCCACTTCTTCGGGCGTTGAGGCTGTTGCCACCTCCTCGAGTGCTGAGGGAACCACCTACGAAGATGTCACCCTTTCTGGATCCGATGTGACTGTTTCCGGTGACAGCACCTCCACCGAGTACGCTTACATCACCGAGACCCTCACCTTGACCACCGGTACCGGTTCCGAGGCTGGTGTTGAGACCATCACCACTACCTACTGCCCAGCCACCGTGACTTCCTCTACCTCGTCTGGCTCCAACTACACCAGCCCAACCGTTTCTGCTTACGAGGGTGCTGCTAACAGCTTGAAGGCTGGTGCCGCCGTTGTCGGTCTCGGTTCTTTGGCTTTCTTGCTCTTCTAAGTTAGTGACACCTTAGTTATACCCGTTTGCTAATTAGATGACGAGACGACTTGGTGCTACAAATAAAAAATTTATAGGCTAATCGAGACTTGCTCAAAATTGAATGTAGAGGTGAACCTTTTCAGTACTATTCAACTGGAGTTGTAGCTGTAGTCGATAGGACCGTCGGAACTGATGTTATGGCTGATGCATTGCTTTGATCTACTGATCCACGACGAAAGCTTTGCTAGGATTTGTTCGATTGCTCAAACGTCTACTGAAACCTTCTCTGTGGTTTCTTTGTTGCAGTTGCTTGACATTAAAGCTGGGTAAAATCACCTTCAACTTCGGTCCTTCCCTTCAAAGTCATCCTCATCCTCATGAAACTTCAAATGCAGGGTTCGTCACTTCTATGCCTTTTTCTTACCAGCTCATCCGACATTCGAAAATCACCTCGTTGGTCGAGACCGGTGTATTCTTTTGCAACCGTCTCAACCATATTCGCGACGCGATCTCTAAGCATTCGGTGCGTGTAAACTATGCAAAAGCCCACATCGAGAACCCAGATTTCGGGATTTGTAATTCTCCTGTGCACGACTCATCGCTCGAGTAAAACTTCCCATTTCAGTCAATTCACCGGTCTCGCAAAGCTTTAACGCCGAGCGCTTTTACTGAGAAAGACGAACTTCGACCATAGATTTACCAACGGAACAGATACTTAAGACGCGCCTGTTCTTCTCTGTTGCCATAACTGACAACTGGAATAGTCGGAACACCGGTGCCTTCAAACCACGTGCACAGCCATGAGCTTCTTCAAGAACATACTGGGGTCCAAGGATCACACCAAAGAGATCGCAGAGATCCTTCCCATTGCAGAGTGCAAGGCAGAATGCCTTGCCAGTGAATGTCACACAAAGTTTCCCAATAGTGCAGAGGTCAAAGGGGCCGATGCTACTGCTGATCTATGGATGTCAACTAAGCCGTATGCCTTACATTGTCTAGTGTCTACGGGAAAGACAGACTGGCAGCACGACGCCACCGATACGCCTCTTTCGCTAGAAAATCATCTTAGTCAGTGGGCTTCTAATAACTCCCGAGTTGCTGGGGGCACTATCAAGGTTAGTTGCTCGTCCCTTCCCAATCATGATCACGAGAATCTTACTGGGGACGTCTTGATTCTACCCTATTTCGTCTGGGTTAAGGGCTGTCCAAACGGCCAAATTGGCGATGTGATGTCTGAGCTTGTTCCAAAGCTTAAACTTGCCGAGAAAGGCAAAATTTCACTGCCCAAAGAGCTGGGTGGTGTTGAGATAGCAGTTGACCCTTCCCATGCATACGTATTTCTGTGCTCCCATAGAACACGTGATAAGCGCTGTGGAATAACTGCGCCGCTCATGAAGAAGGAGATGGATATAGATTTACGGGATCGCGATCTCTTGCGCGATTTCGGAGATGATAGACCGGGAGGAGTGACGGTGGCATTCATCAACCACGTTGGGGGACATAAGTTCGCAGCCAATCTACTCATCTACCTGCGCTCAGGCGAGAACGTGTGGTTTGCAAGATGCCGTCCTACAAACTGCAAGGCAATAATATCCGAAACCATCCTCGGAGGGGGAAAGGTCTGGCCTGAATATTTGCGACTGGCACAGAGGTTCAGTCCAGTGAAGTGGTAGCACCAAATAAACTACAATCAACTTATTTTAGGCACCGGCATTAGTATTGTCTTCCATATGTAATCTTCAAAGGTCTTGGTGAACAATCTTTTCTGGGAGGAATGTACTCAAAATGTTGAGTCTCTTCTGCATCGTATCGAGCTTGCTTTGGGCAATGTTGCCGCTTTGGGCCAGGATTTTGGACAGTCTTGAAGACTCTCTCGAGATGAAATCGGCTTCGCCGTTGGCTATTTTGGTGATCACCTTGACATAGTAATTCTTGACCCAAGGATCCACTCTTCTGGCAGTGACAAGCTCCTTCGCAATGGCATCAACGATGCTCTGTCTCTCAGACTCGGATGCAGAAAGCAATGACGAGGCCAGATCGCTCACTTCCGGTACAATAGCTGCTTTGGAAGTCAATTGGCCGTTCTGGTCACGGAATAGGTCAGTCTTGATGTTCACGAAGCCAACCAGCTCCGCAAAAGTACGCCCGCCCTCGTATTCTATTGGCTTGGTGGTATCTCCCTTATGGAAATACAAAATTGTTGGGAACCCCTTAACGTCATAACGTCTTTTGAGCTCGTCCGAGGGCGATTCTGTAGTCGTCACCTCCGCAATGACGATTCTATCCTTGTCTGCTTCAAACACCTTAGCCAATTTTTCCCATGCAGGATGCAAGTTCTTGCAGTGAGTACACCAGGAAGCTGTAAGCACCACAAACACGTCAGACTTGGCCACAGCATCGTCGAATGTGTGGTCATCTAACAACGTGATCTTGGTCTCGGCCTTTGGTGGTTTTACACCACTGTGCGATGCAACAAAGTTTGACATGCTAGTGAAATCACGGCCCCCAGAGTATTCCACAGGATTCTTGGGGTCTTTGGCAGTGAACAGTTTCATTGTGGGGAAACCATCGATGTCGTATCTTTTTCCAATCTTGGAGTAGGTATCGGCGTCGATCTGTGCCACTTGGATCCCACTGTTCTTAGCAAAAGAATCGCTCAACTCCTCAAATGCTGGTTGCATCCGCTTACAGTGTGAGCACCAAGTTGCGTAGAACTTCACAAACGTGGTTTTGCCGGACTTGAGAACCACGTCATCAAACGTCTTATCGGTCAGCTCCAGCACCTCTCCGAAGACGAAGGAAGACAGCAGCAGAACCAGAAGGGCCACAATGGAGTAACTTCGGTGGAACATTGTGCAAATACTTGGAAATAGTTCAAGACTTTTAATGCCAGAAAATTCAAAGTGTACAGCGAACGGCGGCGATTTCGGATCAGTTGTAAGAACAGTTGCGTATTACAAATATCAGGACACGCAACGCGGCAACGCTAACACCGAGGATTATTAGTCTGAACACTACCATGTTGAAAAGTGAAATTTCTCGTGTGGATACCAAATGTCCGAAAAGAGTAAAATCCCCTCCAAATTCAGGATGCCGTCTAGTCGTGAGGCTCTATCGGGCAAGCCTTTATCAAAGCTTATCTGTTTATCCTGGTCTTTTGCCCCCCTTCTTTTCGTTACAATATTGTAGAACGTTGTTTTGCAAAAAATGAAGATATCAACACTTTTATCCGTCGGATCTCTTCTTTCCGGCGCTTATTCCTGGAATTTATTCGACAATGTCCAGAAACACCTCGGCTTTGAGTCCCTGGTTGGCGGCGCTAAGCTCCACCAAGAGCTCAGACTGGCGTGGGAAGCCATTGGCGAAAACTACTCCGAGGAGGAGCTGAAACGTGTTTTCGAGCGTTTTGAAGAGGGATCTAGTCCGGCTATGCAGTTTCCTTCCAATGCTGCTACTGCCATGGAAGCTGGAAAGGAAGCTCTCAAGGGATGGCAGCACATCACCAACCCCACCTTTGAGGGTTACCAGTTGAGAATGCAAAAATCCGGTCCAGAAGCGCTTGGAATCGACACAGTGGCTCAATGGGCGGGTTATCTGGATGTTGAGGCTGAGGACAAGCATTTCTTCTCGTGGTTCTTTGAATCAAGAAACGATCCTGCCAACGACCCAGTCATTCTGTGGTTGAACGGAGGACCAGGATGTTCATCAATGACAGGACTATTTTTTGAGCTTGGGCCTTCGTCGATTGGTCCAGACCTCAAACCAGTCTTCAACCCTTATGCTTGGAACTCCAATGCCTCTGTGATCTTCCTTGAACAACCTGTTGGAGTTGGTTACTCGTATTCATCAAAGACCGTTTCGTCGACAGCAGCTGCGGCCAAGGATGTCTATGTCTTCTTGGAACTATTCTTCCAGAAGTTCCCTCATTTGACCAAGCTTCCATTTCACATTGCTGGTGAGTCGTACGGAGGCCATTACGTTCCTAAGTTTGCTTCTGAGATCATCAACCAAGCCTCGCGTTCGTTTGAACTGACCTCTATTATGGTCGGTAACGGAATTACCAACGCTCTCATCCAGAACAACTACTACAGACCTATGGCATGTGGTGAAGGTGGGTACCCTCAGGTGATCACCGATGCTGAGTGCGATGAAATGGACGAAGTTGCTGCCCGTTGCCAGGTTCTCTCCGAGGCCTGCGATGAGTTCGAGTCCAGAATTACCTGTGTCCCAGCAGGCTTATACTGCAACAAACTCATGGAACCATACGCAAAGACTGGTCTCAATGTCTATGATATCCGCAAGAAGTGCGGGGACAACGATCTCTGTTACGATGAACTCTCTTACATTGAAAGTTACCTCAATGAACCGGCTGTTATGGAAACTTTGGGCGTCCAGGTCGACAAGTTCGTCAGCTGCAACGATGATGTTGGACTCCGTTTCGCCTTCACTGGTGATCTGAACAAGCCTCATGAGCAATATGTGGCTGAACTTCTTGAGAAGGGCTATCCTGTACTTCTTTACGCTGGTGACAAGGATTTCATCTGTAACTGGTTGGGCAACTTTGCTTGGTCTGCCGCTCTCGAATGGAGTGGAAAGGATGAGTTTGCCTCTGCTCCATTGACCCCATGGTACACTTTGGATTCCCTGAACTACGCTGGTGACGTCAAGAACTACCAAAACTTTACGTTTGCACGTGTGTTCGATGCTGGCCACATGGTTCCCTACGACCAGCCTGAGAACTCTCTGGATCTGATCAACAGATGGATCTCTGGTGACCTTGCTTTGGGTACAAAATAGTACACTCACAGTCATTTGTAGCACTACAATCACATCACCTTTATACCGAAATTACTAGCGCTCCCAATAGCAAGTGTCTTAGTGTAGATTTGTCCAATTCCGATTCATGCATGAGCCGCATGCGTTGCTTATTTAATCAGTCGGTCGTGTATAAACCGCTTTCTCCAGCGAATGAAGAACGTCGCTTTGAAAATCGCAGGGCCTCATAAAAGAACGCTACACGAACGACACAACCTCTTATTGATCACAATACCAACATGAGTTTGCACGGTCACGCTTTCAAGTACATCCGTCATGGCCCAAACCCAGTGCCCCAGGTGCCAAAGAGCTACGCCATAATTGCCAAGGCGTTGGGTGCAACGATGTGGTGCTGGATCTTCTACAGAGCCAAGCACGACTACAAGGTGTGGTTTGTAAGTGAACAAAACCAACTGGTTTTTATTCATACTCGAAACAATTTACTAACTTTGACAGGCGCTGGAACACCCAGGCGAAGAACACCACTAAGTGCAGGTATCTTATTGAACACAGATTACGCATAGAAGCTTTGAAACCGGAAGTTGGGACATAGAACAGATTTAAAATACGTTTCTGTTTGAGCCACTTTGAGTGTAGTTGGTTGGGGTTAAGAAGGATTGGAACGGAAATACAGACTTGAAAGGAGCGTGAATTGCGGACCAAAGATGGAAACTGGAAAAATGTGGAGCCATGGACCCTCAAATGGAGTGACCTCTACAATATATTGGACGATCTACATTTCCATGATGTTGCAAAAGATTCTTCTAAGTATCTTGCAGCACAGCTCACCATATTTCTCTCAGATCACTCCGTCGTGACGAAGTCATCTTTCTGCTATGTTTCCCTCCGTTCGCACTCCTACATCTGATATCCTTACCAAACAACTGTAACCATGATATTATCCCTTCGTAGAAAACGTCCCAGCCGCAGTTCAAATCTCTTCTCCGTTTTTCACCAATCATACAAATGGAACCACCTTTGACTCTCCACCTTTTTTGTTTTCTATGTTCCCTGGTTCCTATGGCAGTTGGGAGCCCTGGCCCCTTGTACCAAAGTGTGATGGTCCCAATCTTACTTGCACGCAGCAGAAAGGCACTCTAAATCCCATTTTCAACCGTCATTGAACGCAAAAAAAACCTGTTCAAGCCTGATAATTCGAGGCTTTTGTTGTCGTGATCAATATTTGATCGATTTTTCGATAGCACACTTTTCAAGACTCAGTTCGTGAGTCCTATTACAAGTTGGACAGGGACTCGGAGCAGAACCAAGAACCCAGGACAATGGCATCCACCGCGGCGAGCAGCCAGCCGTTCATGGTGCAAAAAAACAATCTACGGATACTTTTCATTGCAGATATCCGAGGAGAGCTTTCTAAGCTCAATATTCTGGCTTCTGAGTACAATGCTGATCTGATAGTCCATACTGGTAACTTTGGGTTTCTGGACGAGGGAAGCGTGATGAGGATTCATGAGTCCTATTTGAGACACATCGTGGAATTCTCGCCACTTTTATCCGAGGATCTCATAATAAAAATCTCAAAACTGAGTAAGGTGACTGGTGATAATGTGGAGCATTTCTCATCAGACAACGAGAACCTCAAGTCGCTGCTGCGTGACCAGCAGATATCGGAGCTCCACAAACTGTTGTCCAGAGAACTGAAGCTCGATGTTCCAGTCTATACCATTTATGGAATGTGCGAGGACTCTCTGGTGATCAACAAGTTCAAGCATGATGTGTATACAGTGCCCAATTTGTTCATTCTGGACGATTCAACTTTCCATACGGTGAGGGCAAAATCCGGCGAAACGATCCTCCTTGCTGGTCTGGGAGGCTCTCTCTCGTACCACAAGTTGTTTCACCAGGGCACACAGTTTGATCCTAAAGAGATCAGGGAAGACGGAATCCTCAAGCCTGGTGTGGTTGATGTTTCTGGTGATCCGGGAAACCTATGGATAACTATCCTGCAGTTAGGTCGACTAATTCAGACACTGTCAGATTATTCAACTAGGTACCCGGAGGCCTACGAAAAGGCCATAAAAATTTTCATTACTCACCAATCGCCGACTCGTGAGCCGCTACTCGAGCATCTTTCGATCTTCTTCAAGATGGACTACACTATCTCGAATTCGTTACATTTCAAGTATACCTCCTCATACAATGAGCTTTCCATCAACCCCAGTTTCGAGGCTTTCAAAATCAAGTTCAACGAAGCAAGGACCAAGCTGGCATGTATCTGGAAGAACATTCAGCAGAAATACGAGGAATTGCTGTTCAAGTCAGAAGACCCCAATTTACTAGCATATCTTGAGCTTGCCCTCGAAGTTTTCGACAAAATTCCCGTTTCTACAAAGGGAGCTGGTGAGATCTTACCATTGGCATTAGTGAGGCCTGACTATGACTCTGATGCGGATATCGGCAACGGCAAATCAGGTGCCACTGGCCCCAAATCAAAGGAGCTGATCTCCATAATCAGGCAGCTCAACGATCTTTACTATATAGCATTCCAAAACTCGTGGCATTTCAATCTGTGTGATCTTCACTACGGTACGCTGGTTCTGGGCTTGAGCAAAGGGGAGGTTGCGATGCAGTGTCATTCCAAGGGTTTTGACTTTGGATACAGGTATGCGTCTGATGAGTTTCATGACGATGACGAGGGCAAAATTCATGCCAACCCAAAGCCAGTAAGAGGCGGTCGAGCAAGCCGAGGCGGACCACCTAGAGGAGGCCCCAGAGGCCGTGGTTCGCGCGGAGGCTACAGGGGATCGAGGGATTGAGCATTGAAAAAAAAGAACGTTGACATGGTTGAAATCGCGGTTCTCAAGGAGCTTTATGAGTTCAACGGTTTGTATTCATGGTTATACATATAGTCTACGATTGTGTAACTCAAATGTCTTAACCAGGTAAAGTATGTAGTCACAAATACCTACAACTTGGAAGCCGCAAGATGAGCCCCTCCGTCAAGCGGTATAACAGCACCGTTGATATAACTTGCCTGTTTTGAGCAAAGGAACAGAGTCAAGTTCTGGATGTCCTGTTTCTCACCTAATCTCTTTCGTGGGTTGGCAGCAACCATCGACTCGCCTATACTTTTCAAAAGACCACCGGACATTTTGGATGGGAAGAAGCCTGGAGCTAGACTGTTCACCGTTATGTTCTTCGGGCCGAGTTCGGTCGCAAGAACCTTACCAAGATGAATAACTGCAGCCTTGGATGACAAATATCCATAGGCACCTCCCGGGAAGTTTGTGTTCAAACCCGCAACAGATGCCATAATCAAAACCCTCGATGGGTCTTCGTCGGAGCCAGAATGCTCCAATAGCGGTGCAAACGCTTGGATGCATAAAAATACACCAATCACATTGAGATTCAGGACTTTGTGGAGGGCTGCCTCAGGGTGTTTTTCAAAAGGAGCTCCCCAACTTGCGCCTGCATTGGCGATCAGAATGTCCACCTTGTCGGTGAGCTTGCTGACCTCAGCTAGTAGATGTCTAGCACCTTTTTCCCCAGAAACATCGGCTGCAATTCCGTAAGCAACACCTTTCTGTCCCTCTGCTTTGGCGAGCTCATTAAGACTTTTCGCTGCTTCTTCGCATGCTGCGGCACCTCTCGAGGAAACAAATACCTTGGAAGCACCGTTTGCTATGAGTATCTCTGCACATTGTAGACCCAAGCCTCTCGAACCACCAGTAACGACGGCTACTTTTCCGTTGACGTTGATTTCGACCATTGCAGTGTGTAAGAAATTTCAATATTCTATGATTAAAGAAAGAAAAACCAGAAACATCCGGGTGTCTCGGAATCCATACCCATATATAGCATCCAAGCTTGTGATCCTCGGTGATAGAAACTCACATGGTAGTGTGGGGTAAAGGTAGTGTTCACTGCAAACAAACTTTCGTAACTTTATTGGAATAAGTGCACTACTCTTTCATCAGATAAAGGAGGGGAGGGACGTGCGGCGCCTTATCGTGGTCCCGCCTTTATGCATGTTGAATTTAGATATGTTTGTGACTCATTGGAAATTGGGAATCGGACGCGCGATATTATCTCTATTGTGAGGAACGTAGGTACCTGAGCTCACCATATTTTTCAGTCATACGTGAATCACTTGCATATAATTGAAACCTTTATAAAAATGTGCGCCCTCTATATATTTGTCTCAATGTCATAAAGAACTTGGAACTGTGGTCCTTCCTAAGCTGAATTATCACCAACTGATATACGCCCTTACCAGGATGCATACCAAATTATGTCTACTAGCTCTCTTCATCCTACCAACCTCTGCCGTATTCAGAGATAGGCCCGCAACCTTTGACGAAATCGATCCTTTTGTCCAATGCATTGCAAATCTTCCCATTCCTTACAACTATACAATTACAAGATTTGGAGGACTTGAAATCATGCCTGGCATATACGGCTTGGATGATACCAGCCTGAATTCAGATCTGAATCGCTGTATCTGGAAGCTCTCTTGTATTTCTATGGGCTTTTCCTGTCCTCGTGCTAACTCTAGATTGGCAACAAGATCACATCTAATCACTATGGTCTCAGGGCATGACATGATAAGGGATGGCCTACGTGCACAGAATGATGAACCGCCCTATGAAATGGGGATCAGTTATGAAGTTTGGCAGAGAGATGACTCTGAAAGCGAAAGCTCCAATTCGAGCGTATATTCTGATTCTGATGGTACAGTGAACTCGGATACAGCTCCTTGGAATCAACTTTATCCGGTAAATCCCGCTTATTGGTCATATAATTAGGCAACCAAACGAAAGGCATAAAGATGATAGGTTATAGGGAAAGATGTGCGGGTTTTGTGCTATGGTTCACTGGTTATTCTAGTTAACATACAGAGGCATACAAGAATTCAAAAAACTTGAACGCAAATTCGTATCTGTAAATTAATAGAAGTCACTAAAGCAACGTTTTTCCTGTTTTCCCTTTTTCCTCTTGTATCCCTCGAATTTACTACGCCCTCTGACGTTTTCCCGTTTCGGGTGCACCGCCCTGGTCGCCCAAATTAGTTATGCTCCACTGCCCCCGTCTCTTTTCGTCAATACACTACCCCCAACAAATCGTTCTCTCACTATAGAGGGGCAACCGTTCAAAACTGCAATCGTGACTAACCCTGCAATTGTCTAATTATCTCTGATCCGGAAATAATCACGTGTGCTTCCGCTGAAGGATGAACTCGTTTCAATTTCTAGCCACTAATGTGGCGCGGGCAGTGGATTCTCAGCCGCTCCGTGGCCCAACGGATCCTGCAGCTAAAGACCAACAGCCCGATGACCTGGTGGGCGATTCAGATATCGTAGCCAGACCTTTGGAGTCTAGTTTTGTCGAGGAATCGCAGCAGGATACTAGCAGTTCCTGGTTCATGCTGGTAATGAGGGCCATCTTCTTTTTCCCCAACCTGCTGGTGATTAGCCCGATGGTGTTTGTGTGCTCGCTGCTATTGTTCCCGTTCAAAGTGGTTCTTTCGTATGTGTGGGGGACGCCGCCGGACTCCTCTCCTGAGAACGAGTCTGCTTATGATGAGGGTGATACTACTGAATTGCTGGAAGCTCCTGAGGACCCGCAATTGGAAGCCACCAAGGCGTATGCTACTGGGATCACCACCATCACAGAGGACGATATCGAGTTTGATATGACTCCACATGCTGCCATACCCGACGATCAGCTTAAGAGCCCCACCACAGTGCCGTACCGGAGCGTTCAGAGCTCCGGGGCAGGCATTGGCTCAAGAAAGCGCCGATCGCGGTTCCTATTCCCTCGTCTTCTGATCAACAACAACTTTAAACTGGACAGCCCGCCTTCAATGCCTAGAAAGACGCTTGTCCTCGATCTGGATGAAACCCTGATTCATTCTCTCTCGCGCCACAACTCGTCTGTTCTCGGGAAATCCAAAGGTGCCATGGTCGAGATCAGACTCTCCAGTCAACTGGCTACACTGTATTATATCTACAAACGGCCCTACGTGGAGGAATTTTTGGCAATTGTGCGCAAATGGTACAATTTGGTGTGTTTTACTGCGAGTATCCGCGAGTACGCGGATCCGGTGATAGACTATTTGGAGTCTGAGGTTCTGCTGAGATCTGGCAACGACAGAGAGTTCTTCAAGAAGAAAGTGTTTCAGCAAAGATATTATAGAAACAACTGCATTTTCGAGGAGGGCAAGGGCTATATCAAGGATTTGGATGTGCTTGTTCTGCGAAAAGAACGTTCATTGAAACCCAATCGCAGTGCGGAGGAACTGGTCAAGCCAGAAGAGACCGATCTCAGCAAGGTGGTGATCATCGACAACTCACCCATTAGCTATAGCAGGCATAGGGACAACGGCATTATGGTGGAGGGTTGGATAAATGACCCAAACGATGTAGAGCTGATGAACCTCTTGCCTCTCTTGAATAGTTTGCGCTTCACCAGCGACGTGAGAAGTGTGTTAAGTCTCAAGGAGGGCCAGATCACCTTTGAGAAATGAATAATGATAATGACCAGACCTCGACGACAATGACAGTAAGAATAAGCATGAACAAATTGTAGTGATAGTGGTATTAAGAGGGTGTGTTGATGGTCTGGTATAGTGTCAAGTTCATGCTTGCCTGCAGACTATTTCATCTATTAAGGTTCGTATAGGCACGGGCTAGTTCGGGTTCTCATTCCCGCCTCTCAGCGGCTTCAGTATTCTCAAATTCAGTCCAACCTTGTTCCTAGCCTGCTTGGCAACACTAATATCCGCAGGCGTAATTGGCTGTGGAGGGGTGTAGGAATGGCCTGCATTATTGGTGGTGTCCTGAAGAGGCCCTGGAACGGTTCCAAAACTGGCACTCTTTACAGCAGTCAACCTGCTTTTCAAATACCCCAAGCGCTCTTCAAACGTGTAGGCATCACGCTGGAGTATCCTGCTCTGATCGTAGAGCTGCGATTCCAGCTCTTTGACCCTTTCGCTCCTGGTTTCGCTGAAATTCTGAGCCACAGCAATGTCTTTTCGGAGACCCTGATTCTGAATCTCCATATCTTTGATTTTTAAGGAAAGTTTTGCAATTGTCTGGTCCAACTGGGTGTAACTCTCAGTATCTGGTGACCCAATCTGGTCCTTCAAACGGTCGTTTTCCAGTTCTAGCTCAACTATCTTGGTGCATCGAGACTCCAGATCTGACAGCAAAATCTTGTTTGTGATACTCAGTTCCTTCACAACAGCATTCAGACGAGTTATCTCATTCTCGCTCTTGTCGTCATCTATGATTATCGATCTATCATCGTAGTCAAATATGGGCACCACTGGAAGCTCTACACCTCCGTCCTCGTTCTTGTACTTATGAGCAGCAAGCTCTTGTTCAAGTGCAGCAATTCTTGCCCTGTTCTTTGCATTTTCATTCTGTTCCTCCTGAAGACGTGTCTTGAGCTGGCCTGCACTCAGCTCTGCGTTCACATGGACGTTGTTCTTGATTCTTTTTGCACGAACACCAAATCTCAAACTGGAAAGCGTCTCCTGTTCCTGGATCGACGATGGGGAACAATTCACAATCAGTGTAGTGCATGAATTTCCTCCAAGAGACTCTTGGAGAATTCGCGTTAGTTTAGAATTCCGATAGGGCACATGTCTGGAGCCGTCGGTCAAGGCGTTGATCACGTTTCCCAGAGCCGACAGCGAGCTGTTGATCTTTTTGGCCTCTTCAAGCGTCTGTCCTGAAGCACCGGTCTTGGTCGCCTTTTCTGATCCTGCCAGATCCACCAGAAAAAGCGTTCCCTTCTTAACCATGCCAGTGGCAGAAGACTGCTGAGTGAGCGATATCTGGAATATGGCATGCGATCTTGATGATTCGTCGTTCATATCAGTGCTAGAGACAATCCTTGCAGCAGCGCCCGCTTTCATCGCCTCATAAAGTTCATCTTTTCCCGAGATATACCTATTGGTGAGACCCTTTACGTAAACCTCACCAGTTCTGGATTCATGGATGGCCAAATCAGAAGCCTCTTCGCTCAAAAGGTCGCGCAATTGTTCCATATAGATCTCCAGATATGATATGCCCACGGTGAACTCCTTATCGGAAGAACTTTTGGCTATGTCGTCAAAAATCTGGTCAGCGATCCGCGGAATCATGCCTTTGGCTTCAGGATCCCCGTCAACGGGGCCCATCATGGTGTAAGATTTTCCAGATCCAGTCTGGCCATATGCAATTACAGTTCCATTATAGCCTTGAAACAGACTATCGATTGTCTCCTTGATTGAGTATTCGAAGATTGTATTCTGGTTGCATGTCTCATCAAAGACCCTATCAAAGGAGAACGAACCAACAGCCGGAGTAACATCCAATGCCACCGTTGAAGAATCAACAACTCGCACAATCTTGGAAGACCCGTGAAACTTCTCTGACTCATTTTCTGGCCGAAATCGGGCAACTACCTTGACATTTCCAGGCTGAACTGTGTTTATTGTTCTCTTCTGAGGCGAGTTGGACCGCGACCGCGTCGCACCAGCATTACGGCCAATGGGAGTTCCCTGAGTCTCCACCGTTTTACGGGGAGTCATGCTCAGCGTGGATCTGTCTCGGAAAGACATTTCTCTATTAAGGAAGGCCGATGGTTGAGGATTATGGACGCTGCAAAACTCTCGTGTTGTTGTTTTGTGTTTATGCTTTATCGCTTTTCGGTCGTGTGTGGATTAATGCAGGGGCAGTTTGGTCGTGCCTCGCCCACCCCTTCCTCGCGAGTGGCCCGTGCGCAAGAACACCAGCAAAGGGCAATAGCACCACTGGTGAGATAAGTTTGTTCAAGCGAATTACTCACGATTATCCTGAGACTTTCTACCTCGGAACCAGTTCTGTGCCTTTCAATCACAGTTCTTGCACAGCCACAACCCTGACGGCAGCTCCCACGTTCTACACGTTCCACACGTTCCACTAGCCACGGGCCACGATAGCGCCATGCTTACGAAGTACAAGATAGTCTTTCTTGGCGACCAGGGTGGTAAGTTTGTTAATGTTTGCATAAAAGTGATGCATTTTGCTAACATTGTGATTTAGTCGGTAAAACTTCGCTGATCACCCGGTTTATGTATGATACATTCGATGCACACTATGCCGCTACAATCGGGATCGATTTCCTGTCCAAAGTGAGTTAAAACACGGTGAAGTCTGAGGTCTTTCGCTTAGAAAATTTACTAACCAATCAGACCATGTATTTGGACGATAAAACTGTCAGACTACAATTATGGGATACCGCGGGCCAGGAAAGGTTCCGGTCGCTCATTCCCTCCTACATAAGAGACTCCAACGTCGCCATTGTGGTGTACGATACAACGAACAAGGAGTCGTTCCAATCGGTGGCCAAATGGTGCGAAGATGTCAAGGCTGAGCGTGGTGCCAATGTAATAATATGCTTGGTGGGAAACAAGTCCGATCTTGTGGATAAGAGGCTGATCTCCACGGCTGATGGAGAGAACACTGCCAAGAAGGTTGGTGCCAAGGTCTTTATTGAAACGAGTACAAAGAATGGATATAACGTGAAAAATTTGTTCAAGAAGATCGCCAAGTTGCTACCGGATTTGAACCAGGATGACGGTGAGGATGCGAATGACGGTGCTATTGAAACCATCGATATCAGGACGGAGCCCACCGAAAATGCTGAGGGAGGATGTCAATGCTGAGGAGTCGTCTCGACTAGACTGAAACGGCTTGTATTAGGCAATAGGTATTATATTGGTGCTTTTGGAATGGCTGATAGCCTCGTTCTGGCTGATCCCAATTGAAAGGCTTTAGTCTTCTTTTTCTTGCCTTCGGCTGCAAAAGACTAACTTTGACTTGACCGTCCCACATCTGTTTTCTACTCTTTCTCTTATTCCTTCATTTCCGAACCCTCGTGTATTGGCAGAGTTGGCCAGCCATACTGGTGAAGCCAAGGACGATCAATAGCTTGCAGCTCAAAGCGTATACTAGAAACTAATAGCACTTAGCACTTCTTTACAATCGTATACCACACAGCATGAATTAAACTTCGTATTAGACAGTAGAAAAACGTAACATAAGGAAGCAGACGCTGGTTGTCAGACGTAGGCCAGGTTGACATTCTCACCACCTCACAATGTCGAAAAGATGTACAAATTGTTGGTGGCCGCAATGGCAACGCTATTCTCTCTGGGGTGCCAGCTTAGGTGGAGTATGCTCTTCTTGAAGTCGATGGTCTCGAAATCGACATCCTTTCTGATCATACTCAAACCACCATTGGGATTGACACCCAGTCCGCCCTTCCTTCTGTTCTGGTTCAGTTTCTTGGCTTTGAACGCACTCTTGTCTGCCTGCAGCACGATCCTGTCTTTCTCTGGATCCGAGGCACCCGTGGCATCGGGATATATCATAAAGTTGTTGTTGTAAGATCCGGTCATTATGGAGTTATTGTCGCCACTAAATTGCACTTCAAACTTGTCAAATATGGCGTCATTCTCGTACGTATCACACAGTCTGGAGCGCAGTTGCTCGTGGATATTGATGGTCTTTACTGGCGCTCTTTCCATCGCCAGGTCCCAGATCTTCACCGTCATGTAGTCTCGGCTAACAATGTACCTGCCGTTGTTCGAGAACTTCACGTCAGAAATTGAGCTGGTAATCTCGGTGAAGAAATTATGGTTCTTGGGGTCCACATACTCTTCAAACACCTTTGCGTGGTTGTCGCAGAGCGAGTTCATCCGCATGTCCGACAGCTTAATAGTGCCCTTGGATGACGAATACATGAACAAATTGCAGTCCTCGGGATGGAACTCCGCAGAAGTGATCACCTCGGTCAATTCCTCCATGTTTACAGGCTTGATATCAACGATATTGAACGATTGATCTGCAATGCCCAAATTCCACAGGTTTATCCTCAAGTCATCAGCAGACAGAAACGTCTCGCCATCCGAGTTCACACTTATGGAGTTGATGTGGTAGGCATGGGCATTTGCATATATCTTCTTGGGCTGTGCCGCCGTGATTGTATCGTGTAAAGTGACCCTTGGTAGCTTAAGATTGTTGGCCGACTGGAAACTCTTATGCTGCTGTGTAGAACCGCCAAACCCGTGGTGGTACGAATTGGTTTCGCTCAGGTTGTTCTCCGCAACCATCTTGATCTGTTTCTCAAATATCTTCCACAGCTTGATGGTCTTGTCGTTGGTTGACAGCAAGAAGTTTGAAGTGTTGGAGCGCTTCAGCCATTTGATCTTATTTATCTTCTCCTCAATCTCCAAAGACTTGAGGTAGTCGAACTCAGCATCGTGACTCTGAAACTCCGTATAGAACCGGTATTCGCAATTCTTCTTGTTCTCATTTCTCTCAAACAGAACAACCCTGCCTCCTCGGTCTCCAGTGGCTAGGTAGTCTCCAGTGTGGTCAAACTCAACGGTGGATATAATATCTGCCTCAGTAATGTTTTCAACATCACCTTTGTCACCGAAACACTGTGAGAATTTCCAGGATTCGTCCATGGTTGTAGTATGAATGTGCTAATGTTGAGGTAATGTAGAAGGGGCAATGCTAGGTTTAGTCCTGGTTCAATGGTGTGTGAATATCCTCAAATAACGCAAACACTCCGCGATTATTTTCGTTCTATCCAATCCAAAGCGACTAGAAGTGATGATGAGCCAAATATTGTCGATCAATCGGTGTTTCCAACAGAACTGGCAACCGTAATCAACCTTGAATGCAACTTATAAGAGGTCTTTGAATAGCCCGAATTTCACGTCCCCGAATATAAAAAAACTGGACAAAACGGCGAGAATTCGAGTCTTTATCTTCACGTGAACCAACTTGCAGTATCGCTGATTAATTCCAAAAGAGATGGTGTCTGGTGAAAGAAAATCGCTACGGCCCCCAACAACAAAACAGAAAGGCTCCGTTTTTTCCCCTTTGTGGGAGCGCTATGTTGAGACGGCGGCGCTGACCTCGATGGCAGCGGCTTGATCTGGCAGATTGCCGGGCAAGGAAGTCTGGGGAGAGGGTTTTCACGTGGCAATTATGGGATATTTTGAAGGGTATTGGTGAAAATATTGGCAATTATAATTAAACTTTAACTGGTTTACTAGTTATATTTATCGAGGTACACTTTTTACGGTAGTTGTGGTGTTTTTTTGTGGTGTTCTTGCTGTCCCATGAGCTCGAATGGGGCAGTACTGGGGGAGGAGCGTAGGGTTTCCAAGCGAGAGAGGCCAGAACCTGGGCTCTGGTGGTATTGGCATTTGATTTTGGTTAAATAGGCTTGGGTAGTGTGCATAATTGTCAGTGGTAGCCCTGGACCGGTTTTTGACAGAAATTGGTGGATAATTGGCGTGATCTGACTGGTTGCAAGTTTTGCTACGGTTCAAAAGCTCTCTGTAGCAAATGGCGATTAGGGCCTGAGGATGGAGATCTGGGTGGTAGCCACTACCTTTGGAAGGATCACAGAATAGACTAGCTTTGACTGGCCGGTGAATTATTAGTTGTAATATATTTTATGCTGCACGTTGATGTGGACTTGACTCTCAATTGAATATAATTGGCCATTATTTTGTCCATTACTCCCATTTGTCGTTTCTCCCGTGTATGTCTTGACAAGCAACTGAACGAGTTCCCGGTCGGTCTCCCCAGCTCACCAATCAAAGTAAACTCTTCCTCTACTCTTCTGATTTATGTGCAGCTATGTGCTATTTTATTATAAACTTCTGCTTTCCAACTAGAACATCTAAACGGTTACGTTTAAGCCTTCTTGGCAGCATCGGCTGGAGTGACACGCTTCTCACGGTTGAATCTTGGACGGACTGGAGGAGTTCTGATTCTTCTGTCGGTTCTAGATCTGACTCTGACGATTCTGGCGTGGATGGCGCACGAGACACAGTAATGCAGTTTGTTGTAGAGCTTTGGCAGGGCGTACTCGGCGTAGACAGAGGCCTCAGACAAGTCTCTGACGGCAGCAGCCTCAACCATGTTTCTGATGTTGACACGCTTGATGGACTTGTCCTTTGGCACACATCTGTAGCAGTTAACACATCTAACTGGCTTGACGTGGCCTCTACCCTTCTTGTTTCTACCGTTGGAAGCTCTCTTCTTTGGCATGTTGACTGATAAAAAGTTAGTAAGGGCGTTCCTGAAATGAGTTGCATAACGATAGTTGAGTCAGAGGGTCTGTAGGAATGGTTTTTTCCTTTGATATGTTCGATTGGAAGATGCTGGTTGTGTTTTGCTTGTGGTGTCCAATGTTAAAAACGCCTTCGATTCCAACCCGTGAATTATAAACGAATATTATCCTTTTCATTTGCATTGTATATTTCCGTATTCTAACCAACTCCTGACTCAACCTTTGCCGTAATTATCGTGGTAACATACCTATTTGATTCTGGTTTCTGAAATAACTTGAATGGGTAAAGGTTGGGACTCTGACTTTTTCACCAGTACTGCGAGGGAACCACCAGAAGAGCCGTGGTTATTGAGCCCTGAGCATATGGAGTGGTACACTATGTGGGTGATTTCGTTTAGTATGGCAGTGGCCAGTTGATGAGTATGATGTGTGCTGTAATGTACGCGTGGGTACTGAGAAATGTACAGAAAAACAGTCACAATCTTGCTGACACGAAGGTCTGTCATAATGGGCGTGTTCTGCTCAAACTTCCTATATTTCGTCGTGCATCAATCGCACTGGTAGTCGTGTCCTACCAGTTACCGACATCCAATCAGCGATGGTCTCATTTTCTCACACCACACCCGTCTGAGCTATACATAAAACTCCTATGGACTTACCTTGAACACGCTTTTGAGACGTTCTACCACCCACTTCTCACCAACCATCAATTGAAGGTATGTGGCATCTTTAGCCGGTGACCCAGTGACTCCAATGAACTGGTTGTCGCGGGATTTCATCCATATTGGCGAGTTTTGTCTCGATGTTCAAACCGTGGCCTGTAGTACTAACCCTTTACTTTCACAGATGCTCCGTCAATCTTTCCGTTTCGCTCGTCCAGCTAGATTATTCTCGACATCCACCCTGTTGAGACAGCAGACCCCTAAGGTCTGGAAGACTGCCACCTCCATATCCGAGGTCGTTGACAAGCACGACTTGGTTGGACCAGGTGCCCAGCCAGGAACTGTTCCTACTGATTTGGAGCAGGCCACTGGTTTGGAGAGATTCGAACTTTTGGGTAAGCTTGAAGGTGTTGAAGTCTTTGACAACATCCCATTGGACTCGTCCAGAACTGGAACCATGGCCGACCCAATCGTGGTTGACTCCTACGACGACTACAGATACGTCGGATGCACCGGTGCTCCAGCTGACACCCACGAGATCCAATGGTTGAAGCCTACTACTGAGAAGGTTGCCAGATGCTGGGAGTGTGGTTCAGTGTACAAGCTGAACTACCTGGGAACTCCAGGTGGCCACCACCATCACTAAACAGCCAAAACAGAACCTCACCACATCTACCCCCATGCCTCCACAATCCCCGTTATTTTCCTGTTTCCCTTGAACTTTTATCCTCCCAAGCATAAATGGAGCAATTTGTGGGTTTTCGCCTGTGTCTACCCGTTGTTGTAGGGTGTTGCAATGCTATTTGCAGCTTTTCCCTATATATCCAATGGGTGACACCCCGCGCTTTTGCCCTTTTTAACATGCTGAAGATGTAAGGTTCTCCGATTTGACAGAGCATGAAAGCATAGAACCTTTGACTTCTTCATATCTGGAGTGGTTCGAAGACACTGTTTTCGAAAAGATAAATCCATAATTCCATATTCAGATACGCAATGAAAGAATTGAAATAACTGTTTTCGTAGATCCTGATAATGATAATTTTAAGCTGAATGGTCTGAATTTTGCAACTTTTCAACAGTAGAATGATTCATTACTCCATTGTAGATAAGGATTAGGCCGAATTCACTCTACAGAGGGCATCGCAGATACGGCTGTCTGGTGGTCTCGAGCCGATCCACCTTGACATTTCCCTAGTTTCCTTAAGCGCAAATTTTGGCCATCCATACGCAATTGAGAATCACACAAACTCAGTTCAGCTTGAACTATACTGTCTTCTATCATATGTCTAAACCAAGAGTGCTGTTTGTGGGTGACACCGACGAGGGACTGCCTGAGTTCGAGTCTTTCGCGACCAAGTTTGAATGTGTCAAGTACACCTTGACCACGAAAGAACAGTTGATTGCGGATCTGGACTCGAAATTTGGTGATATTGTTGGGGTATACGGTGGTTGGCTGGGTTTTGGACCAATAAGGGGTCTTTGGAAAGATGTCATTCCCCATTTTCCTGCGTCTCTCAAAATCATCACCTTGTGTTCTGCAGGTCATGATGGGTACGATATGGAGGCTCTCAGAGAAAAGGGCATCACCCTCTGCAATTCTCCAACTTTTGGTGCTGAGCAAGTTGCTGATACCGCTCTTTTTCTGACTCTGCATTCTTTTAGACTCTACAATTTTTATGAAACCGCATTGAAAGGTCATGGTCATACCTTCGAGAGCAGGAAAGGCATAGAAGAGTCGCTGCTGAATCCGGTCACCGGAAGGCTGGAACCAAATCCTGAAGCCAAGGCCAAGTCAGAGCATAAAATTATGCCCAACTATGCATTTGGCCAGCTGCTGGGTAGTCATCTTTCGATTTTGACTCCGCAAGGCAGAAACGCCGTGATTGTTGGTCTAGGGAGTATTGGAAGCCGAATTGCTAAGAGACTTAACGTGATTGGAATGAACATCCACTATGTCAAGCGTACACCTTTGACAAAAGACCAGCAAGCTGCTCTTGGATTTGAGGCTACTTTCCATCAATCTCTTGAAGAAGCAGCCCCACTGGCTGACGTTGTCATTTTTGCCATTCCCGGTACTCCAGAAACCGCGAAAATGTTCTGCAAGAAAGTGATTGACTTAATGCCCTCAAAATCAAGAGTTATCAATGTTGGAAGGGGATCCATTGTGGATGACGGAGATCTGTTGGAGGGAATGAGGTCCGGAAAGATCATCTTTGCTGGTTTAGACGTCTTCTACAATGAACCTTTGACCAACCCAGAGATCGCTGCCAGGGACGATGTAGTATTAATCCCCCATATAGCATCATCAACAGTGGAGGTCTACGATGCGACAGCCAGGTTTTGTTTGAAAAACTTAGAGAACGTCTTGGCCCATGGCGAGAAGCCACAGAATGCAGTTAACTAGGGTGCGTGCGGCGCACGCACGACGTGCGTTTGGGCGTCTGTTTCTTCTTAAGCCGTTCACAGTCGGTCTTTGTTTTTTGTTATTTTGCTTTGTATCCTCAAGAACATTTGAAATATCCCACTTATAATGGCAACGCCTTCAAATTCACGAAGATCTTCGGACCAGAAGGACTCTGGAACATCAAATCCAGGAGCATGTCCCGTCTCACTGTTTCACCGAAAACTGGTGTGTTTCTTTGCAGGCAGTATGATCCCATTCGAAGAGGTTGAGAGTAAACACTTTGCTTCACTTCTCAAAACTCTAGGCAGTGATGATCCGCTGCCCAAATATGCTACCCTTCTGGAATCCGCTAGAGTACTTGCGGAATACTACGAGAATTTACTCGTGGCAGAGATAGCGGCTGAAGACTACAAGGTGACGGTTGTATTTCACAAATACACACTGGTCCAATCGGTGTGTGATTATGTCTTTGTATCAATACATTGGATTGACAAGGATTTCAAGTGCGACTTTTTCCGTATTGGCCTGGTTTTATATGATGCCGACTTCGCTGCTAACGTGGAGAGAATTTTGGCACCTCTGGGACAACGGATCGTGTTTGTAACCAGCAACTTCGAGCCCACTCCAGAAACTTGGGAGTCTATTACCGGTTATTTTGATTTAAGTGTTCCGGATGTCTCTATGCAGAACTCCTGGTTGTTTTGTTTGCCCACGTTTCTTGGAAATGCAGTAGAGGAGTTCCTTCTTGGAGACGACTCCTTCACCTTTGATACGTGTGATGATGCCAGACACTTCATTCCCTCACTGATAAGCAGGTATCTTGGATCTGATTATACAGCGATTCTTCAATTGGATGTTTCTTTGGTAAATCCTGATAAAAATGACACGGGTGGAGTTCATTTTGACATTTTGGCTGATCGCCTTCTCATCTTCGAGAGGTCCCGCACTCTGTCGTACCTGGAAGCTTTAGTTTTCTACAGAGATCAATTGGATGCGTATTTAGATGAAAAGATATGGAGCCAAATTGAGTTTTTGGCGGTCTTCCTGTCTACTTTTCAAGTGGTTTTGACAAGCTCCTGTTCAATGACAAGCCCTACCAGCCATATGGTACTGAAGTGGCTTAAGATTCTCATACATACTTCAAGGACTTCCAAATGGCACCATTGTCTTCCAGCTAGACGCTTTGAGATACTGGAATCACGCTTACAGTCTTACCATGACCAACTACAGTACAAGTTTGGACTTATAACGAGTTGCTACCTTCACCCATCAACTCGCCGGTTTATGACGGAACCACAAATTGAGCAGGTGAGAGCCCACATGGCTCATTTGCAAGAAGATGCTGCTGAAAAGTATGGGGACTTCGAGGAAATGATTCTACGGGAGTTTTCATGTTCGGGAAGTATTTCCAACGAGTGCTACAATTACGAAACGCTACTGTCGCACAAGATTGGATACTCGGAAGGAAAGCCAATGGTGTCCAAAGAGGGTGGTCCAGCTTTGCTAAACTTTTGGCATGATCACAGGGATTCACTACCTGCTTTAAGCAGTTCTGCTATGCAAGTCTATGGAATACAAGCTTGTAGCGATAAAAGCTACAGAACCATGAAACAGTCGTTGGGCCAACTCAAGGACTCTACGCAGTACTTGCGTGAGATACCTGGAGATCTCCATCTCTACAACTTCCTATACCATCTCGTGAATGTTCGAGACATTCTTGCTGATATCGGAGAAAACGGACAAAAAGCACAATATACAACTTCTAATTCCATACCTGATAAAGTGCCAAAGTTTGTAACCAAACGCAGGAAGTCCAATGCTTGAAATCTAGGAAAACAAAGAAAAGTGTCATATTTGAGAAAATGCCCAATGGCTGAACTGCTCTCAAAAATACTGTCCTATATTGGAATCAACAAATCAAGAAGACTATCTGAAAATTTTCTTTTTCTTTTTGTGTCACTTTATATTTTACCTATGAACCAATATCCCTTTTTCTAACGGTTTTCTGTGCGGCGCGGAACTTGCCTTTTTGGGTAGTACGCGCAGGACGATTGAGCTGGCGATAAGAACCCTCCTCTTCAAGGCCGCTCTAAACCCTTGAACACTATCAACAAAATCCTCGACCTAACAAACTATGACCAAACCAAGGATTCTTCTGCTTGGAACTGTTCCCCCTGCGGACAATCCTGACTATGCTCTCTTTTCAAGAGATTTTGAGGTGGTCCCCTTCGTTCCCAAATCGATGACTGACTTTTGTCAAAAGCTGGACACCATTTACAACGATATCTCGGCGATTTGGATGTTTGATTTCGTAGAGAATACGGTAAGTGAAAATTCACCTGAATGATGCCGAGCTTTGAACTAACCCCGAAGTAGGACATTTCATACGGCGCTGAGTTGGCCAGCCATTTTCCCGAGACCCTCAAGGTTTGGGCGATTGCGTGGGTCGGTTACGACTTCGTGGATGGTGCTGCTTTCAGAAAAAAAGGTGTTATCTTGACCAACACTGGCTCTGCCACTTCGCCTCAAGTTGCTGATCTGGCGTTGTATCACGTCCTGGCCTCATACAGAGGAACGTCTGTTTTCGAGCGCTCACTGAGAGACCAGCTCAATCTCTCCGAAGCGAGGAAAATACTGGGAACCAAAGAATTTAGTCCCGAAACCGGCTTGCCGGTTATTCCAGTTGATCACAGAGTCAATTACTTTGATTATGGAATGGCTATTGGAGGTAAGGTGCTGAACACTCCTCAGGATAGCACCGTTGGAATTGTTGGACTAGGGGCAATTGGCAAAGAAATTGCTAAGCGACTGAATGCAATTGGTATGTATGTTAATTACACCAAGAGAAGCCCTCTAAGCGAAGAGGAGGAGAAGAAGCTGGGCTTCACTGTCACTTATCATGAATCTTTTGAGAAGATGATTCCTTACTGTGATTGCATTGTTTTTTGTGTGCCTCATACTCCTAGCACTATCCATCTTCTAAACGAGAAAACAGCGAAGATTCTGAAACCTGGAGTGAGAATTGTCAACGTTGGAAGAGGATCCGCGTTGGATGAGAATGTGTTGCTCCAGTGTCTTGAAGACGGAACTATATCCCATGCTGGTTTGGACGTGTTTGAATCGGAGCCATTGGTTGATGAGAGACTCGTGAAGAGATGGGATATCACTTTGACTCCTCATATTGGCTCTACTACCTCAGATAATCCAAAACATGCTGCTAAGGCCAATATGGCTGATATAAGCAACATCGTACTTCATGGTGGTAAGGGCTATAATACAGTTAATTAGAGTTGGACGAGCTTTATTATAGTAGATTGCAAGATTCATCATATTCATTTGCAGCCTCTATTTGAATTGGCTCCGGTTAAATATCCAAATTACAGTACTCCATTCTGTCCTTGGCGTAATCCACATATAGCTGGTTCCACACACGGATGGCATTGCACTCGGGTTTATCAGAGGATGACGTTAACCGGTCCACACAATCGATATTCTCGTGATCTTGTGAGTCTTGTGGCTTCCAGGGCTTGGGAACTGGATGATCAGAGAAGTGGAAAAGTTTAGTCTTTTTCGTCTCCGGAACCAGGCTCCAGGCACACTCCTTCGATTTCCAATAGGCATTCTCGGGGGTTTCAATTTCCGATAATTGCAGGTCATTAGGGTCCATCATATAGCGGGAGTGACCTCTGAGGGAATGGACCGTTAGTTCGCCTGTTAACATCAACAAATCGTGGTGACCAAGAACCGTGAGCAAAGGTTCAACTGTATCGGTCTTTTCGTTGAAGTAAGCATTCTCTTTAGTCCACGCACCCTGCAAAAACTTGTTAACTATTTCCATATCATAGTCAGATTTAGATCGTCCCTTGGTAAGTTTCATCAACTTTTTAAACATTTTTTTGTTTGGTTGGACAACCATCAAAGCCGTAGTGAATTGAAGGTCGTCCCATGGAGTGAACACCGGCAAGTTAGAGAGTACATTCCATGAAAATTCGTCCGACATCTCGCTCATTCCTGTTACAACCTTCTCATAGAAGTACTGAAGTTGGTTCTGCCGCTGTTCGCATGTACGTACAGCAGGACTCATCACCGGATTAGAAATAGGCCATGTATACAGCACTGGCAGAGCAACCAGACTGGGAGGAAGAAAAAACAAATGATCCATTCCAAGATTCACAGTTGAGTCAGAATCAAAGAATATTACCCGATCGTATTGCTCTAGCTCAAACAAGTGAAGCTTTGTGAAACTTTCTTCCCAGGTAGTGGAGTCGCTCTTGAGCGAGATCATGCTCACTGGAATGAGCTTGATACCGAATTCGGCCTCTGCCTCTTGTAGAAGCCTACTTTCGGGCTTATACTGCTTTTCAGGCAATCGATGAGGATTATAGCTGAACCCTTTGTAGTACATCAACACCAAATCTGCCTTGGTTCCGAACTCTTCACGCAGCTTGGCGAAGTTGATCACCGCGTTGCAGATGTAGTCCAGATCGGTCGCATACTGCACGTATGCAAACCTGGACCAGTCAAGTGAAGGCTTTGATTCTTCCAAATGCTGTACCTTCCCGTATATTAACGAGATCAACTCATGGGGTACAAACTTCACCTTGGAGGCATCGTACCGCAGAGCTGAATAGGCCAGGTCCTTCGTAGGCGGCATCCTCAGTCTCTGGAACATCCACAATAATGCAATCGCCAGAATAATTCGCCTTATCAAGAGCTTGCTTCGCCTGGTAATCATTGTGAAGTTTGTTTCATTACTCGCTCAAAAGCATGAGTTGGAATACTGTAGATAGTAAGGTACAATTATGCTTATCTAGGCCTGAATGCTGAAAAATTGCACGTGACATCAAATTTCATACGCTAAATTGTAAAGTTATAGACCACAGATATATCTATGTTAATATACTAAGAACTTTGTTGTGGATCTCCTGCTGTTGTTTTTTTCTCAATCTATGTCTTCGACCATCTACAAATCAGACCTCGTAAACTTCTTGATGTCAACTGGCTCGTCTCCCAGAAGAGTCTTTGGACCTGAGGATGGCTCACAGGTATCCCTTCCGGAAACAGGACCAGCCTTTGGGGTCTCACCGTTCTGGAATGCCTTCAAAATAGCAACAGTCTTGTCGGCCGTTAGATCCTCGTAGAAATCATCGTTGATCGCGATCATTGGTGCATTCACACATGCACCCAAGCACTCCACTTCCTGGAGGGTGAAGAGGTTGTCTTTGGTGGTTTCACCAGGTTGGACTTGCAGATGGTCCATGATGGCCTCCATCACAGAGTCTGAGTTGCACAACTGACATGGTGTTGTGGTACACACCTGGATATTGTATTTGCCCATAGGCTTTCTGTTGTACATTGTGTAGAAAGTTGCCACTTCGTAGACTCTCATTGGGGGCATATCCAACAGCTTGGCAACGTAGTTCATCACGGAAATAGACGTGAACCCGAGCTGGCGCTGCCCCAGGTCAAGCAGGGGCATACATGCACCCTTCTTATATTGAGGAGGATACTTGGCGATCACCTCTTCGGCAAGCTTGAGGTTGGCAGCGTTGAATTCAAAAGGTATGTTTGGGTTATCCTCTGGAGAATCTCTGTGTACCGACACCATGTGCGATTTGCGGATCTGGACCATGTTCAAGCCCAGCTTGGATTGACGGGTTACACGCCCGAACATCTTGGAAAAATTAACCAGAGACATGCTGTTGTAGATGTGGAGTTGAGAGTTAAATGATCAATGAGCCTTTTGCAAAGGACCATCATGACAATTGAAGGTCGATGATTGGATTTTCGCAAAAGAGGGAAATGGTAGTGTAACATCTAAGTACCGTTTCTAAAGGGAAACAATCGTGTGAAACGCAACTAATTATGTTTTTTGTATATATCCACGACTTTTTCAAAGCCCTGCTGTGACTCTGCGCGGCGCATTGACTCGTCATAGCGGGTGACGCATAGATTGCATCAACGATCAAGTTTCAACATTCAGCTTCTTCTACCCACCGCTTATTCTATACCACCAAACCATGTCCATCCCCAAGAAATACAGCCTTGAGACAGACGTTGTCTTTGTTGGTCACGATGACCAGTTTAACTCCTCTGTGCCGCCGTTGTACCAGACAGCCACTTTCAAGCAGGAGTCACTCTCCAACATGGGCGAGTACGACTACACCCGTTCAGGTAACCCCACGCGTACCACTGTCCAACAGCATCTGGCTAAGGTTATGAGGGCGAAGTCCGTTTTTGCTGTTACCAGCGGCATGAGTGCCATGGACACCATTTCACGGTTACTTAGTCCCGGTGATGAGGTCATTGCCGGAGACGATCTGTATGGAGGAACTCACCGGCTACTGGTCTATCTCCAAAAGATGTCCCAGATCAAGGTCAGTCACTACGATACTACAGACACCGATCTGGTGAAGTCCAAGATCTCTTCGAAGACAAAGATGATTTTTCTGGAGTCCCCCACAAACCCACTTATCAAGTGTGTGGATGTGCGGGAAATCACCAGGCACGCCCACGAGGTGAATCCAGAATGCATAGTTGTGTTTGATAACACCATGATGTCGCCTATTCTCATGAACCCGCTGGAGTTGGGTGTGGATATCCACTACGAGTCTGCCACCAAGTATCTTAATGGCCATCACGATATCATGGCTGGTGTGATTGCCGTGAACAACCAAGACTTGGCTGCCAAAATATATTTCATCATCAACTCGACTGGATGTGGTCTTTCACCATTTGACTCGTGGTTGTTGGTGCGTGGGCTGAAAACTCTTGCTTTGCGTGTGGAGAGACAGCAAGAAAACGCTATCAAAATCGCACACTGGCTCGAGTCCAAGGGCCTCAAGGTCAGATACCCGGGCCTGAAATCACATCCTCAATATGAGCTGCACAAGTCGATTGCAAGAGGCCCTGGAGCCGTACTTTCGTTTGAAACTGGGTCTGTGGAGACCAGTGAGAAGATCGTCGACGGCTGCGACCTATTTGGTGTCACAGTTTCCTTCGGATGTGTGAACTCGTTGATTTCACTTCCTTGCAAAATGTCTCACGCTTCTATTGACGAAAAGACCAGGAGCGAAAGGGCCCTTCCAGAGGACCTAATAAGGCTGTGTATTGGCATAGAGAACTGTGACGATCTGATCGGTGATCTAGAACATTCCCTGAGGGTTGCCGGTGCAATTTGAAACGAACTTTCATCTACATACTGATAAATTTAAACCCGAACTAGATTATTTGTAGTCTTAGCTGTCTTAAGATCTATGTTGCAATTTCAAATTCCGTTAAATGTCGTCCCCCAACCAAGTCCAACGGTCGTGTTCGCCTGATTGCCAGCCCAGACAGAATCCTGTCTTTCAACTCAGTTTCCAGTTCTGGGTCTGATAACATACCGGATTATCACGCTACAACGGCTGTACTCCTCGGATTTTGGTAATTGTTTTTGCTAAACACGCTTCACAAGGTTGCACGCGAAAGGCAGGTTTTTGGCTCGATTGGCTAGACTTTGGATTGGGCTGATATAAACACACGCTTGTACGCCCCTTCTCTCCGCGGCTGAACAGCAAGATAGACAAACTACGCAAGCGTACCGGGTTCTGATTCTTGTGCGGGAGGTTTGCATTCGGCTTCCTTGCCTGTGGCCACTGAAACAGACCAAGCAGAAACAAAAATGTCCCAACAGGGCTCTTCAAATTCCGGAGGAGTTACTCCACAAAATCAACAACAACAACAACAACCCTCGTCATCGGCTTCGTCAACGCACGCGACTGACCCCAATATAATCGCCAAACACTATAAAATCGACAAGAAGATTGGAGAAGGATCGTTTGGTATCATCTTCAAAGGCTACGATATACGAAACCACAACCTACCCGTTGCCATCAAGTTTGAGTCTCGCAAGTCCGAGGCTCCCCAGCTCAAAGACGAGTTTAAGGCCTACACCATTTTGAACACGAGTGTGGACAGCAGTCTGAAGAATCATGAAGCTCAATCCCAGTTTTTGTCGCTATCCGGGATTCCAAAGCTATACTACTATGGCCAGGAGGGCTACTATAATATTCTGATTATCCAGCTTTTGGGGCCGTCGCTCGAAGATCTGTTTGATTGGTGCGGGAGACGCTTTTCGCCGAAAACGGTAGCTCAGGTGGCCAAACAGATGATCTGTCGTATCCAGTTTGTGCACGAGAACAATCTGATATACAGAGACATCAAGCCGGACAACTTCCTCGTTGGTGATAACGACAATATCATCTACCTCGTGGACTTTGGAATGATTAAACAGTACAGAAATCCGGTCACGAAGGCTCATATCCCGTACAGAGAGAAGAAGTCCTTGAGTGGAACGGCACGGTATATGTCGATAAACACGCATTTGGGAAGGGAACAATCACGCAGAGACGACCTGGAGTCGCTCGGCCACGTGTTTCTCTATTTTCTGAAAGGTGAGCTACCATGGCAAGGGCTCAAGGCACCTTCGAATAAGCTAAAATATGAGAAAATTGGAGAGAAAAAACGGTCTACTGGTATAGAGGATCTTTGTGCCGGATTGCCACACCAATTTGCGAACTATCTGAAATACGTACGTGGGCTTCGCTTTGATGAAACCCCAGATTACAGGTACTTGACTGACTTGATGGACGAAGTCCTAACTGATCTTGGCACTACTGATGACGGCAACTATGACTGGATGCAACTCAACAATGGCAAAGGCTGGAACTGGCAGACTAACAAAAAGACAAATCTCAACGGTTACGGCTCCAACAATGCACAGAACAACCAGAACCAGCCCCAGAACCAAAAATACCCAAAACGTCATTCGCGGTCCCACAGACCGGGGTCTCCGGGCGCAGGAAGCCAGGGGAGACAGCAGCAGCTCATGTCGTCTAATTACGTGCAATACGGTGCCTCCGGTAACTCAAGGCCGAGTGCAAACCCGGGCGCTCCGGGCATGAATCCAGTGAACGATAGGGGGCGGATTAACTACGAGGACGAAGATGACAGTGCCAGTCGGGGATTTTTCCAGAGGGTTTTCTGCTGTTGCTTGTAAAGTTATTATCATTGCTCTCATTTCGTCTTTTGGCATGTTTCATTTTTATCTTCATAACTTGACGCGGAAGAGATTGGCTCCACAAGCATATCCAGGAGAGCTTTAATGCTGTGGGATATGTTTTGTTATACCCTTCAGTCATACCAATCTCTTAATCTTTGTGTTTCGATAATCCCAGCAATTGCTGTAGTCTATATAAGCTAGTGTAATCATTTCCTTTGAAGGCTGAAAATGAATTTCGTCGTGCTCTGATCAAATGTCAACATTAACGCGCCTAGCGCCCTGTCTACCTGTTGACGAAGTGTGATCCTTTTCAATTTCAGCGGTTATCGTCTAAGAATCCGGAGAATGGGGCTCTCGGTGGAATCAAGGTGCCTTGCGTATCATGGCCCATTGCTCTACGAAGCCAAGGTGCTCAAAGTGCACGAAAAGAACAAAGACACAGTCAAGGTGAAAGACGGCACCGAGGCTGTTGATCCAGAGACGTTCCCCCTCGAATTCAAGGACAGACATTTGTATTTTATACACTACCGCGGGTGGAAGTCGTCGTGGGATGAATGGGTTCAGGATGATCGCGTTCTGGCCTATGACGAGGAAAATCTCAAGAAACAGAAGGAGCTGAAGGCAGCGTTGGCCAAGGCCAACCAGCCGCCGCCGAAGGAGAAGAAGGAGAAAGAGAAAAAAGAGCCCGTGACCAGGCGTACAAAGAAGCCAAAAGAAGAGGCCAGTTTGGAGTCTGAGGATGAATTTTTGAGGAGGCCAGAGATTGCGATGACGATACCCGATAACCTCAAGTCGTTGTTGGTGGACGACTGGGAGCTGGTCACAAAGGAGAAGCAATTGGTGAGACTTCCGGCCAAGACAAGCGTCAAGCAGATCTTGGATGAATACGGCGAGATAGCTTTGAAAGGAAAAGCCGTTCATTCGGCAGACTACGATAATACCGTCGAAATAGTCAAGGGGCTGAATCTGTACTTTGATAGGTGTCTTGGGTCAATTTTGCTATACCAACTGGAAAGACGTCAGTTGTTGGATGTTCAGACGTATCCAGTGAATGCCGGAAAGACCCCAAGTGAAATATATGGTGTAGAGCATCTTTTGAGACTATTGGTGACTCTCCCTGGTCTTATAGCACAAACCTCTATGGATCAACAGTCCATCAGTCTCATGCGCGAATTTGTGGAGAAACTACTTAGATGGCTTGATGAGAAGGCAAAATCAAATGAGTTGTTTGTGAAGGACTACGAGAATGTCAGCCCAGCGTACGAGGCGTTGTCTAGGAGCTGAAGAGGATGCCGCCGGATACTCAGAATTGACAGTAAGGAGAGTCAAGCTGAGAACAATTTTGAATAAGGACAATTTTACAGAATATCATTTATTTTGATCATGAAAGCTGAAAATGATCGTGAGAATAAACCGATAATAAAGTGTAAGTTTTCATATGACGATAAGGATGTGGATGTGATGCTTGATATGCGGTGAAAATATGATTAAATAATAACATGTCTGAGCTCTCAATTTCCCCTGCGATATTTGAGCTTTTTTTGCCTCTGGATCAGAAAATCTTGGATTATTTTACAGAACAATGATTTAAGATGACGATATGCTATGTTTGGGTTTCCTATGTAGTCCTCATATGTAAGGCAAATTGTGGAACATCGTAACAGGTATATTCTGTTCCTTCACAAACTCAATAAGAGTCGACTCTGAAGTCTTCCTTTCAATTGTCTTGTGGATTTTGAGGGGAGGAGTTGTGGGTGGCTTTGAGGTAGAAAGGTTGTCTTCCTCAACCAGAGTTGAACTAGAACGATTCAAAAATGTTATCTCTTCGAGTCTCGTTTCTGGAAGAGGCAACTCAAACTCGTTGAGAGTATCAACGGGAGTTGTGGGGTCTTCCTCAGTAGTTGATGAACGTTTTCCGTGGATTCCAAGGAACGACGCTTCGTCTATGCTGACGACCCAATTCTTTTCTGGATGTGTCAGTTGTGCCAATGCCACAATAGAGGTATTAGAGGCTGGGATCGGAGTACCACATTGTCTGACATTAGTATATTGCTCCTTGTCTTCAACGATCTGTCCATCTTTGTCCGTTTTTAAAAACACGGAGCTGGCACCTTGCCTCAGAGTACACTTTTGGCCAACCACTGAGGTGTTGAACTGTGTGTCCCAATTCACGATTGTGCCGTCTCTCGATCCTGTGATCACGCACTCACCATCCCACTCCAGGGAAGTGATCTGGTCTTTGTGACCGCCTACTAGGGATGATAATGGAGTTTCGCTGTTGCGGATATCCCATATCTGCACGGTGTTATCGAGATGAGCGGATGCAACCAGATTTTCGTTGGCTGAACCGCACCACCTCACGCGACATGCAGCCCCGGTGGACTCTCCCGGCCTGTGAAATTCACGTTTGTCGGACCTTAGGTCTAACAATGAAATTCCAAAACCTCCTGCTAATGCCAGCATTGACTCGTGAGCTAGAGAAGCATCAAAATAAGATAAGCCCTTGATTTTCAGTTTCACCACTGGAACAGAAGACCGTGACGAATCCCATAGGAAAATGTTTCCGGAGTATCCAGAAAGGATCGAATTTAGCGTGCACGATCTCCACGACAGCGGTGTTGTCATTAAATTGTCTATCGTCGTTCCATGTGCGGGAAACTGGTACTCAAGGTGTTTGGCGTGGTTGAAGCGCTTTACAATGGAAGCGCTTCCGTTATCAAACTCGGGAATCATTGTCAAGTTGACGGTTCCTTGTGTGTGACCAGAAAGCAAAAATCTGCGGTCATCTTCTTCGTCAACAGGATTCAGCCATTTGAGAGAGTGTATGTTTGGTAATGTGATGGTCTTCTGGTGTGTTAAAAGAAAGTCTTCATTGGCGTCCTGTCCTAATCTGTAGATAAAAAGATTGGATTTGGGACCACCAGAGCCAATAGCCAACACATGTGAGTTTCCAGAAGTAACGGAGTCAACGGAAGTGACAAACTGACCTTCTTCAAGACCCGTGCCCACTTTCCAGTAGCTACTGGACATTTTATCATTATCGGATCTGTTTCCCACGGTTTTGTTCGTGATCAGCAAGTCTTTGGAAGAGTTCCCTGAGAGAGACCAGGAATTGCCAGCGAAGTTAGATTGGATGTACTGCTGTCTCATGCCCTCTCCTGATTTCGTCAGACGCAAAGCATTCTGGCGGAAGAGCTGAACCGGTTCGTAGAAATCTGTCATATCGCAGTGTGCAGTAATAAAAATGAAGGGGGTATATAAAGGCTGTTGAGAAAAAAGAAGGATAGGATAAATCGCTTGCAGAAACCTAAATTATCCGAGGGGGGAGAAATCATCTCTATATATCGGACGAGTGATAACGGCAGAAGATCTTTTTTTTAACCATTAGGTTAGAAGGCTTGCATCTGCAGGCCTTATTCTACATGAAAAGGCTGGTCTAAATCTATGTCAGTGGCCGAATTCGGTAACCGACCTGCCAGCCCCATTTCTTAATCAGGTATGATGCATATCATTTGTTCCCGATTAGGTAGCGTGCAGATAACTAACAGCTGTAGAAAGTTCTTGGGCAGTTTCGACTTTAGGCCTAAATTAGAGGGTTGACAGATTTTGTGGCGTCATTTGGCTGCAACAAATACGAGCTTATAAGCATACGTAAACTTATTTGGTTACAACGCTCAGGTGTATAAGATTTCGTATCGATCCTCATAGGATGTGCATTACGGGCGAAGGCTGCGAGATGCAAAAAACTCTATTGAGCCAGCCTCTCGGTCGTGTGTGGTCTGGTTTTAAACTTTATTATCACTAAATCTGTTGTGAGCCCTGGTGTTAATATGGTTTTTACACTAATAGCAGTTAGTCAGACACTACCAGATACCAATAACGAAAACCACCTCCACCGTTTGAACGTTTTCGGTCCCTGATCGAGAGCAGCAAAAACTGCATTATTGGTTTAACTACCAACACCGCAAATCATTGTGGTGCTTTGAAGTCATTCTTAAGTAAATTATGCTGAATCAATTCCAATTGAGGACAACAGACAATCTGAAGACTCTCTCCCTGGTGTGAGTCACGTGTGAGTAATGCATTTAGTAAGTGATGAGTGGATTCGGCAGCCCGTTATATCAGGGCTACTAGGACGAGTGGGAGCTTCATACAGGCTACTATTGAGGTTATTCTAGTGTTTCAAACATTCACAGTGCGCTCCATTGATTGCAATAAAGATTTATGATATTATTTTTTTCGGTTTTGTAATTTGTTTCAAATGTTCAAGCCGGTTGTTCCGTCGGATTATATTGACCCGTGGCTCAAATGGCAGAGTGCTTCAGAGCGCCTTGCCAGAAATTAGAGGCAAGCACTCTATTCTGTTCGCTTTTCTTCTCTTCTACCGAACGATAAACCGGCCGTCTTTTTGTACAGGCTTTTGTTCTCGTTGCATCGCCCATAACCAGCCCGTGTTCTGCGATAATTGTTTAACTCGCTGCAGTTTACACTTGGTTTGCATTGCCACTGCGAAAAAGCCGATCTCCTCAGCCCCCTGCAAACAAGAAACAAGCAAGTTTTGCTGATTTGTTAATCGATCCAGCTGATTTTGGAGAAGTTGACCTTTGGGCGTCTGCATTTCGATTTCTGTATCTTTGAACAGAATCTTCGAGTTTTATTATTAAGTTGTTGTTGGTGTTATCTTGATAAACAAGTGATTCTACTGATTTCATCGATTTCAAAATGCCGAGCTCGCATTCCGTCATCACTGTGAGGCTCATCGCAGCTGAATCACTTTACAAGCGCGACGTTTTCCGTTCGCCTGATCCGTTTGCCGTTTTAACCGTTGATGGTGGTCAGACCAAGTCCACCACCGCAGCCAAAAGAACGCTTGCTCCACACTGGAATGAGTCGTTCGACTTCGAAGTGGGCGACAATTCGATACTCGCAATCAACGTATTCGATAAAAAGAAGTTCAACAAGAAAGACCAGGGATTTCTGGGTGTGGTAAACATCCGCATTGACCCGGACTCCCTGGTCCGGGAGCAGACGTACGCAGAGACTCTGAAGAAGTCCAACTCGGATCTACCTGTTAGCGGAAAGGTCATTTTGACGGTTGGAAAGAAGAGTCAGGCTGCTGATCCACGAAATCCTCTGGCTGCTAGAAGGGCACAGCACAGTGCTTCCAACTCAACTGGCTCTGCCGCGCCAATTGCGCCACCATCCGTCCCAGGCGCGTTTCCTGTCACTAGCTCGCAGCCCCAAGCACCAGCCAATCATAGGCAGTATTCTTCGTTTGAAGATCAGCACGGAAGATTGCCTCCTGGTTGGGAGAGAAGAACTGATGACTACGGAAGAACCTATTACGTTGATCACAACTCTAGAACCACTACCTGGAAGCGTCCTACATTGGACCAATCAGAAGCTGAGAGAGTCAGAGAACGTGAGGATGTCAGAGAGGCTGAGAGAAGACAATACCGCAACAGAACTCTTCCTGGCGCCGATGGAGACTCATCCAATGGTTCGAGATCAGACACTCCCGTCACCGTTCAATCTACGTCCGCGACCCCTGCAGTCAATCCATCTGTCGCCTTGTCGTTAAGTGCTACAGGTGCTACTACAGCTGGCTTGGGCGAATTGCCTGCTGGTTGGGAACAACGCACAACTCCAGAGGGAAGGCCGTACTTTGTGGATCACAACACACGTACGACTACCTGGGTTGACCCTAGAAGGCAGCAGTTTGTTAGATCTCCAGGCCCTGACACTTCAATCCAACAGCAGCCCGTATCGCAGATGGGACCTTTGCCAAGCGGTTGGGAAATGAGGCTTACAAACACGTCGAGGGTGTACTTTGTAGACCACAACACCAAGACTACGACCTGGGATGATCCAAGACTGCCTTCTTCGTTGGACCAGAACGTGCCGCAGTACAAGAGAGATTTTAGGAGGAAGGTCATCTATTTCCGGTCTCAGCCCGCGCTCCGCATTTTGCCGGGTCAATGTCACATCAAGGTTCGTCGTTCAAACCTCTTCGAGGATGCATTCCAGGAGATCATGAGACAGACTCCAGAAGATCTCAAGAAGAGATTGATGATCAAGTTCGACGGAGAAGAAGGTCTCGACTATGGCGGAGTTTCGCGTGAGTTCTTCCAGCTGGTTTCGCATGAGATGTTTAACCCATTCTACTGCCTATTCCAGTATGCAACCATCGACAACTACACTTTGCAGATCAACCCCAACTCGGGTATTAACCCTGAGCACTTGAACTATTTCAAGTTCATTGGACGTGCGGTCGGTCTTGGTGTTTTCCACCGCCGTTTCTTAGATGCATTTTTCGTGGGTGCGATGTACAAGATGATGCTTGGGAAGAAGATTGTGTTGCAAGATCTCGAAGGCATAGACAACGAGATGTATAAGTCGTTAACCTGGATGTTGGAGAATGACATAGACAACGTTTTGTTTGAGACGTTCTCTGTCGAGGACGATAGATTTGGCGAGCGTGTGACGATTGACCTTAAACCAAACGGAAGAGAGATCGAGGTGACGAACGACAACAAGCGCGAGTATGTTGAACTCAAGACAGAATGGATGATCTCAAAACCAATCGAGCAGCAATTTAAGGCATTCATGGATGGTTTCAACGAGCTGATTCCACAAGATCTGGTGTCTGTGTTTGACGAAAGAGAGCTTGAATTGTTGATCGGTGGTCTCGCCGAGATCGACGTCGAAGACTGGAAGAAGCATACCGACTACAGAGGATACCAGGAGAGTGACGAGGTGATCCAGTGGTTCTGGAAATGTATCACAGAGTGGGAGTCCGAGCAGAGAGCAAGATTACTGCAGTTCACTACAGGTACTTCTCGTATCCCAGTCAACGGTTTCAAGGACTTGCAGGGCTCTGATGGTCCAAGAAGGTTCACCATTGAGAAGGCGGGAGAGTCTAACCAGCTACCAAAATCGCATACTTGTTTCAACAGAGTGGATCTGCCACCTTACAAGGACTACGAGTCTTTGAGACAGAAGCTAACAATTGCTGTTGAGGAGACAGTTGGATTTGGGCAGGAATAAGCAGAGAGAATTGTGGAACGAGTTTTTCAGGTGAATTGCTGAACTAAAAAAGATCTGAAAAGATGGTGAAAAACTGTCATATTGTTCTGAGCAAGTCTTCCTTTTCCGTCTTGCCATCACATTTATATTTACGTTATTTTTCAATTGGTTTTGCCATCTATTCATCATATGATGACGTATTGACAGGTAGTTAGTGTAGTTTATGTACATATGAGACAATGACGTTTATCTCTCATTTAAAGACAACCTTGGACTTTGCTGCCTGTTCGGCAGTTTTTCCTAAAACTCTTCTGAGAAGCATCATGTCGCTAACAGTGGGTTTCCGCAGCTTCTGGACAAGAACCAGCACGGTGGTCAGCAGAGTCAGTGCTCCAGCCTGGTGAGCAGCAGCTAGTTCTGTGGGAACGAGCCAAAGAAGGGTGCAAATACCCAATGTGACCTGTAGAGAAGCAACTCCTATGGCCGCAGTGAGGGCCTTATAGGCTGGCTTCGGGATATTTGATTTGATCCTATGGGAGTAAAGATGAAGCGCCAACGTATAGCAGAAAGTGGAAACTGCCATGATCCTATGGTTGAGTTGAACAGTGGTTGGGTTCTCAAGCAAATTTCTCCACCACAGATCCGCAGAGTCCTTTGTGCGTGAATAGACAGGATCCATGAGTTCACGTGACGATGGAACCCAATTCTCACCCATATGAGGGAAGGTGTTGTAGATCAAACCAGCATCCAGACCAGCCACAAGAGCTCCGGTCAATGCTGTGACGAACACCATTCCAAAGAGACCATTTGACAGTCTTTTAAATAGCTTCAAGTTTGGCGAGTTGATCTGCTTGAAGTAACCCAAATACTTCTCTGGATCCCTAATCAATGCATGCTGCTTTAGAATTTGAAGTCCGGTATAGACCATCGAGCAGCACACCACGAATGCTACTCCGAGATGGGCTGTCAGACGGTAGGGACTCACAGTAGGCTTGGAGTTTCTCTCGGCAAGCTGAACTTCATCCAGACCAGAAGCAACCATCCACCAGCCAATGAAACCTTGAACTCCTATAAGGGCACTAATTCCAGCCAGTTTCCATGCGACATCCACAGAGCACCTTCTTCTGGCCACAAAGTAAATCGAAGGCAGCACGAACACTGTGCCTATGATCCTTCCCAGCAACCTGTGCGACCACTCCATTCCGTAGATAAACTTGTAGTCCTCAAGAGTAATGTGAGAGTTCAGTTGTTTGAATTCCGGACTGGCCTTATATTTCTCGAACTCGCGTTCCCAATCGTCCTGCGTTAGTGGAGGCAGTGCTCCGGTCACAGGTTTCCACTCGGTGATAGAAAGTCCCGATTCCGTCAGACGGGTCAAACCGCCAAGGATTACAATTCCTGCAACCAGAACCGCGGATCCCATACACATGTAGGCCACACGCTTATCGGTGTTGAGAGTAAAGCGTGGTTTGCTTACATTCACACTCTCTGCGATTGAATCGGCAGTGATGGTGGAGTAGCTTCTTTTGAACGGAGAAGCTCCCAGTCTCTGTAGTAGCACAGAACGAGCCAATGTCCTCTTCTGCAGCTGAGTGGCTTGTCTTGTCGGAAACCATAGTTTTCTCAGCAGAGACTGGCCTTGGGGCCCGTTTGCATTCAACGAGAACCTAGACACACGTGACTTGGGAAACGTCTGCAGCACGGAGCTGTTCTTGATAAAAAAGAACTGCGACTTGCAAAGTGACATCGGTTTATACACAACACAAACTTCAGCGGGTGAAGAGGGTTGAAGATTGAGAGGTTGGTGAAGCCCATAAAACTTGTAATAATGGTCAGCAGCAAATGGGGCCATTTTGAGGTCGTGTGGCGGTCGATTGGTTGGAGCACGAAAATCATGCAGTCTAAATCGTTCTTCTAAGCTACTACAGGACTGTCATTAAATATGAACTTTTAATGGATAAAATATATAAGAATTGGGTGTCTTGCAATCAGACAGATCAGGAAGTAAAATCTGAGCAATGGACATTACTCAGAACACTCAACGACTCCCCGCTCCCCCATTTCACTCTCCCCATTTGAGCTCATCTTCACTCAGAATCCGTCCTCCGTACCGCTGACCATACTTAAAACAATAATCCTCGGCGTCTCCAATGGCACATTGAACTGACTTGGCCGTACGGGCAACGAGATCCTCGTGTGGAGTCTTTGCTTCGGGTATGCGGCGGATATAGTTCAAAAGTCCCTTAACTTGCACCACGGATGACGTCCGGTCGGCCTCTGAGAAGGTGACAGTCATGTAATCCTCAAAGTAATTGTCTCCCAGGTACTGCGTTATCTCCCAATTGTCAACACTATTTGGTATGAGCACCGAATAGCGGCCCGAACACGATTCGCCAACCCCATCCCAAGGCATCACCTTCAGGTTGAAGTCGATGGAGCCAGAAATAAGATCGATAATGAACTGGTCTCCCTGTTTCACGAACACCATCAAATTAGGACGGTATGTCGTGTCTCCACAGCCGCAGTTCACGATACGTGTACGCGGAAACCCGACCCACGCCTGTCTTCCGTCTGCAAATTTGGCTCCTGGTATGGAAACCAGATTGGTTGCTCCTCTGAGAGCACCTGTATCGGAGTTAGGTCCAGTGAATATCACCCCACAGTTTCCAGAGCTTAGATCACACTGTATCACCTCCAATGGGTCGAATGAGTAGATGAAGTAGATGAACCCACCGGGGTATTTTGAGTCCTCTGACTGGGCATCAAAGAAAGGAACCCAGTTCTTCTCGGTATCACGTGCATCACGTCCTTCAATCTTGAGCAAAATCGTGCGATCGTTCTGGAAGGGAAAGAGTGCATGCATCGCTCTTTTATTGTCCAAATCCTTTGCTTTCATGTTGAACACCACTATAGGTTCTGGGCCCTTGGAGCCATGACGAACAATCACTCTGGGATCTTCCGCTCCCTCGTAATATAATCCTGGTCCCCAGACACAATCCATAGGAAACACCTTGGGAAACAAGTGGGTCTGTAGCCCTGACTCGCCCTCAGCGTGTGATTTGAACTGGAATTGCGTAAGCTCGTTCCACGCTTTGTCAAACAGCTGTGCAACCACAAAAGATATCGTCGAGCGATCGGAGCGACTTTCCGCGGAGAAAATGATTCGGCGAGCAACGTAGTGGACTCCATACTCGGGTAAGTAGACCGAGGACGCGTGGAAAGTAAACCAATGGTCCTTGATTTTGCGCTCAAGGGTCTTCTCGCTAACTTCTCCCTCAGCAAGAGCCTCATATCCGGCTTCAAACACGAGTTCGCGTACGCGCTTGAGATTCACACCGATGTCAAATTTGTTAGAAACACCCACCATCTCGTGATACCGTAGATCAGCACACGTAGGACCATCAGCGTCCGATAACTCAGTATCAACCGTGTCGATATTGCCCACAAACGTGGCAAGATTCATCTGTGAAAACTCAAGGTCATTTAAGACCACATTTAACGCTTCGGGGTCGTTCACCGAAAGATCGTCGTCGTCAAGTGAGAACGCCGACGCGGGGGTGCGGAAGTCCTCTCTTTCCTCAGGGGACGGGAATGCATCCTCAAACTTGTTATTCGGACGTCCCTCCGCAATGACTTGGCCTAACGTTTTCTCGTTAACTGCAACAGTCACCTGAAGAGTCACGAGCATGAAGATTATCGCTGTCAGAATGACACGCGTGCGGGAGCCTGCCCTCAGCTTAGCCAAGTAGAAGCGAAGCACCTTGGGCACGTCCAAAAGCCAACCTGTTGTACGGACTGCAAAAGAAGAACTGGTGGCATCTTCAAGTTCCGAGTCCGGCTTCTCGGACCTCATATTGGATAAATACCACTGCTTGTGATCAGCGAAAATCTTTATTCGAACCTGGGGCCGTTAATGAAACAGGTCACAACAGTGAAATTCCACGTCTCGGAGGTATGGTTGGATGATGAGCAAAGTTACACTGGCAAAAATAAAAGGATTAGCTCAAAATCGTAGTAAAGCTCCTAAATCCACGAGCTTATACCACCAAAGTTCTCAAAAGTTTACTCGCTTGGTCACACGCTGTGTTGCCCAAACCTGCTTTTGGTCCGAGTTGTCCTAAAGTTTCTTCCCCTCGTAATGGTACACGCACGTCCGTTTTTGGAAGGCCGATGTAGATCTATCTCTTGGCGGTTATATTTTCCAGCCAGCGTCTAGATTGGCGGGATGAAGCTTGAGCAAAAACATAGGATTATATGTTTGCTTATAGATTGACAGATGTGTAGGTAGATAGATAGATATTTATATACATATCTGAGTTGTGTACCGCTCGGTTCAGGACCTGCCTCAGTGAGGCACTGCCGTGAACTACATTCCATGTGGGGCTAATCTTAAGAGGAGGACCGCCTCCTTGAGATGTTCTCATTCCAAGTCCACACCAGCGGTTGTCCGGTTCAAGAACCATTCCAGATACTCTTTTCTCTTGAGAGCAGCCACACGATATTCCGAGGGTTTGATCGGGAGCCTTCCAGGTTTCAACTGCCTAGCTCATCAGCCCACTGCCCCGGGCCCTGTCGTCCCAAAGCGGTGATGGCATGCAAGGGCCTTCAGGGTTCTGCGTGAAAAGTTACATCGGTTACGGTGCTCACTGGAGGATGTCTGTTAGAGTTGTGCCGTTGAACCAGTCCTGTATATGGAAGTGGCCCAAATAAACCGTAGTTTCAATTTTGGGTTTTTAGATTTTGGGTTGACAAGGCTGGTTTGAGAACGCTTTAAACCTACGCGTAGTGTACGCCTGATTTGGTAAAGATGGGTCTGGCCGTAATCAAGTCTAAAAACATGCAATTTGGGGTCCGCTGGAATCGTCCAGTAAATCATAATGACTTTGGTAGAAGCCAGATGTGTCATAATTATGGTTTAATCGTTTTCTGAAGAAACTCGGTGCCCGCAACAAACTGCGGCTTGGTCAACACAGCCTTATATGACCTAGTCTCAAGGGGCCCAAGTCTAACGATTTGTAGCTTATTCTGGTGAAAAAATAAACGCCTTGAAAGAAAGCATCCGTAGTGTAGAGCTGGGGTGCTTAATTTTAAAAAAAATTGTACATTTGAGGACTATGAAACATAATCAAGAAGACGCTTGGTCTTGCAGGGTCACCACCAGATATTTGAACAATTGGCACTACCGTTTCCTTGTTATTAACTCAGAACCTTCCCAATAGCAGTTCTCCATATAAATCCACTGAATACCTCCAAAAGCACCATTCCCAGTCTTATATCAAATCCAACAGCTCGGTTTCATTCCACAATAGTCGCGCCTCAACCAACTATGTGTGGTGACCGCTTGGGCCCTGCACGTCTCACCAGCTGAAAATTTAACAGTGTAGCCCTAGCGTGTAAGACTGCACACCGCTCAACACCACGCGCTGATCTCAAAATCAAGCCGGGTTTTTGCAGAAAAAAAGGCTGCGGGTGTCTTTCCGGAGTTAAGAAGATCCTCCGAGTCCAAACGCCACTTGGCGAACTTATTCCACTGATCTATCGTGACTAGCCCACAGCTGAGGCAGTCCAAGTCATAGCTGATACAGGACGGCAATTGACCGCACAAACTCCGCCCAATTCGCCCTCTAAAAGCGGAAAACGTGCCCACACCGGTTTTAGGCGCTGTGTGAATCCATTCCGCCCCAAACAAGCGCTGCACCACTCAAACTGTGGCCCAATCATGGAAACCCCGTCTGCAGCAGATGTGCAAGGCAGTCTTTCGCCCAGAACCGCATCCAACGAGCGAACCAGGGACCCCCGGAGCCCCGGAAGCCTTCAGATACGACAACAGAGTGTCTCCCAATCGCCCAGAGGCACTACGCCGGAAACAGACCCAAACGCAACTGTTTTAAAAGAGGAACCTCTCACACCTGTGTATACCGCTACAAGGCCAGTTATGACCGGGCAAACTGTCCCAAAACTCCCCGTTCTCACCAATGAGAATGCACTGGGCTCTGTGACTCTGGATGACCCCCTTGCAGATTCGCAGGATCAGGCAGATGACCGGGTGCAGGCGTATGCCATGCTGGACTTTGCTGAGTTCACGTTCTATGTTCAGACAATGCAAGTGCTACTAGGTCGGTTGGTAGACGGAGACACCTCAACGGAAGCTCTAGATATTCACCTTGGACCTACGAAGGCGATTTCCCGGAAACATGCGCGAATTTTTTACAATTTTGGAACCCAAAGATTTGAACTTTCTGTGCTGGGTCGAAACGGAGCGTTCGTGGACGACGTCTTCGTCGAAACGGGGGTTACTTTGCCACTGAAGAACAGAACACGTATTCAAATCGGTGAGATTCACTTTCGCTTCGTTTTGCCTGCAGAAGAGACCTTTCCACGGCGGATTGAGGCATTAGCCAAGCCGATCAACGCTACCGATGCTGTCAACCTCAAAGCTGCACTGTACAACACGCCCACCTCCAAATCGCGGAGCAACTCGGCAGTGGAGATCAAGGATGAGGTGGAACGGTCTCCGACACCAAAAGTGCCACTTTTGACGCCCATTCCGCCATATAGACATGCTCCACAACCCCAGGCCCAGTACACCACGGCATCGCAGCTTGCCGCGCTACAGGAGGCTGCACGCAAGAAGGAAAAGGCCAAAAAACAGGCCAAACCGGTCAAGAAAGTTTACACTCTCGAGGAAATTCCGGTAGAGTTCCGGGCGAAGCCTGCATGCTCGTATTCCACCCTAATAGAGTCCTGTCTCAGGGCTAGAGGTACAGAAAAGGGCATGTCCCTGAGCGAGATCTACCGCGGAATTCAGGACTTATATCCATACTACAAATACTGTTCGGATGGATGGCAGAGTTCTGTTCGTCATAACTTATCGCTGAACAAATCGTTTAAAAAGGTTTCGAAGGAGGGCAAGGGCTGGCTGTGGGGCTTGGATGAAGAGTACTGTGCTGAGAGAGATAAGGTGAAGACGAGAGCCTCGGTTCCAACCCCGGCTCCAAACCCAGTTCCGACCCAATCGCAGCAGTCTGCTGGTAAAACGGAGTTGGAGCCGATGATTCCTCCGCTTTCTCAGCAGTCGGTCGTCCCTCAGACTCAACCACAGCCAACTCTCCGTGCTGACTCCACTCCCGCGCCAGGGACTCTTTCGGCGGCCTCGTTGCAGTCAGCCATGGCAGCCCGGGGAAAGAGTATTGCCGAGTTGGCGAGCGAGATCAAGCGCGAGACCCCAAAACCCCAACCCAGTACCAGTATCCAGGCCCAATTGGCGGCCAACCGCGCTCAGTATGCCAAAAGTCAGCCCTCAACACGCGAGACATCGTCAAGCCCGCAGCCGGGTAGTTCAGTGTCTCCTCCAGCCGCTTCCGGGACTGTTCCGGTGGCACCGACCAATCCGAAGGGCCTTTCCGGTGACACCATGAAGGCCCTTGGGTATCTCCAACAGGAGCTGATAAAGCTCACGAAAGATCGTAAGATGAACGACAAACAGACAACGACAGCTATCCTGACCCAGGCGTTGGCCATGACTATCGCACAGGTCAATCAAGCCGCACGTAATGCCGGGATTCAAGGCAATCCGCTGGCTTCGTTGATAGAAAAGAACCCTCAGCATGTTACCAAGATTTTGACAGCTGCATTGAACGCTGCAACAGCCCAGGTCATGAAAGGAAAGCCTCAGCCTCATAAGGCTGCGCAGGCACCTGCACCAGCTGCTACTCCGGTTGCGGCTCCAGTCCCTGTTCCACACCAGCAGCCCCAGACAGCCCGACCCGTTGCGCTATCTCCAAAGCCTCAACCGGCCTCTGTGGCTGAGGCAAAGCCGCCAATGGCTCCTAATGCCATTTCTCAGGGAATACGAAAACCTCAGTACTACTCACGACCACCTAACGTTTCAGGGTCTGGTGCGGGACTCAAGAAACCTTCCGGGTTGAACCCGGTGAAACCACCGGTCAGCATAGCACAGCCGTCTCCTCAGCCTCAACAGTCCAGACTACCGCCACAAGCAGATCAGTCGGTTTCGGCTAGAGATGCAGAGTTTGATAATTTGCTTAAGTCAATTTCCAGAGAAGCCACTCCAGATGACCGCGACACTCCTCCTATGTCGGAGAAAGAGCTAGACGATCTGCTAAACCAGCATTCTAGTTTTGTTCGGGACGAGCAGGACGAGGGGGATATTATGATCACGGGAGAGGGACTCAAGAGGCCGCGAGATGATGAAGAGGACATTTTGATGGGTCTTGAAAATAAAATGGCCAAGGTTGATTAAAGGGAAGGAGATAAATAATACAGACTAAGAGAGGGATGTTATAATAGAGTATATGGTGCGCTTTTATTGAGGCTTTTCGTGGTTATTGGTGATCATTGGTGACCTTTAAAGCATTTGAAGTTGGTAAGAATGTCTGCGAGTCTATCAGCCTCATCTAAATCGTTTGACCTGATCGAGGACGACATTTATAGAGGTTTTGAGGATTTTTCTCTTTAGTATTCGTTGACAATTGGCCCAACTGAAATCTACAAACGCGTCTTCATAGTCTGTTTCGAAGAATGTACAGTCAAGCATGCATTTCTCTAGTTTGTTCGTAGTCGTCTACGCTAGTAAAAATCAAGTGAGAAGATTGGGCTTCGTAATCGTCTTACCCAGTCAAGTGAAGGTTCCCTTGATTTCCTCTTGATTTATCTGTTCGTGCCTCCGTTCATGCTTTCACATTGTTGAACGATCCCTCATTCTCCTTGATCTCCCAGAACAAAGCCCCGACATCATGGTTGCCGTGGAACACCCATCCGGCCTCAGTCACATGATATAGATTGATAGATCCTCCCGAGAAGGCATCTCTATGTGCGGCAGCGAGAATCGAGCGCTTACCCAGGTACAAAGCCTCTTCCACCGTCAGATCCCATTTGTAGTTCGAATCCAACACACCGTATGCAAACGTCTGGCCCGATCCTACACAGAAGATCTCGCCCTTCAATCTAGTGCCGTCAGAGTCCACATAGTAGATAGTAGGACCCTCTTTCTTCGTGTATCCACAAACCATTGTTCCCATCGAAAGACCCATACCCTTGTATTCGTAAACCAGGTTCCCCAAAATCTTGGAAGCAGCAGCAACGGAGATTCGCTCCTTGTTTCTTAGCTCGTGCAAGCGGCATTGTGTGCCCAGCCAGGTCTCCCAGTACTGACAGTCTGCTGCACCACCTGCCATGGTACCCAGCAGAAACGGGTTGATCTCTATCACCTTCTTGACTGTCTGGGACGCAATCCAGTTACCAGCAGTGGCTCTGGAATCAACTGCAACAATGATTCCGCCCTGGAAACGGAACGCCAGCGTCGTTGTACCGTGCGCAATCTTGATCTTACAGTCTGGGTTCTTCGAATCATCGGTATGGGCTCTTAGGAAATCTGTTGGTTGCGATATTGGAGGAAGCGTCAACGAAGGAGCCAACTTCAAAGTGACTCCCTTGGCATAAAACTGGTCCTCTTCAGATGCCAACTCCTCCAATGCTGAAGCCTGGTGCGAAAATCTCTGGCCTATCACGTTCATCGTTTATTGTGATAGTGATTGAGTGATGATTGATGTGGTGGTTGTGTGAACAGCGTATCAGTGGCGAAGGCGAAGGTCAATTGAGGTCGTGTTCTAATGCTAAAACTGGGTCCGGGTAGTGTGATTACAGATTAAATGTTCTGTAATCATGCACGACCTTTGATATTTGTCACGTGAATTCACTCAGGGTTATCCAACCCTGAGGCTTCACTATCTGAAAAGTTCAAGGCAAATTTCTGAATCTTAGCACACCTCTAATCAGTGTACATCAAACATCATATAATCAAAATGGTATGTATTTATATGCTGAAACTGTTGGAATGGAGCCAAATACTGTGAAGTATTAGTCGGCTGTTTTTACGGGGTCTTTGCAGCGAATTTTGGGAACTTTTCACCGATTCCAACTTTTATCCAAACACCTCTAGCAGAAGGACGGTTCTCCAACAGGTCTCACTTTCTCTTCTACAGAAAACTAACATGTCCATCCAGTCTGCCAAGTCCCAAAATGTCATGCGTGAATTGCGCATTGAGAAGCTCGTTCTCAACATCTGTGTCGGTGAGTCCGGTGACAGATTGACCAGAGCCTCCAAGGTGTTGGAACAACTGTCTTCCCAGACCCCAGTTCAGTCCAAGGCCAGATACACTGTCCGTTCGTTCGGTATCAGAAGAAATGAGAAGATCGCTGTCCACGTGACTGTCAGAGGCCCAAAGGCTGACGAGATCCTCGAGCGTGGTTTGAAGGTCAAGGAGTACCAATTGTACGCCAAGAACTTCTCTGCCACCGGTAACTTCGGTTTCGGTATCTCCGAGCACATCGACTTGGGAATCAAGTACGACCCAGCTATCGGAATTTACGGTATGGACTTCTACGTCGTCATGGGCAGACAAGGTTACAGAGTCTCCAGACGTAAGAGATGTCAATCTGCCGTTGGTAACAACCACAGAGTCACCAAGGAGGACACTATCCAATGGTTCAAGCAGAAGTACGATGCTGATGTTTTGGGAAAGAGCTCTTAAACAGCGTGTTAATGCAAAAATCTTGAAATAGGTTGACTAAATGTAGTTTATTAATTGTCCATGTAGCCACCATAGAGACTCTTCAATGGTGAAGTCTATCATCTGAGCTGTTCGCCATTATTATCAATGTCTTGTCAAGTCATCCGTACCTGTCAATTGGCTCGCTAGTATACAAACTCATTAATATATGCAATGGGCGTTCCCACTTGTCAGCTCCTCTCCAGCTCAACTCTCGCACACTCAACGCCGACTTCAACACAATCTCTAACAGCCTGAGACCACCTCTCCTCGAGATATTCCTTTACAGGCTTGTAGTCCAGTTGTCTCCTTTTCCTCTCCCTATTAATTTCATCGATCTGCTCGCGTTTCGTAGACAATGCAGCCTCCAAGCTCTCGTTCTCGCGCTCTAATTCGTCATTGGCAACCAGCCATTTGTTTTTCCCATAAGCCATCATCACCGTCAGAGATCTGTTGCGCATCTGCGTATATGAAAGTGCCATTTGGAGCTTTTCGAGGTCGTATTGGGAGTCATCTGTGTCAGATGTTAGTCTGGAGTACTTGCTCAGATCCACACCACCCAGACCATTGTCCAGAAACTCTTTTTTCTGCTCTGACGTTATCAGCTGATCAAGATGCGATTCTATCATAGACCCGAACTTTGTTGCTTTGGATTCAGATACTTCGGGGTGAAGTGAGCTCGTATCCATCCCGACAAGCTCCTTCCTTATGCTCTGTTCCACCACCAGCATGTCCTCTTCCGCAGGTTCAGCATCTATGTATGGGAGTAATTCGTACCGTATTTCTGCCATGATCTCAGAGTTTTTTATCAAAAGATACCCAAATGAATAAAAATATACCACAGAACACTTTAAGTTATATCAGATTATAGCAAGAAGCCTCACGTTGAAACTTTACCAGCCTTTTTACCCAGTGCACTACCCTCTCTGAACACGTTTGAAACTGAGCAATTCGTCTCAGTAGCCAACCACAGCAGCTACAACCACACGTAAAAAACTCAGGATGTCGCAGTCCAGCTACGTTTATGATGAGAATGCTGAGACTTGGCCGTATTTTGCATTGACGGTGCTGCTGGTACCGCTGGTGCCGGCCACTGTTTCATACGTGGCCTCGACGGTGTCCAGGAAACAAAGCGACTCCGATTCGCCTTCCCAGTTGGAGTTTAAGCCTTACAATTCGGAAGCATTGATCAAATACAAGACCAAGAAGTCGAAGAACAAGGTGTTCAATAAGAAGCTGCTTTTCATAGTGATCGGTTGGTTATTGACGGCTTATGTCATCTTCAAGATCAAGACTGGCACCATAATTGCTGACCCCAATGCGTTTGATCCGTACGAAATAATGGGTGTGGCCGCCAGCGCGACTGAGAAGGAAATCAAGTCCAAATACCGGAAACTCTCGCTTGTTTTCCACCCGGATAAGCTCGCAAAGGAAATGTCTGAAGACGACAAGGCCGATATGGAGACCAAGTTTGTCCGCATCAATAAGGCCTACAAGGCGTTGACTGACGAGGTTACCAGGGCCAATTATCTGAAGTATGGTCATCCTGACGGTCCGCAGGCGGTGTCTCATGGAATTGCGCTCCCACAGATCTTGATCGAGGGCAAGTTGTCCCCAGTGCTAGTGGTGGTGTATGTTTTTGTGATTGGTGTATTGTTACCTTACTATGTTGGCAAGTGGTGGAGTGGAGTCAAGTCTTACACGAGACAAGGTCTTCATGTTGATACTGCTGCCACATTTTTGGAGACACTGATTAACTACAATCCGTCTGTGATCACCAAGGTTGACGATGTGCTGGAATGGATAAGCACTGCCAAAGAGTATGAGCTTCAGCATCCTGATCTTCTGCCAGAAGACATTTATTCGTTGCTACAAGCCCATATAAATAGAGAACCCGTGAAGGATGAACTGCTCAAGATTGAGGTAATTGCTGTCGCACCAAAGTTGCTGATGGGACTCATAGACATCGCCTCAGGTTTCAGACACACGGAGATCTGTACGAAGGCCATTGAAACTCATAGAGCACTTGTTCAAGCCATCAATCCTGTCAACACCACCCAACAGGCCATTTTGCAATTGCCCAATGTGGAGAGATCGAAGATTGACTCCTCGTCCCCGGTTCACACTTTGGGCAAACTGTTCACATTGCCAAAGGAAAAGTGTGCGCAGTTTCTTGGAATTGACGCAACTTCCGATACATTCAAGGAAACCCTTGCCGTTGCATCCAGAATTCCAACCCTCAAGGTCTTGTCGGCTGAGTTCAAGGTTCCGGGTGAGACGATTATCCCTCCAAATTCTAACAGTCACATTTCCTTGAAACTGCTCGTCAAGTCGCCTTCTAATAAGGGCGAGTGTGCTCTTGATGAGTCTCTTTTGCAGGATGATCTGAGCATGGAACATCTGAGAGATCCACTTAAGGTGATGAACGAGCAGCCACTCCTGCGAAACCCTACTGCTCCTTTCTTCCCGGAGGGCGAGTTTCAGTACGAAAACAACGGCTGGGTTGCATTGCTCGTGTTGCAGAGAGACAACAAGTTGGGAGAGATACCTCAGAAGGTGACGAGACTGGATACATCAAACGTGAATTTGTCGCAAGAGGCGTACAAAGACGGAAGGGATGCCATTGTCAACTCGTTCAAGATGACGGTCCTAGCTCCTACCCCAAAAGAAGTAGGCAGATACCACTTTAGACTGATGTTGCGGTCGCTGGTGTACTACGGCGTGGATGTAGACATCCCACTGGTAATGGAGGTGGTGGATCCTCCAATTGAAGAGGTTGTTGAGGACAACTACGGTCTCGAGGCACCGGATGAAGACTCTTTGGCCGGTGCTATGGCCCAGCTCAGAGGTGAAAAAGTGAAGAAGGTGTTTGATGAGGAGGATGACGAGAGCGATTACGATGAAGATGAAGACTTCAGTGATATAAATACAGACACAGAAGACGAGGAGGAGTGATGTTTGTATAAAATGATAGGAATCGAAAGGTTTTGCTATGAATTTGAAGTGTAGAAAGGCATCGGTTAAGTGGCTAGTGATACATGCATGCTGCATATGGATACCTGCGTAGAGCTGTAGACCCAGCCTAAGAAAGTATTCTTATCCTCTGTCCAGCTACCAATTGCTATTTACATTGCAAAGTTTTGTGGTCACATCGTGGCAATATACGTGAATATAGAAGTTTTTATTATTAGAAGTTGGGTTGATTTACGCATTTGCCCTCATCAAGTTGATAAACTATTCTGAAATTTTTGAGATTTTACAGATTTGAGCCAAAACAAGGAAAACATGAATAGTCAGAAGCGACCGCCACTACTCTATTATACTCACCTATGACATTATTACAATTACGTAAAAACTCTGGAACCATATTTTTGCAAATAATATGGTTTCTCAATCATGCGAGATCCCGTCACCTATTTAAGACACCAGCCCGCGTGGGCGCAGCTCATGGCGGTGCAAGTCCTATCTAGAGCCACGATAGAACCTGGAGAAACTTCTTCTGCTCCATCAATTAGCTCTACCTCCATGATGATCCGGAGATTCAGCAACTGCTCAAGAATTCTATCAGAACTTACCACTCAAGACTGCTGGACCAGACTGGAAGAGATTAAACATCGCGTGGTGGGGTCTGAGTGGAGTCTGCTGGATGACGGATTATCGGCTTACCATGCCAAACAGTATTACATCACACTGCAAAGCGTCTTGAAAAACAACACCATGGCCTTCATGAATGCTAGCAAAACTGTGGATGGAAAATTGAGTCAATTCCAGAAGGAATTGGATGAAAAATTCCGAAAAGGATTACCAGTCTTTCCTGGTTACGAGTTCATATACTGTACGCCCATGTCGTCAGAGAATGAATTGAGTTTCGATGGTTATGATAATCATGAGTCGATCTCTGAGTTTGATCAGAATCTGATGAAGTATACACGTGACTTCTTCAGGCGAAGAATGTGGACTGGTGGAGATATACGGTTTAGTCGAAGGGACAGCGGATTGCATTATGGTGACGCAATCAGGCTGGTAGAGAAGGTGAAACGAATGCGCTACATGGGTTCCGATCCACTGGCACGGAGTTTTAAGAGTTTTGTTGATTATGAGAGACTTTTCCTGGATGAAGAGACGAATTCTGTGATATCAAGCGAACTAAGGCGGATCGTGTTTCTGAACGATACTTTCCATGAAAAGGAATATGTTCCAGAAACCATTGACAATGAAGCAGACTTTGAGACGAAAGTGACGCCAAGTCATGTATCTAACATGAGAGTAAGTTCTTTAACTTTCAACTCGCATAAAATTCACTACGACAGGGATTATGCTACGAATGTGGAAAAGTACCCGGACCTGGTGGTTGAAGGGCCTCTTCTGGTGGGTCTGCTTCTGCAGTCATTTCATGATAATTTTGGCGAGCACGAAATGGCACAATTTACTTATAAAATTATGGCTCCTGTGATGGTGAACGAGGAGATCAGACTTTGCATCAAGGAAATGGGGCCAACTAATTGGAGTTTGTGGATTGACAATGGTCTTGACAAGAATATTTTGAAAGGAAAATTGAAGTGCTACAGCAAAGAATGATTCACTTGGATATGTAAACATGATGATACAGATAATTTAATGAAATCGTTTATGATCTGAAATGATTGAATGGTATAAAACTTGTATCACTTCGTAGTGAACGGTTCAAAATGCCCGAGGTGCAGATTGCACGCATATCCATCTGCAGTCTTTAATCCCAGACGGAGTTCACTTCTACAGGGCCGGCTAAAATGCGTTGCTTATAAACCGAATCGGTAACCCATACCATATGGCATGGGTATAAAATCAAGAAACGAGTATGAAACCGTAAGAATATTGGTAGGGCAATCTTAGAGAGAACTGGTATCGCACCTAAATATACAAGAAAATGTCTCCAGCCGTGCTAGCTCTATTTTTTTCTTTTAGAACTGCCGTCAAACCTTATATCAGCCACCCGATATTTGTTTTCTCCATAGTATCTGCTTCTCAATGGCTAGACAACATCAACTTAACGGTAGTAACTACAACGCTGATACAGATCCAAGAGAAATACCATGTGCCGTATCCAGTAGCAAGCTGGACCCTATCGGCTTACTCACTCTGTTATGCCAGTTTCATCATTATTTCTGGAAGAGTTGGTGACGTGGTGGGACACCATTATATGTATGTTGGAGGGATGTTCTGCTTGGGCATATTCAACATCATAGCAGCTTCTGTGCAAAACGTATATGTGGTGATT